TTACGGAAAATTTGTAGTACGTTTCTAGGACATTTTTGGCTTATCTCAAGTAAAAATCTTCTAGCTCATAAAATGGCTTCAAAATCCATCAGAAATGGCAATTTCAGGACCATCAAAAGTTTTCCTTGCCCGTACCTTTCCTCATTGCAAACATGAGGGGGAAATGATCTCCACGTATGTTCTTTCAGATGTCCTGAAATGCGCCACAGAGTCTCCTGAAACATGAACTCTTTGCCGTACCGAAATGTAGCCATATTGAGTCATTTCAGGTTCATTTCAGGCTACACAAAAATTATCATTTTCCTGCACCGCAAATGGCTACGAAAGTGGTGGTAAATCTATCGTTTTAGGACACCAGAAAGCCCCGGTTAAGTCTCCGAAAATGAAACATTTTTGATGGCTTGACCGGGACATTTCAGGTGATCTGAAATCAGCTCATGCCTGTAGTGTCGTCTTATCCGAAGCCGCGCAAGAACGGCTTCCCGGCCGCGCTCATTGACGCAATCGCGGGGTACAACTTCCTCGTGAATGTCCTTAAGTTCGAGCCGCGCAACGTGATCCTCAGCGGCGACTCCCTCGGCGGACACCTTGGCTTCAGCCTCGTGCGGTATCTCATTCAACAGCAGTTTCCCGCGCTCCCACTGCCGGGCAGCCTCTTACTGATCTCGCCCATCTCAGACTTTGGCGGCACGCACATCGGCATGGAGCACTGGTGCGCGAATGGACCCTCCGACTTCACGCAGAGCTTCTACTACGGCTACCCGACGTCCAGCCTGCTCGGCTCTCTCCCCGTCGAATGGGCCGAGCTCAGCCCGTGGATCTCGCCTGGTTCGCTCAAGCTCCCTGAGCCGCACGGCCTCTTCAAGGGCTTCCCACGGACGTACATGGTCGCTGGTGGTGCCGAGTGCACGCTCGACCAAATACACACGCTCCGAGACCGTATGCGCGCCGACATCGGCGAGAACAACTTCTGGTACCTCGAGGCCCCTGACTCGATGCACGTATACCCGACAATGTTTGGGCATACTCCTGAGAACGTAGAGACGATACAAGCTCTGGTGCAGTGGGCAGAGGAGGTACACGGGCAGTGAGGCGGGAGTGATTATTTATACCGGCAGCAGTTGAGACTGTGTTATAATGATGCACCTTGGTCTGCCTCAGAGGTCTGACCGTGATCAATACCTCGCCCTCGGCGGCGACGCGGATCACTGACTGAGAAGTTAGATACAGTATTTCGTATGCTGTACGAGTTTGAATGGGAGCAACCAACCTCCGAGGTGTGACATCCAAGCCAGCATCTGCGCGAGCAACGGCGGGCGCTAAATTACCAAAAACAGTAATTTTGGAATTTCTTGGAGATTTTTCGTTGAATTTATCTCGATTTTGGCCCAGATTTGGTGCAAAGTTCCGTGACAAGACCCAAAAATTACAGCCCTTGCGGAGGACTGTGACGCGTGACGTTGCTCCCATTCAAACTCGTACAGTACGACGATAGCAGGGTCGACCTTACAGGACAAGATGCACACACCCATCCTAGGCCGTGGATGCTCAGAAGCTATCAGATCAGAGATACGGGAGATGCAATGCTGCAATGTTGTTGTCAGTAAACAGAGCACATAGGATGCACGTAAGCTATACAGTGACAGCAGAGGTACATTGGTCAACTTTTGCATTAGGTGTCAGTGCGCATACGCTTCGCCCATGACCGATTGCTCGTCGCAAAGTGTGACGCTTTGCACTTAGATGTAGTATCATGCATTCCTCGACAATGCGGAACCGGCACCTTGATGAGCCGCTGCCCGCGCGTCGGGGTCACGTGTGCGCGATGCCCCGCCAGACGCCCGCTTTGAAACTTTTTCGAGCGCTGCTGACGCGGATAGTTTACGTGACTACCTCGGTTGAAGCTGATTCCCGACGCTCACATACTGAACATCTCGCTCGAAGACCATGCGCCGTACAGAACGTTGTCGAGGCTGACTCATGTATAATAGTAATGAAACGCGTCCTGCCCCTTCCTCGCCACCAGCCAGGAATAACGCGTCTCGGCAGACGAGTGGTAAGTCCGATGGCGATCTGAGGACTCTCATTAACAGGCTAACTAACACAGTGGGTTCAGCAGCTGCTGGCGCAGAATTTGCTGTCTTTACCTTCGAAGGATCGCTGCACGTGTAGCCCTGCGGAACCTGCTCGACCCCCGAGACCTCGTATGGAATCAGACCGCGACCACGGCTTGGGCATCTTACTTATGTATCAAGCATGATGCAATGCACGACTGTTTCAGTGTGGGGCTCGGCGGATGTTTCAGATTTTTCTGTATTTAACAAACTTCTCGTACATCGGTGCGTTATAAAGACCTTCACCGTGCACGGAGGGGTTGCCCCATCTCACGCGCATCCTTGCCTCCGCTCCCCTGTTCAACGATGACTACGGAAGTATTTTGGCGCGTGAAGCATTCAGTCTCGCCGGTGCTCACCAGACAGCCCCTCAAAGGCCTCTACCTACTCGTCGTCGTCGCTGGTGCACTCATCCGGCTTCCATACTGGCTCATCGTGTCCGCGATCCCTGCCACTCGCCACCGCAAAAGATGGTCCTTTGCGCGCGCGATGCAGATGCACATACTCCAGTACACTTTCATACCACTCTTCGCAACACTCGCCTTGCCGACCGTGTTTATCGACCCTAAGACCGTGGATCCCGCTAAGGGCACTATCTGGATTGACCCGACACCGGAGTTTGTCGCGGGTGAGATAAAGGAGGCGGCGGATGTGAATGGGGTCGAGCCCGCTCGAGTGATAGGCTATATGCAGTTCAAGAAGGGCAAGGAATGCAGGGCGGACGAGAAGGCCAGGCCGGGAGAAAAGATTATATACCACTTGCACGGTATGTGTGACCGACGGTCTCGGTGTCATCTCGCGCTTACTTGTTTGCATCTCACAGGTGGAGGTTACATTGTCAGTGGACACGCTTTTTCGTGTTATTATCGTTTGACTAACCCATGAGTCACAGTGGGACGGAGTGAAAGGCGGGTCAGGATGGCTCTGCAGCAAATGGCTCGAAGAATCACCTTCGATGTCGCGGACATTCCAGGTTGAGTTCCGACTATCTTCGTCTCATCCGAGGCCGCGCAAGAACGGCTTCCCGGCCGCGCTCATTGACGCGCTCGCGGGGTACAACTTCCTCGTGAACGTCCTTGGTTTCGAGCCGCACAACGTGATCCTCAGCGGCGACTCCGGCGGTGCACACATGGGCATCGGCCTCGTGCGGTACCTCATTCAACAGCAGTTTCCCACGCTCCCGCTGCCGGGCAGCCTCTTACTGATCTCGCCCGTCGCAGACTTTGGCGGCACGCACATCGGCATGGAGCACTGGCGCGCGAACGCATCCTCCGACTTCACGCAGAGCTTCTACTACGGCTACCCGACGTCCAGCCTGCTCGGCTCTCTCCCCGTCGAAATGGCCGAGCTCAGCCCGTGGATCTCGCCTGGCTCTCTCAAGCTTCCCGAGCCGCACGGCCTCTTCAAGGGCTTCCCACGGACGTACATGGTCACTGGTGGTGCCGAGTGCGCGCTCGACCAACAGCACACGCTGCGAGACCGCATGCGCACTGACATGGGCGAGAGCAGCTTTCAGTACCTCGAAGTCCCCGACGCGCTGCACGTATTCCCGACGATGAGTTTCCATACGCCTGAGAACGCAGAGACGATACGGGCGCTAACAAGGTGGGCAGAGGAGGTAGACGAGCAGTGAGGCGGAAGTGGGTATTCGTACCGGTGGCAGTTGGAAATATCTTCAAATAACGATGCACCTTGGTTCGGCCGTGATTGTTGCTTGGCCCTCGGCAACGAGGCGGATCGATATCTCGCATGCGATGATGGCAGGGTCGACTTTACAGGACGAGACGCAAAGCTTTCTGAACTGCGGAAGCTTAGAAGTTATCAGTAAGTTAGAGAGATGGAGAATGCAATCCGAGCGCAGTGTTGTTGTCGGCAAGCAGAGCATTGCTCGAAGGCGCGAGATGCACCGAGTAGTCACACAGCGAGGAGAATGCTAAAAGATTTATCTGATTTAAGGACGAGCATGATAGCGTTCCTTGAGTGAAAGGGAGCTGGGACTCAGAAACCCTGAGATTTCCGTGGATAGTACTCAATCGAACATTGCCAAGACAAAGCGAGAGTACCCGAGCTTCCACATGAATAACAGCGGACTTGATCTACGATAGCAAGCGAGAATTTGCTCGGTCAATGACGGATGTATTAGTCGCTGAAATGCTTGTAGGTCACCCGGTCGCCTGAGGCTGCGTCATTGCCAATCCAGCCTGTCATCACAAGGTACTTTACCATGCCAGCGCTTCAAAGTGTTTAATGACAATGATATAAAAGCTATTAGATGACTGATACAGTACTAATCAGACCAGTAATTATCAGGTGTCTTCTTGTGCTGTACGTGGAGCAGAAATCCAGGGCATGCTGATGTCCTGTGGTATATGCCGCGCTTCGTCCGAGTCATCGTGGATCCTCAGGGCGCCTACGACTTCTATATAGGCCTGACTCAGAGGACGAAGTAGGTGTTCCGCAGCAGGAACCTTGTCTGTACCTTCAGCTGACGATATGCAGGGGCCTATACGAGCCTATGGCGGACCCAGGGCCGTTCAGGAAGCTTGCTACCGGTTTTGCCTTTAAGGCCATCGATTCCAGCCGCTTCTGTGCGCAGTACAAGAGGAGCATTCACCACCATGCGTTTGTCAAGAAGCGGGCCGCGCACGACATCGCAGCAGACCTTCATGCGCATCTCACGGCGGAGGGCGCCCACCACCACGACATAAGCGTTCCGGGTGTTTATGAGCATCACGAAGAGGGGAGCAGAGACGCGCGCATTTGGGCCACGGCGCGCACGCTGAGGGATGCCAAGCAGCAGGTTTCCCAGGTAAAATTTCCTCTATATTGATTTATGCAATGTGCTGATGTGTTATACGTGTAGCCGGAAGGTTCGCGGCTCGCGCCCGCACATCGCAGCGGCGGACACTACCCTGTTACTTCAGCAAAAATACCTATCACGCGCGACCATGTAGTGCTCGTTTCCTCCCACGCATCTCTCAGCGCTGAACTGATTACGAAATTGATAGGTGGACGTGATTATCTTCAGAGCCTTAAGTCAGGCGGTGAGGCAAGTGGCGGCGGTGGCGCCGCGCCCTCGAAAGGTGTAAGTTTACATCTAGCTGGCATTTTTCTGCAACAGAGCCTGTACTGACGTGCGCCCAGCATATCGGCGGCCATGCTAGCACGATTTTGCGACAGGCAGGTCGGAGATAATTGCATCGCTCGTGCGCACGAGCTTGCGGCGCTGTTGTCACGTGATCGCGTTATATTTGTGCTTGTGTAGGAGAAGAGTTTTCTAACCTAAAATATAACAACAATGGCTGGTTTCCATGGGACAGAATCCATTCTCTGAGCTGTCGTTGGCAGCATCTCACGAAATGTGGAGGCAGCCATCTGAGGGAGTATCTAAAGGAGGCATTCGTCGCGATATCCTCGAATATCTACACGAGAATCGATGTGACGTCCACGGCCATTCGGGAAAGCGTGGGTCTGCGACGTCGCTCTGCGTGTCTCCCTGTGTGGCATGTATACCGACCACCCCTGGGACCCTCACTCTGCTTCACGATGGCGACTGGATACTACAAGATATTGGTTGCATCCGAATGGCGACGCTCTGAACGATGACCAGCCCAGATAACACTTGTCAAGATGGAATCAAGAGTACCTGAGCTCTGTATTAGTGTGCAGGTACTTGATTCGCCGGGAATTCGTCCCATCGACGCCGGAGGAATTGGTCGCTGGAACTATCGTGGGTCACCCGGTTACCTGGGGTGTCGTCCTTGGTCTATTCAACTTGTTGTCACGGGGTGCTTTGCCATACCAGCGCATTCAGATGTCCAGCGGAATAATACAACGGCGATCAGGCTGGTAATTAGCGGACAGCTTCTCGTATATGATTTGCATGGAACGGAATCCCGGGGCATATTGATGTCTTGACACAGCCATACGGTACTAATCTGATTCCTTGCAGGCAAATTGAAGCTCGGGGTATGGGATCCTGCGGCGCGTACTGTGCCTTATCGCTGGAAGACTGTCCTCTTCTAGTGCAGCGGACTGCCAGTGATTGTGGGTGGTTTGTTGTTGGGTTGTCTGCTGTTACTGATCCCTCGTAGGGAACAGCATCAAAAACGGTCTAAGTCCTGTCTTGCACAGATCAATCAAGCTTGAAGGCAGCCGCTGGAAAGGCACGGCGGCCCAATGCGTGTCTGTCGTTCCCGGCGCCAACAACTGGCCGGGCGCCACCCAGGATAAGCTCCTCTGTCTTAAACCACCAGCCTGTCACGGTTCTTTCGGGCTGACGACACACTTCAGGGCTCCATACTGACGTGCACGGGTCGGTAGAGTTCGGGCACCGAGCACAGATACCTGGTCGGACTCAAGCGAGGGTTATCTCGCCGATACAGCCACCGCTTCCATTCTTTCTCAAGGATGGCATTTGAATGTGAACCGTGGGCTCCTTGCAATAGTGCTACGCGATCTGTCATACACGCGAAAGGCATGCAACGGCGACAGGTGCTCTATAAATGAAGAGGAAGTCGGGGAGGCCAGAGAGTCATATTCGTCTTCACCTCTCATCCTGATACCCGCTCACTGATATCTCTGGTAAAATGGGCGACGAGTGGAACCCTGACCCCGTACCGTCTTCGGAGTTGTGGGTATTTATTTCTCGCACTGCACCCTTGCAACTCACGTCCGTCCCAGGGATGTACTCTTCGTTCTGGATGTTACTGGAAGCATGCAGCCATACATCGACAGAGCCAGGGACGAGATTAACAACATCGCGACCGACCTTAAAGCATATGAAGGTTATGGCCCAGGCGAGCTGCGCTTCGGGCTCATTGTCTTCCGCGATCACCCGCCGCAAGACAGGACTATGCTTGCCCATACGTACGGCTTCACCTCAGATATCAACTCCCTCCGACGTGACCTTACTAGCCTGCGAGCTACCGGAGGTGGTGATGGCCCAGAGGCACAGGAAGATGCCTTAGAGCTCGCCCTGTTTGCGGGCTGGCGCTCGGGCGCCGCCAAGGCTGTTGAGCTGATCACTGACTCGCCGCCCCACGGCGTCTCACCGGGAAGCGGCGATGGGTTCCCCAGTGGCTGCCCCTTGCGTGAGCTCCTTTCCTCGCAAAGCTTGTACAATACGAGAGCTGACCTGCTGTTGATTCTCTCCACCAGTAATCGACATTCTCCGTACCGCTGACCGCATGGCGGACAAGGGAATCTCTCTGGTATGACCCCAGTTCATTTCCCGCATCCCCCAGTCGCCGACATTATCCTGCAGCATGTCCTCGCATGCGAGCCCTCCCTCGACAACTACAGGGTGAGTGTTCTACCTGTAATCGTAGGCTACGCTAATTACTATGGATACCCAGGGTGCCCATGACTTCTATGTGGGCCTCTCTGACAGAACGAAGTATGTGCGCTCTGAAGCATAATTATGTCTACATTTCTCATTAACAATATACAGGGGTTCGTTCGCGCCCCTCGCGGATCCGGGACCAATGAGAATGCTCGTCACCGGCTTTGCCTCTAAGGCGATCGACAGTGACCGCTTCACTACGCAGTACAGGCGATCTATCCAGCACCACGCGCATGTGAAGAAGCGTACCGCGCACGATATCGCGGTGGACCTCCATGCACACCTTTCAGCGGAAGGCGCCCACCACTTTGATGTCACCCATTCAGGCATCTATAAACACCACGAAGAGGGAAACAGAGACGCACACATCTGGGCCACGGCGCGCTCGCTGAGGGATGCCAAGCAGCGGGTCTCGCAGGTAAGAGAAAATCCTCTCGGTCGCCGTGTTTCGATAGGCTGATACGCTTCACACAGCCAGCAGGCAAGCGGCTCACGCCCGCGCATCGCGGCGGCGGTCATTATCCTCTCAAGTGTGGAAAGATACCTATCACGCGCGGCCATGTAATTTAATTCAGTTGACGCATCTCTCGACGCTCAGCTGATAGCATGCTGCTAGGTGGACACGATCATCTTCAAAGCGCTCAAGTCGGGCGGCGGGGCAAGTGGCGGTGGCTCGAAAGCTGTGAGTCCTGTTCTTGCGTTTGCCGTTATAGAGATTGTACCAACATGCATCCAGCACATGGGAAGTCATGCTAGCGCGATTCTGCAATCGGCGGGGCGGAGGTAATCAGACTGCCCGTGCGCTTGAGCTTACGATGATGTTGCTACATGGTCGTGTTAGGGTCCCGCTTGTGGTCTATGATCTTGTACTATAAAGGCCGGTTTCAGATTCAAAGCATATCGTCGTTCTTTGACTTGTGAGTCAAGCAAAAATTATCTTTAGGACTATTACGGACAGCGCTCGGAGTCTCGCGTAAGATATAAAGAGGAACTTCGCGCTGAGAGGAAGTTGCGAGAAAGTTAACCTATTATAAGCTGACTGTATAGCGATATCCTGTATACTGCTCCTCCCTTCCACCACTTGCCGCTCCCGCATTAGCAGCTATGTCGCGAGGTCGTCTCATCCTCGACTGTCACAGACCTATACCATGTCACCTGTCAATGCAAAAGGTACCCCATTAATCTTCTCACTCGGGGAAGCGCAACATGTTCGCAGCGCTCATCTCCGGCATCCTCTTCCTCACAATGCTCTCCACCTCTCGCCGCTCCGCCGACCTGTACCGCTCTCCGATGGGGTTAAAGAACACGGTCTTCAGCCTAGGAAGCTGGCGCAAGACGTCCCGGAGCTCGGTCCAGTTCATGCCCTTGTCCCAGTTCTGCAGCACCTCCGAGAGCGGTTGATCGGCAGCTGATAATGAAATCCGGAGGTGAACATGCTGGACAGAGGGCGGAATCATGGGTAGTGAGAGCCAGGACAGGTTCGCATCGCTCGATACTCTCAAGGGAGAGACGGCAATCTCGACTTCGCGGAGGGCAGTGCAAGATTCAAGAAGCGGATGGCGCGCGAAACCTAACAACACGATCGTAAGTCAAGGTCATGCTCTTCCACTCTTCAGCCCCGGGGATGGCTCACCTTTTGATTGTGCACACATGTTACCCGCGCACAACCGCACGCGGCTGAGCCTTGGTCCCGTAGATTGGAAGAACCGCAGGATCTTCGAGCTGCCCCAGAGCTTCCAGAGGCCAACGGACAGAATATGGGCGGCACCGGAGAGGAGGAGCCGATCAGCGATCTCTGGGAACCAGGAGTACGAATGTCGATGCATGTCGAGTACGCCGATGCGACACCGGTGGAGGAGCGCGTAGTCCTCCGGGGACGGCTCTTGGCCGAGCCTGTTCTCCATCTCGCGGCGCCGTTCATTCTCGTCTTCGCCCTCCACGAACACGAGGTTCGGGTTCGGCGCGAGGCCGCGGATGAGGAGCTCTTCGATGCGGACGTTGCGGAAGAAGAGCAGCGTGTAGAGCGCATCGAGCTTCGGCGAGCCCTGGAAGCTTGGTTCGTACCAGAGCTTCTCGAGCGAGGGCATGTCACAGCAGTGCGGCAACAAGGAGGACGCATCGCCGGCGACAGGTGGCACCACGACGCACTCGCTCATGTCGATGATCGCAAGTCTTGGCATCCGTTGGAGCAGCCGCGAAAGAGTTCGTGGATCAATTTCGAGCCTGTACTCTGGAGAATACCATGTATAGGTCTCAAGACGTTTCCGCGGCTTTGACACGATGCAGATGCTCCGAATGCTTGAACATATCGACGGGCTACCATCCAACATCTTGCACATCTCTTCATGACCGGTATAAAAGTCTTCTTCATACAGGTTCATGGAGGAAAACAGACGGCGACGGCTTCGGGGAACCCACGCCCGAGCCACGAGAACCAGGTCGGCAAAGTCTGCACGGCCATTTTCAGGTATGACATGGTCGATGATGTGGTCGATGAGTTCTTGAGGAAAGGTTGACAAGGACATCCCACTCGGACCTCAATGTACCGGAACCCGCAGGATGAATCGTGAGACGAGAGCAGGCGTATCTGCAAACTTGAAGCAAAAGGAGTTCTGTAATGTCGAAGACTTCACAATGGCAAGCTACTGTGCTGGAAAAAATGGTAGACAACGTAAGGCCACGGAAAGACTTTTGCCGAGCTTAGGCATGTTAGCTTAGATTTCACGTTCTGAACGCGCCGCGTACCGTTCTTTGTGCGAACGCACGCTGAGTAGGTGAGGCCGGTGAGGGCTGGGCCTGTTGTACGTTCTGCGCAGAAAGTGCTCGTTGCTACGTCGATGCTGCAATCAGATGTTGGTCTTTCAAGGTCAGCGCTTGTAGTGGTCGTGAGCAGCACAGCATTCAAGTGCAGAGCGGTGATCAAATGGCACGCCGTGAGAGTATGATGGCGCATCAATTGGTGCGTAACTTCCTGCAGCGTAGGCGGCTCACCTGCAAACCATCACTCCATTTACTCTTGGTCCGTTTGACATTTAGCAAGCAGATAACTAAAGCACATATGCGGAAAATGCATGCTAAGGGTGAGGTAGTCATAACCAGGTGCGCCGCGGGATGTATCTGCGAAATTTCAAACAGCGGGCGAGAGAGCCACTAGTAAGTACAGATGCCTGAGTGTACCTCGGTGAAATCGCTTTCAGACATTCAGCTGTCATCTTTCCTCTCAGATCGTTCTCCATGGCTTACGCGGGACACTGAACATGTTGAAGTGGCTAATTGGTGATCAGAACGACCACCCATAAGGCTGTTGATCTGATCACCAACTGCACACCACGTCCTCGCGCCTGGCAGGATCGCCGTTACAACCAGCTGCACGGATTCCAAGCGATCGTTGAGTTAGTTGATTTTTGAGCCGAAGTCGAATAATAGACCAAGGGGGTGCGGCCCTCTAACCATGGCAGATTCGTTAACCAGCCGCCCGCAGTGCTCGCGTGAGCTTGAAGAGGAGGACGCAAGGGTTGTCAACGACCCGTTGGTGTACAGTTCTCAACTTGGTGGGCTTCTGGCCTTATGTTGAACAGATCAAAGTTCCCTAGCTTAGACGTGAATAGTAACAGTATTGATACAGGAGCGACCGACTGCAGAGACGGGCGGATGATTCTGAGCGGCATTCTCAGCCCGTGCCATATTTATGCGATACTTTCTGCTCGAGGATATAATATGAAATGAATGACTTTGCGCATGCAAGCATGCTAAATATAATATTATTACGACATTCCCAGGGACCCTTTCCTGATACTAGAACCCTTTCTACCCATGAGAAGGGTCATACCGCTACTAGGTTGGTAGCGTTCTATCCGCCGTTACGCCATGACTGCACAAAGCACCAGAAAATGGAGAGGCTGGGACAAGCTTAGGAAGGCGAACGCGGCGGCGTATTCATAGTCTTGTTAGTAGACGAAGCGATGGAAATTAACTCGAGGGCTAGTCTCTTCAATGATCTCGAAAGAACTAAAATCGTCGATCCTTCACCCCGTGGCGGGGCATACAAAGGCACCACAACCTATTATCCTTTCTCGAGGTTTCATACTGAATAATTGTGGTTAGGGAACGCGTCTTGCCTCTGCGCTCGCGTGTTCTCGGAAGATATGGCCGACGCCCCCATGGTAGACCCCTCCCCCCTCTCTCTCCCACTGGTAGCACCGAACTACCCATGCATTCTGAAGCGCTTGCCGGCGTGCTGAAAGGCTTCTTCCCATTGTATGTGCCCGTGTCTGCGCAGTACACTGAGGGGCGGACATAGCCGGCGTCGGGCACGTATGGACGATGAGTCAAGCCGCAAGAATTGAGCACACCTATGGCGAGGTCGTGTGGGCCTCGTTCGATGCGCCTTGTATGCCACCGTCCAAGGTCAATTAGGGACCATACGCTGTGTGCTGCTCCCGAGCGCGTACTCGAGTGGCGACCGCGGAGTTATTGGTTGGCACATCAGGAAAATCTCCGGGTGTTGGAGGCGTCTTGGATTGGATGACATGCCTTAGTCTGCCTTAGGCGTTGTCGAGACCTGTCTTGGAGGTGTTACCCAACATCATCAAGGTACCCAAGGCATGTCGGTCCGATCCTAAGACGCACAAGCGACGTCAAGACGTTTGGACATTTTCCTGATGCACCTCAGCGCACACTGTCCTTCGTCAAGGAGATTGTGCCGTGCCAGGACCGGGTATGGCAGATTAGTACGTGGCTTTGCAGCCACAATGCATGCGGGTACAAGTATGCGGCAGTGTGCCTAGCAGAGGGATAGGAACCAGTATTGCAGGAGAGATATAAAATAGAAGATGTACGTTGATCATCCAGTTAAAAACCTGAGATATACTGAGCCCTGTGGCGTTGCACAGGGCCTTCTTCTCTTCTTCGCTCGGATACGGATGGCTCGAGTGGTGATAGAGCCAGCTCTAGAGGTAGTCCGTTGTAGGCTCAGGCATCTTGCCCCGCTCTTCCGATGGTAGCTCGATCAGGCTTGGCGGCGGGATCGGTTGTTGCTGCTGCCCTCGGAGAGAACTCGGACGCATCTGCGACTCGATAAGAGAACTAGATGCGGCTCGGTCACTTTCGGTGTTAGGCAGTGGCAGTGAAAAACCAACACTAGAAGAGGCAAGGGGTGGTGCCGATTAGTGACGTTGCAATAGGAGACAGCGCGTGGAAGGAAGTGTTCGGGGTGAATTGCACCTGACCATAGGAGAACCAGGGAGCCGCCGCACGAGGGCAGTGAATCGTAGCAGGAGGAACATAATGAAGAATTGAAAAGAATCAAAGAAGTTTGAGCTTTCAGCGATAGAAACATGATCACTCTCACCACCTCCAGCTCGTTGTTAGGTCTATCTTTATCATTACCGTCCTGGAGCACTATTTCCAGTAATCTACAACTTTATATATAATAAGTGTGCTGACAAAATATGTAGTCATCGCTATTTGACTTATCACAATCGGCTACTCATATCTTTCGGCCTTCTATCGCGAGAGTGTTCGAGAATTGAAACGTCTGGATGCGTCAGCTGCCTTCAAGTTCTCAGCCACATACGTTGGCATCCTAGGAATTCAACTCCGCTGAACCTGTTGCCCAAGGGTGGCAGCATCTTCCGTGGCATGGGTGAGCGGAACAACATCCAAAAGGCTGCGCTACATATAGAATGCTCTTAGACGTTCACCGGATTTAAATTCCAGGTGTTTCGCTGCACCGTAAATTTCTATGTGGAAAATAGCCAGTACAACGATAGCCGTGGAAAGGATCAAGCGACTATAGAAGGAATATTCAGCCAATCACGAGGTATACCGAGTTGCGAGCACCTACAGAAAAATAGATATGCAGAACGGTGCAGTCTTAAATGCATTTTAAAATCTGAAGAGGCCCGGGCGGAAGTCGGTTTGTTGTGAACCCATCCAGGCGAAGCCTAAAAATGATGTCAATCAATCACCACTACGTGCGATGGTCTCTCAAGGCACAACTTACCAGGCACATCCAGCATCGACCAATTATCCATAAACAGTAAGAGCTCGTTGAATGGCAGAGGAGGGGCAAAGAACGGAGAAGAGTCCGTCGTCATAATGTCCGGCTCGTGCGTGAGTGGCGAGGGTAGATAGGAATCCAGGAGCCCAGGGGACCGTACCTCTGGCTCGGGAGACAGTGACAGCGATGGTCTGGCGCTGCGGGGATTGGACGAGGATTGCATGGAGTACAGGTCCCCGTCATGTAGCTCGATCTTCTGCACCATCGGCGATTCGGACTTGGCCTTGAGCTGCTTCCTATGCGGGCCCGGGGAATGGTCGAGCCGCGCGGCAGCTTTGTCTAACAGACCCTGCAGGAAGCGAGAATAGACCTTCGGGCTGTGCTGGTCGTCAATGGCAACCTCAGGAGAACCGAGCAGGTCGATGATCTGCCGAACGCGGTCGCGAATCTGTTGGCGCTGGCTACGATCGAGGTAGGAAGCGTAACGGGGCTGAAGGAGCTTGATAAGGAAGGCGCAGGCGAACGTCACGAAGACACTTTGCGCCTCGGGGCCATGGCGAAGGAAGATCTCTGCGGTAAGCAATGAGCAATCTTCATCCACTTGTGCTAAAGACCCGGTGCACATACTCTGCTCTGGGACAGCAATCTCGTCAAGTATAGACGCTAAGACATCCATGGCGGCGCACAGACACTAGCAAGCGGGTAAGCGAAAGGAGATTCTTCGATGGAAGAAACGTATATACCCTATTAAGCAGGTCCACATCACGGCCAAGGTTGCTCTTACCAAATGCATACTGGAAGCCCCACGACAAGATCGTTGTGCGCGAATAACTGTATGCCAGCCGAAGCAGTCCAGTGCGGAACTTGCACTGCGGGTCGTTCGGGTCCGTATGCTCACGGACACGCCTGATCCACACGCTCCACGTCTGCGCAAGCTCGTCGTCGAACCTGCTTGCGATATCCGCGATGTCGAGGTTCTTGTTGAAGCCCTTCGGGCTGTTCTTATCGCTGTTGACCATGTTGCGGAAGCGACCCATGATGGTGAGGTCTGCGTTGTGGCAGGCGAGGTGGATGTCAAAGCCAGCCATGTTGTACGGCGAGCTGTCCCACCACTCGCCCGAACGATTTGCGACAAAATCGTTGTTGTTGATGATCGGTGCTTTGCCGTACTGTGAGCCCGTCGAGCGGTCCAGGTTGAAGCAGTTGAGCCACACGCGTGTACGGTTCAACATGACGCGAGCATGCATCTCATCGCGCGGGTTTGCTGTGATCGGGTGGTGTAGATTCAAGTCTGTCGCTATCCTGCAGAATGTTGTCACCTCCCTGAAACCAATCAGTGCAGAGAGCGGGCATACCGTATGGCGACACCCAGATAGATCCAGCTGCGGTCATCCTCCCACTTCCTCGAAGGGACAGGATACAGCGCAAGAAGGATATATGCATGCACGACATCCACGGACTTCTGCCCCCCGGTGAGCGCAGTACCAGCCGCGAGTCGGGCGTAATGCATTGCCTTCTGGTAGAGCCCAGATTTCTCGGTATAGAATCTTGATGCAATGCCGCAGACTAGTGGACTCAACACAGGCTATCAAAGATATGGCTCATCAATCTACTCACTGACGGTGAACAGGAAATGGCTGTGGATGACGAGATATTCCATCGTGTAAAGGACAGGGTCCAGCAGGCTGACAGACAGGTTCATGTAGTCCCAGTATCTGGAAAGCCACCAGATAGTCAGTGACATGTAACGCAGTCAGATCGTATACTCACATCTTGATCAGCTTCTCTGCCTCCTCGATCGTGATCAAACCGCTGCGGAGGATGTGAGGCACGTCGTTCTGAGCCGGTGCTTTCTCCAGAGCAGGACCTGAGGAGTAGAGGGCTGAGAATTAAGCATCACGAGGAGAGCGCAGACGGCTCACTGGCACGGAAGAAGTCGGGGTTTGCGAGACAGACTTCCTTTTCCTCATCGTCCTCACCTCCAATGCTACTCTTTGATTTAATCCTTCCGAGTCCTGGGTTTTTCCGCAAGCTCATCTTCGCCATCAGCCCAAACGGCGCTACCGGGCTGGGGATCGTCGCGATCGTTGCAAGCTGTTCTTTTCTGGGGACGATCTCAGGGCTATCCGACAAGCGGCTGTGCGACAAGCGGCGGGCCGCGCTCATGCAATCCTCATCGCCACCGATGTCCTCGTTGGCCTCCCCGACTGTCACCGCAAGCTCGTCGTCGTCGTCGTCGTCCTGCCGCTCGTTCTCCAAGTCACTGGCCTCCTCTTCTGCCACAAGGTCGTCGCGCTTGACGCTGGAGCCGCCCATGTTGATGTACCCGTCGAATGCCCGGATAGACTCGCGCGCCGTGGCGAGCCAGCCCTGCACGTCCGCGTTCGTGCGCACCGAGGCCTGCGAGGGCGCCCCATCGTCAAGCTCGGGCGACATGAGCCGCAAGTCGGACATGGAGATGAACGAGAAATCCGTCGTCGATGTGGGTGACGGCGCACTCGACACGGAGGCGGCCTGCGCCATCCGCACACGCTTGTTCGCCTCCTCGAGCTCGGATACGGGCGTCTTGATCTTCTCCGCCCGTTCGCGGATCTGGTTCACTAGCAGCTCGCGCTTCCTGTAGAGATCTGTCAGAGCAGGGCGGGCGGACTAGGTGCAGCTGAGACGTACGGAGGAGGCTGGCGCTTTTTGCGGCCAGAGATCGTGCACTCGCCGCCTCTGCGGTAGCATCTCTTGCAGGTGTCGGGATCCTCCAGCGATGGTTCACACTTGACATTCGAACCCTTGCAGCGCGTGCATGCTCTAGAACGCGAAACCAGGGTAAGACGCTGAAATAGCACGAGTCGTGCAGCAGAGAAGCTCACGGTCGCCTATTCGCGGCATCGGCCTTGCCCGGACCACCGTCCTTCTCCTCTTGAATGGGCTCATCGTAGTCGTTCGGCCATAGCTTCTTGTTAGCTCTAGTACTGACTTCGACCCATCCATGGTGATAAGGTAGATGGAAGGATAAGGAGAGTGGAGATGGTGGAAAGCTGTAAGGCCCGTGGGTGGATGCAGTGGACGATGAACGAGGGACTGTCGTCCACGTTGTATGCGATGTCTCGCCTTCGTTGGAACCGATGTAATGATTCTCCAGCTCCGAGTCTCTGCAATAAAGACGAGTGAGCGGTAAGGCTGTAAGGTTATGTAAAGCACGGACGGGTACTTGGTTGTGTCTGCCATGTCCTCTGCCACTGCATCGATCATCACTATTTTATTTTCTGCCACCGCATCCAGACTTTGGATGTCTAGGTCTTCAGAAGCAGGATTATAGTCACCTGCATCAGGATCGTGCGTAAATGAGGCGACTGTACCATATTGAGCCTTTGTCACCGGCCAGATCTGATTCACTGACTTTTAATGTTCTCATAGGAGATTACATGGAATGGCGTATCCCAGGCACAGTCATGCAAGATGGCTAGCTCGGCCGTGGAGTTCTGCGCCTCAAGTGTCAGGAGTTTAGCCAACACACGCAGGCGCGTCCCACACACCTCAAACACATGCTGGGCAAGCGACTCCAGCGGGTCCTTAAACTACATACAATACTGTAAGTGATACACGAAACGGCCGAATCGCGTTTCAAGTACTTACGGAAGGAATGACTGTTGACTGAACTGTCGCGTCCTCTCCATCTGGACTCATAAAAATGAGACTCGTAGATCCGCAGGAGGGGATACTCCGTACCGTGGCTCGCCAATGTCATCCATGCTGTAACGCCTTCGTTTTCTTGGTCTGACTTTCTGGAAGCATCAGGATCCTCGGGCTCAGCCGCGGCTTGAAGCTTGACGGGGGCCATGGGCAGCGGCCGTTTAAACACGCGCAGACCTCTCACGAAAACGCATTGATCCAACACAGGCACTTCTCCAGTATCGGATAACTGCTTCTCAGCACGCTGTGGGCCGCAGTGCTTGTGCACGTGCGGAGAGTGGCACTTCCAATGGCCCCACGATGCGGATGCAGAGGCGCTATGAGACGCGGATATCTCGAACTCTATACTGAAGTTCCTGTTGTTCTGCGCGAAGGAGAACATCGAAAAGTCAGCCGTCATGTCGCAGCCGGTTACCAAGACCAGCTGGTCAACGCTTTTCACAGGGTGCCCACCCTGCTTAGCGAATTTGAACCATGACTGATAGTACTTGAGAATATATGCTTCGAACAATCCCTGGCGCTGCGCGTCATAGCGCTTGGTCTTGTGTTTCGTCAGCAGCAGTGCTCCTTCAGACGTCGAAGCCTCGCATGAGAATGAGGCCTTTCCTTTCGCGAGATCCGCATTTCTAGAGGGATAAACACATCAGCACGGGTGATAAGACTACTGCGCTCACCCAGTAATCTGTCCCCTGACTGACGATGATTCGCCGTAGGTTCTCGATAATGGACCTGGTTCTCGCGACACCGTGTCGATGATCGGCCCAATTGACAGGGGAATGTGGCCTTCGGGAACATCTACGCCATATATCTTACCATCAACAGGATCCCCCGCGTTGAACAGGAGTTGAAATCCTCCGAGATAGAAGTAGCCGACGTCTCCGATACGTACGAGAGAGAAATGAGGAGCGGGATCCCTGCGCATTAGTGCTTAGAGAAATACACAATCCGGGGCCGTGAGTTATTGCTGTACCATAATGCGAGACCAAGCTTCAGTGGTGCCATGCAGCTATGTGATAGTTGTCATAGCATGATGGTAAGTATGGCAGTAAGGCACTTACTCGGCATAAATTTGATAGTCGGATTTGCCTGAGATGTCCATGGGCATGATGAACGTTAAGCGGTGGAGAGCGGGGAAGAGAGAATCTGGATGATTATTGTTTCTCCAGGCCTGCCTTTTATCGTCGAAGATACGTCGAATAAGACGCTGGGATTTACATGTTCTTCTAGAGACCAGTGCAGGCGCTTTATGTGCGGTGTTCATTCGAGAACTCTGAAGTTTCGTAAATGAATTCTAATAGTGCGAAATAGCGGGGCGAAGAAGCTTCTAAACCTGATACGAGACAACGTGTTATCAAGAACATGCATACTATTTGCACTTACCAGTGTCCCGAGAGACGCCAAAACAGAGCATTCAATCAACCACAAAGCCATCCGCAGTTCCTCTGGAGAATACGCTGTACACCGGAGGTTCTTTTGGCGGTCCTAACTATCGCGCATTCACTGACCTGCGGAAGCGCTTCAGAAAGCAAGGGATCTGATAGTAAATGAAGTACAAGACATCCATACTGCACACGCTCTCATTTCAGCTCAGCAGCGACAAGCTCCAAGACATCCCTTGTGCTCTTGCCTGTGTTCTCCATATCCTTCGCGAGAGCCTGCCAGATCTGCCCGTGATGAGGCTCTGCAGCCACGCATCGCTTGATAACCTCTTCCTGATGTTCCTGCATCGCATTCAGTACATATGCACAGACACGTGCCACGATATGAACGCACCCGCGTCCCATGCTGTCTCTCGAACTTGAGCCACCATGCCCACACGTCGCCTAGGTCAGGATTGATCTTGACCGCACGCTCAAACCACTGCCTCGCCTTCTCGATCTTGCGTTCGTTCCAGAACAGCCGCGCCACGGTGCAGATGATGAGCGGGTCGTCCGCTGCTTTGCGCAGCGCGTCCGCCGACCGCGACTTGCGTGTCGGTCGCGGCTCCTGCCAGATCGCCATCGACCATAGCAGACCCGAGCTCGGGCACTCCTGCAGGCCGCGCGAGAGCACGGTCTTCGCCTGTGCGGCACCGCCGCTGCGCTCCTCGACGCCGATGGCTTCGGCCCACAACAGATCGCTGCCCGGGTTCGCGAGCCGGGCCTTGTCAAGCAGCGCACGGGCCTTAATGCTCTTCCCGTCGGCTTCTTCGAGTCGGCTCGAGAGTATCCAGAGGGTGACGTCCTTGGGGCACTGTTTGATGCCGGCCGCGAAAGAGGCGCGCGCTGCGGCGTATTTGCCCTGCGACTGGTGTATTTGACCTTGGATCATGTACAGCTTTGCAAACTTCGGATACTTCTTCAGGGCGATTTCGAGAGTTTCCAGCGCGGTCGACAGTTTCCCTTGCTGCCGCTCGAAGACAGCTGACTTCATCCAGATCTAAGCTCAGAATTAGTATAAAGGTTCGGTTATCTGCTCCATGAGTTCGCTTACCCGCTGAGTATCGGCTACGGTTCGCGCGCGAACGAGCAGTTCTCGAGCAACACCGAGCTCTCCGTTCTCTGCCTCCAACTTGACAGCAGCCAGCCAGATCTGCTCGCTCTCGGGATTTGCAACGAACGCCTTCTCGAGGACCTCGCGTGCAGCAGGGACATCTCTGGCCAGCCACTTCTCCTTCGCCCACATGAGCCAAAGCACCTCAGCCTGCGGTACGTGGTGCACCGCGCGCTCCAGGATGGCGACGAGGGAATCGCGCGTGCCATGTGTCCGCTCGAGATCGGCTGCGCGCCGCCAAAGCGACCGCTTGTCGGGGAACACCCTGAGGGCGTACGCGAGAATGGCACGCGCAGTCCCGATGCGGCCTCTCGACTCGGCAGCCTCCGCGTCGCCCGTCCAGGTGTCGAGACGGTCCTCCTCCTCGACGTCCATCGCAACGGTTGCCTTTATGATCGCTTCGCACGTCCTCGGCGAGCCATCCTCTTCGCATTTCTCGGCCTCCTTGAGCCACTGCTCGCGCGTGAGGAGAACCTGGTGCTGCCGGAGGTTGCGCACACCACGCTCGATGATCGTGTCGACGGCGTCGAGCTCCTTGTTGCGCTCCTCTTCGCTCCTCTCGGGTAGCGTCGCCTGCTGCTCCATGAGCCGGCCGGCAGCAATCCAAATCTCGTGGCTGGTCGGGACGGCCTTACGAGCCTTGTTGAGGACGGCCTGTGCCTTGTCCGGGGTTTCGAGACGTGCTAACGCCAGCCACAGCTCGACGGAAAGCGGGATGACTTCGACTGCGCGCTGAAGTATAATCCTGGCGTCTGCAGCTGACGACTCCAAGTTGACCGTCTCTTTCCAGAGTCGGACCGAGTTGGGAATGTGCTCGAGGGCTTTCCGCAGAACTCGCTTCTTGGCTTTGATGTCGTGCTCCAAATCGGCAGCGGCAAGCCAGATCTTCACGCTTTGGCCAACGTGTTGAACAGCGTTTGCGAGAATGACTTTCGCATCGTCGTTATTCTATCAGAACTGTCAGTGACGTTCTGTAGCAGAGCAACACAACGGGGGACGCTCACATGCAGCCGAGAGGCCTCAAGCCAAACATCTTCGCTTTTGGGGCACTGCTCGCAACCCGCGTTAATCAGTTTGCGTGCAGCTACCATTCGGCCAGCATGTTCTTCCAGACGAGCTGCAGCAATCCATCCGGGTGAATGCTTCGGGTTGGACTTCACTAGTGAGTCGAAGAGCATACGGGCACGCTTGATGTCGCCAATTTCGGCATCGGTCTTCAGGATGACACTGTCCAGTGAGGTGAGATAGCCTTTGGGGTCAACAGACGTTGCAAGGCCGGAAGCAGTTGACGTTCCAGAGACCTACTGTGATGTAAGGACAACTCAAGCTCGTGTTGATTGGACACCCACCTGGTCGAGCTTCAGAGAAAGGATCTTGTCACGGGCTTGTCCCATTTCCACGAAGTTCGTCAAAGTACCATTCTCTGCGGGAGTCTCGAAGCCACCGGCCTGCGAGGCAAGTCAGCGATATGCAAGCGTGCTTCCCAAATGTAGGACGTACCTCTTGTTGTCTGGCATCCAACGCATTCTCGTATTCACCCCTTGAACGATCGCCCACGAGAACGCTGTCCGGTACAACGAATGATCTCTCGTCCCTTTTACGCTTTTTCCTGGTGAGATTGCCCACCTCTGGAATGTTCTCCCACTCCTCATCTGTCACGGCTGAGAGGCCTCGCTTTAGGTCGGAAAATTGTTGCTGGATTTTGGGACGCTCGGCACGATGCTTCGCAAGTTCTAGATTCTCCCGCACTTCTCTAAGAATCCAGAGCTGAGTAGTTCATGCGGACACACGCAATGGGTGGTACGTACCGCCTGATCCGTCTCCTGGCGTCCATGTTCTGGTCTACCTGCTCGTATATCTTGTCGGCCTCCTCGTCATCTGCCTCATATGTAGTACCCGCGAAAAGACCGTACTCGTTATCGGGGTCTTGAAATTGGTCGGGATCATAGTCGGGTTCTTCGCCGCGACGCGCCTGCGCCTCTCTAAACAAAGGTTAGCCCGCATGCGCGGTCCAAATGCAAGACGCACTCACGCAATAACTTCTGCAGACGGTCCCTCGCGAGCAGGACCAATATCCGAACGAGTTGTGAAACCCGAAGCGCTGCAAAGCCAAGTGAATACATAGGTGCTCTAATAACGAACTTGCGGAACTTACCCTCGTCCAAGACCAGCAACATAGGATGCCGGAGCTGGCATGGACAGAAAAGCGAGCTTGTTTGTTTTATTTGTCGCCATCTCGCCTTAGTGGTTTAGCTGAGCTGCAGGATACGCAGAGAGGATGGCGGAGGTGCGGGAGGGAGCGATACGCGCTTACTACATCCGGAGATGTGACATAATAACCGCGGACGTTACGCTGCGTTATGGTAACGCATAACGACTCCGTAACTACCCGCCGCTGTCACGCGATGCTTTTCCAATTGAGCCACTATCCACCACTGCACATCCTTTGCTTGCAGGAGTCGCCTATGATTCATTGATGACTTTACGAATGTCTGCGAGGCTTCAATTAATAGTCTCTTCGTAACCCCGCGCGTTCCATGCAATGTGCACTTCCTGTGGAACACTAGTTCAGGTGGAGACTTCACGATGGGTACTGTATGGCGGTATGTTATGCAACCTTTGGTCCATATCGGTATGCTGATCTTTCATTCTCAGCCATTCCTACCATCCTCCCAAGACTGTGGCGTCCCAGGCCCCCCTTGTGCCAGCCAACGCCAACAGGCGCACCTGGCACTTCGCCTTACGGTCGCTTAGCCCGGAATGCTTCGAGGTCTTCGATAGTAGCATGGTCGTGGCAATATAAAATACCGTTCAATTGCATGTGCATCAACTCGTGCCTGGGTCCAGACTTCGCAATTGAGTGGGCAGGCAGAGCGCACGGCATATTGTCGCATACGAGTTTCGCCTGGGAGAGTTCGCGGCGGTGTTTGCTATACCACAGCGGGACCATGGGCGAACGCGCCGTCATCCATGCCGTCACCCCCCGGTCTATCGTGACAGGCAGAATCATCTCATCAAGTAATGAAGCCATAACTAGCTGTAAGCGACCTACGCTTCCGTTCCCGCTGTGCTTCTGAAGGACGCCACCTTGATACATATAGCCGCATGCTTGTGTAAATCTTATCCGAACACTCTACGCTGCCCATTACGGTATGTATCCTGCGATCTTGCTTGATCTGTCTCTCACACTTGTCGTATCCGTTGGCGCTACTTATCTGGAATGTTCGCGTAGGCAGGCTAAGCCGCTTACTGAACGTATATAAAACAAGCAAGACCTGTGTATGACGGTCGTTATGCCTTCTCCAGGATGCCCACTGCTCAGATAGATAACAATGGCACCTCCGTCTACTACATAGACTCCGGAGCACCACGTGGTCGTCCTAACTACACCACTGTGGTACTAGTCCACGGCTTTGGTGTCAACGGTGGTACGTTCGGCGTATCAATCCTACGCAAGCGTCAGCTCTTACACCTCATCTATAGGAATCTTTGAGCGTATGTTGCCGTATGCCGCGAAATACGGACTCCGTGTGATTGCAATGAACAGCCGAGACTACTCTGGATCGACGCCTTACACGCCTGATGAGCTTTCAGACTACACTAGTCACAAGGTGGACGTTCAGGCGGCCGCCGTGAGAAGGTGGGGGAACGAAATCTGCAGATTCCTTGCCCATGTATGCCTACGCATCGGCATTCCACGCACGACCGGGGCAGGAGACAGAAAGAGCGGCGGGCTCATCCTGCTGACATGGTCGCTCGCTGTCACGGCCGCATTCTCCATCCTGGGCGATCCTCGCACTCTAGGCACCGAGCTTAGCTCGCAGCTGGCACCATACCTGCGGCGAGTCATCTTATACGGTTCGTCTCCCTCGGTCCCTCCCGTCGTGCGCCTACCCTGACAAAGCCTCCCACAGACGGGTCTGCACTCACCGCAGGCGTCGATCCCAACTTGATGCTGACTTGGCCGATAGCCGACCCGCTGGTCCCACTCGAGCAGAAGGCGGCCAAATTCCACGAATGGGTCTCCTCATACTCCACTCCACATCCCGACGGCGCGCCCATCACGGTTGAGGCGCTGCACGCACGCACGGTGCTGCCGCGCCCACCCACGCTGTCTACGCTGACGCCCGCCGACCTGCAGCGCGTCACGAACCCCGAGGTCGCGCTCCGTTCGGCGCTCATCGTGAACACCGACAGGGGTATCCATCAACGGCACGCGCACGCGACGTTCTCGGACGCTGAGGCCGTGCTGCCGGATGTCGAAGTCGCGGTGTGGTGGTGTGATCAGACGTTCTGGATGGCAGTCTGGGGTGCGAAGGTCTTTGAAGACTTCATCAAGGAAGAGCCGGATGCTGGCAAGCGGAAGCGGGAGGCATGGATCTTCAAGGTCAAGGATGCAAATCATTTCGTGAGTTTACTGTGCTTCAGGAAGATGGTGTATAAAGCTAAGATGTTTGTTCGCAGCTGCATTGGGACGAGCCCGAGAGAATGGTTCGCCTCCTGGCTGAGACTTGTGACCCGCAACCGCTCGCTAAACTCTGAATAAACTCGTGTTGAAGTCCATTCCATCCGATCGCAGCAGGGAGCAGCAGTCCCAGAAGCATCCACACTATTCCAGCTGCGCCTCCGTGCTGCATGGTGACAAATATCGTCTGAGACTTACTACATCAGTGATTTGATGATCCGCTTAGTCGGAGCTTCGCTACCTGCATCATTGCACCTTGTGGTTGCGATATCGACCAAGTATATAAGAGCACACCATTCAGTCCCCTACATTGCATCGTGCAGCTCTGCGACCCCAATGACCGACATAATCACTCTCTATGACATACCTGGAAACTCTGAGAAATGTAAAGCATGGTCGCCTAGTACCTGGAAAGCCCGGTAAGTCTCGGCCCTGCCCAAACCCATTTATCCACTGACCGTTGGCTCAGGTTCGCCCTGAACATCAAAGGCATCCCGTATAAAACTGAATGGGTCGAATACCCTGACATTGGCAAGGTGTATGAGAAGCATAAAATCGAGACCATATACAAGGAAGACGACGGCTCGCCCTTATACACACTTCCCGTCATCTACGACCCGTCCACGGGGCGCACCGTCGCCGAGTCCTCCGATATCGCCAAATACCTCGACAAGACGTACCCTGACACACGGACACTTTTCCCAAAGGGCACCGCAGCGCTGCACGAGGCGTTCGTGTCAGCGTACGTTCAGGTGCACAAGGCGCTCTACAACATCGTGTGCTGCGCCGCATGCTACTGTCTGAATGAGCGCAGCCAAGTCTTCTACCGTACGACGCGGGAAGAGGACCTGGGCATGAGGCTTGAGGAGCTGCGGACCGAGAAGGGCTGGGAAGACGCTGAGGCGGCATTCGGCAAGCTTGCGGACTGGCTCGCCGCCAACGGCGAGGGCCAGGACGACTGGGTCATGGGCGGGGGAACCATCTGCTTTGCAGATTTGCGCATCGTATCTGGCCTGATGTGGGCGAAGACGACATTAGGAGAGGAGTCGGAGGAGTGGAGGAGAATCTGCGGGTGGCATGGAGGCAAGTGGAAACGGATTGTGGAGAACTTCGAGCAGTACGCCCACGTAGATCTGTGACGTGACATGCGCAGTAACGCCTTATGCGTTTGCGGGGCAACCCAATTAGGAGCAATTGGAGTGGAACGTTTGTGCATCCTCAGGAGGGCGGCAAGTAGACGCGGAATGACCTCGTTAGGCGCATCAGGCGCATCAAAGATTGTGATGCGCCATCGTAACGCCACGAAGGCGGCCAAAAAAGTTGTGCGCGACCTTCACCTTCACTCCCACGTCGAACCTGACGACATCGCGATGGAAACGCATTCTGTCGCAAATGAATTCACACATTCTTGGCGGATCCACGACCTCCGTGTTTCAATCGCGGCCAATGCAGTCCATCCCTATCCAAGGCGGGCAAGCTCCTCATGGTTCAGGGGGTTCAGGAGTTTACTACTATGAGCGCCCCAGAATCTCCCTCTCTCGTAAAACCATCTCATCTCGAGGCCATATAACTGCGGCTTCTTGCCTCGCAGCAAACAGACATGCAGTCAGAGATCACTCGTACACGCGTTATCAAGGTTCTATTTGTCGCAGTCCTGGCACTCCTGGCGTTGAGCGTTCTTCTGGTTTCCCGTGGACCATCGGCGAACACTAACCATCTGGTGAGTGCGCAGTGCATCTCTTTCTCCTACCACCATCTCCTCACCTGTCTGTCTGCTCCGAACAGTTCGACGATATGCCCGAAGGCGACATCTTCACCTCAAGCCCCAGTCCTGGTCAAGCTGGTCAGGAGATTCCTTGGTACATTCTTCCTGAAGGCTCTTACGTCCCTCCGTATGGCGACTGGGCTGCTCAATCGTGGCGTTACGCCGCAGACGCTACCGTTGACCTGCCCCTGTCCTCAGCTACGCTCTTCTTCACTGCACAAGGAGCCGGCCTCACGGGCACGCTGAACATTCAAAATGATGGAAGCCGTGGTGCAGATGTTGCGCGTGTGCAAGTACGGATGTACTATACCGCTGCGCGCCTTGCGGACGCGGCCAAGGTACTGCGAGAGCAGCCTGCTGCGGGGAACAACGGTATCGGTATCAAGGTGCGTGCGCTGCGTCTATTCTAAACCACAGGTTCTGTGACACACGTATGCAGACCCCCAACCGCACTAGTCAAAACGAGCATATGTTCTTTGACGTTAGAGTTCACCTGCCGCGCGGCACGGCCCAGGATCCGCAGCGCATCTCCAACCTCGAGGCTGATCTTCCTAACTTCGCCCACATCCTTGGTGATCTTGCAGATGGAGTCCATTTCAATCGCATTTCGCTCACGGGAGCGAATAATTATATCTCATCGAAGGTGCGCTTTCTTCTCCAGACAGGTCGCAGCTATGATCTAATGCAAACACCTCGCATGACAGTCCCTGTTGGCAGATATCGCGCATATAAGGACCTCTAATGCCGCAATCGAGGGTCACTACATCGCCAACAGCATTCTTAGTCTGAATACAGACAACGGCCATGTCAAAACTGATGTCACCCTCACCAACGCCGGCAGCCGGGCATCTACACTCGACTTGAGAGCGAGTAACGGGTGCGACTGACCGTTTTCTCTCTGTGTCAGCTTCTCTGACGCCCATTCTCCTCCAGCCAAGTCACCTCGACCATCTCGCTTCTGTCGACCTCCCAGGACAGCACCGGCGGCGTCTTCGAAGTGAAGGCCCGGACGTCGAATGGTGGCATCGCGCTCTCCTTCCCCGAGGCGCCGCTCGACTCAGTGCAGCACGTCGAGGCGCAGAGCTCGATCGGGGACGCCACCGTGCAGATGCACAAGACCTTCGAGGGCACGTTCAGCCTGTCTCAGTCGTTCCCCGCGCCGGTCATCCAGTATGACAACCGCGCGTCGGACCCGGCGGGCACCGGTCGGGAGAGGAACGTCGGGTACCAGCGGGACGGGAGCGGTGCTTTTGTGGGCCGTACGACGTGGGGTCAGCCGGCACGCGGAAAGGGCATGGGAAATGTCAACGTGCAGACGTCGATTGGCAATACTAAGCTTATTCTGTGATTTGTTCTCGTGGTAGTCGCATCTATGGGAAGAACTTGATTGGCAATGTATGATCTGGGTGCTACGCGACATTGAATAAAATCGTTCGGCAAATAACCTCTTGAATATCAGTTTAGTCGGGTTTGCACTTCAGCAACTCTCAGGAGATCTATTGGTGCACAGACGCTCGAGCCATAATCCAATGCTTCTAACAGCGAGAGTACATCGTGAGCCCGTCGCTTCATACGTCCTCCTCTAAACCATTCGACCAAGCCTCATACTCATCAAATTCCTGTAGCAGCTTATCCAACTTCGCTTTTGCGCGCTCGCGGCCGTCATGCCCCAAGAACATGCGCAATGGAGGGCTCGGCAGCTCTGATACCTCGTAGAACTTTTCTACCACCTTGTCGGTGTCTCCGACCCGGATTGGACGGCTGGGGTCATACAGCATTTGGATGGCCTTGCGTGTCTCGAGAGTTTGCTTCGTGTATGCAGGATGGAAGGGCAATGTGATACCCTTGGCCTTGATAGGCGTGCGGAATACACCAGGAATAAGGAGAACGATCTGTGCCAGACCTCAATTACAGTTTAATTTTTCCGTTAGGGACGCGTCGTACCTTGATGTTCCACTCTGGGTCCAGCTCGAGGGCGAAGGCTTCTGTAAACCCCTCGAGAGCTATGCTGACGTGAGGCTGATATCCATGCCGAAATAGTAGCACGTACCATGCTTTGACGCATCATAGTATGAAACGCAGGGCTGAGGCACGACGCCACCCTCCGTGCTGACGTTCAGCAGCAGCCCACCCACACCAGGAGGGTTCTCCTCGCGGAAGAAGCGCACTGCCTCCCTGCTCACCCGCGCGGCGGCCCAGAAGTTCACATCCATCATCTCCCTAGCCATATCCTCAGGCGTTGCCTCTGCCTCGCCGACCACGAAGCGGCCGGCGTTGTTGAACACGACGTCGATTCTGCCGAAGCGCTCCTTGCCTGCTGCGAACGCTTCGAGCACTTCTTCTGGGCGCGTTACGTCGAGCTTCGTGACGAAGAGCGTGTCTTCCGCGTGCTTGGACCGGAGTTCGTCGAGGTCTGAGGGCCTTCGCAGTGTCGCGATGACCTTGTCGCCCTTCTCGAGCGCCAGCTCTGTCATCTTTCGTCCAAAGCCGGATGATGCTCCAGTCACTAGATGCAGCAGGGGCGTTAGAGATCAGAAACGGCATGGAGACTTCTATAACTGACCTAACCACACCCTGGCGGAAGGCATCGTTGAGTAGGTTCAGCTCGTACCGAAAGATCCTGAGTAAGTCGCCCTTTAATATAGATGTCCGACGAACAGACGCCTGTGCGCCATCTCTGCGAGCTTACGTTCCGCTGAGGTCATTAGCCAAGTACACTAAGAGGGCCATGAGGACCACTCGGTGAATTGAGCCCTATGAACGCCCTCATTCCGCTGATCCGGCAGCCAGGTACCGTTGTTCGCAATGATTTCGCGGGGTCAGACTCTGGATGAGACGTATGGATATACCGCCTTTGTGATTGCCGACGGCCTCTGCACAGCCTTCGAAGGTTACAATGCTGATCGGCAATGCGAAGAGAGTCTTCTAAGCTATCAATGTGAAAAAAAGGACTAGTACTGTACCTGAAACCGTTCCGGTCACTCAGAAGTGGCTGTGGTGCCATGTCGATAGCACTGCTGCGTGCATGGCCTTGGCGGCCGGTGTATTCTCTTGTCTCTTCAAAAGGATGATGCTGAAGCCCAACATTTTGTCTTGAGATGACGGTGGTTGAGTAGGAAACGCGCGCGTCGTGATCGCATGATGCGCCCTCTGATGCGCTCCTGCAGATTAAGCGCCTGTGTGTTAGTCATGCGCACCCTTGCGCACCGGCTTGCGCCAGCCATAGCATAACCACTGCTATCTAAGGGAAACTGTTGCACGTTACACAATCAGAGGCAGGCAAATTCCTCTCATAATGTCGAGGTGAGCTCCTGTGAGTGGGTAATACGATAACTCTCGGTAACATCGAAGTACATAGGGTCGGATCAGTACATTAACCAATGCAAACATTAATACACGCGAGCACAGGGCCTACTAGGAGATCTGACCGTTCTACTTATTCATCTTCCATAAGACCCTCTGACCACTTCCCAAACCCATCAAGGTTCGCAGTTACTCTCTTCAGCTGTTCTTTGAGGCGCCTGACGCAGTCTTCCCCCAGGAAAAGTCTCATTGGCGGGTGTTTGAGCATAGATGCCTCGTAAATCCTCTCTGCGGCCTTATGTACATCGCCTATACGCATCGGACGGCTGGGGTCCCAAACCATGTCCAGAAACTTGCGAGACTGCTGAACCGATTCCACAGCCGGGTATGCAGGGTGAACTGGCATAGTCAGGGACTTTGTCTTGATATCCGAACGGAAGGCCCCGGGAGTTACGAGACAAATCTATCGAAGCCGTGAACATCGAGCGGGATGATGCGATAGCCTGCTAGTACTAACCCTGATATTCCACCTGGGGTCTAGCTCGTATGCGAGTGCTTCGGTAAGGCCTTCGAGCGCTGCAAAGTGAATTGAGTACTATGTATGCAGAGCAATCTGAGCGCACCGACTGGAACTTTACTCACCATGTTTAGCCGCGTCATAATAGCCCACACAGGCGAGAGAACTGAAACCAGCATCCGAGCTGACATTCAACAGCAGACCTCCAGCGCCTGGAGGGTTATCTTCGCGGAAGAATCGCACGGCTTCCTTGCTCACGGTAGCGGCGCCCCAGAAGTTGACTTCCATGACGCGCCGAGCGTCGGCATCAGGTACCAACTCGACTTCGCCCACGACGAACGACGCAGCATTGTTGAAAACGACATCAACCCTGCCGAATTGGCTCTTCGCCTCCCGAAAGGCGTTGGCGACCTCTTCAGGACGCGTAACATCGACTTTGGCGACGTGCAGGACGTCCGACGAGTACTTGCTGTCGAACTCACTGATATCGGACGGCCTACGTAAGGTCGCGACAACCTTATCGCCCTTCGCGAGAGCCGACTTGCACATGGCAAGTCCAAACCCGGAGGACGAACCAGTAACTGGACAAAAGAATACTGAGCACACTATCTCGCAGCGGCTTTGGGGCAGGCAGCTGACTTAGCCAGACTCTGGGAGAGCTCATCGCGACGCAATCGAGAGATAGTACCCAAAGAAATCGTGGAGACTTGACAGCTGACGGTTTATATACTCGCTTTGAGCTTCATGTGGAGATCGCAGCAAAGCCGTCATCGCGCCTTGACTCTGTTCCACGGGTCTCCACCGGGCTTCGTACTTATCAGTTGTATACCTGCCACGTGTGCAGGACGTAACCAACTTTGTTGCCATCCCATGCTGACCTTGTAGCGTCATAGCGAATCGTGGGAACAGAATCTACCATGTGAGAGGGGTGACGCTGTTCCGAGGTGAGAGTAAGGTGTCAAAGGCTGCAATAAGCTCGACTTCTGAGGGCGTACGCTTCCTAATGACGTCAGGCACTACCACAGCAATTTATCACGAGAAGACCCGGGTAGCTCGGGACGCAATAACTTGTGGCAGGACGACGTTTGTGTGTGCCATGTCAGGCCACGCACTGTGCAATAGTCCGACACGTAGCAGAGGAGTTGCTAACGGAAGGGCCCGCTCTATACCGTTCATTTGTATTAATTTATTGCTCTTATTCAGATAGAGAGCTTATGCTACCTTCCCGAACGTGGTTAGCGGCAGAAAGGGTCTGAAGGGGCGTAATGAACTCCTCGAAGCCGCTGAAGCGTGGCAGCGTTGCAACGCTTGATACGCTCCAAGAGATGCTTTGTTTGTCCGACTATGATGGATGCCCGTGGCTTCAACCTTGTCGATGGTTGCGATATCTTCCGGACGCGCCTGGCCTTGACAGAAGGCTCGTCCAAGTCGCAGCAAAACTCTAGTATGAAGGCGTCTAAGTGCATCTGGCAAAATCATAGTACCCAGTACGAACACTACAGGGGCAGGAGATCGAACGAATCTACTTATTAATCTTCCAGGAGGCCCTGGGACCACTTCTCGAACCCATCAAGGTTCTCAGTCACTTTTTGAAGCTTTCCTCGTACGCGCCGAACGCAGTCTTCTCCCAAGAAAAGTCTCATCGGCAGGGCTTCAAGCGCTGATGCTTCGTAGATCCTCTCCGCGGCCTTGCCGACATCGCCTATGCGCATTGGACGGCTGGGGTCCCAGGTCATGTTCAGAAACTTGCGAATCTGCTGGATGGACTCTACTGCCGAGTACGCAGAATGGACTGGCACCGTCAACGCCTTCGCCCTAATCTCAGAACGAAAGCCACCCGGGACCACAAGACAGATCTACTGAAGTTATGAGCATCAAGCGAGACGGTGTACGTTCTGATGATACTGACCCTGATATTCCACTTGGGGTCTAGCTCGTATGAGAGCGCTTCAGTGAGGCCTTCAAGCGCTACATAATAAATGAGGACCACGTAACACAACTTTTGACGCAACTGAAATATGACTCACCATGTTTCGCAGCGCAGTAGTGGGCTAAGCAGGGGACGGAAACGTGGCCCTGGTCCGAGCTGATGTTCAGCAGCAGACCTCCGACGCCTGGAAGATTCTCTTCACGGAAGAACCTTACAGCCTCTTTGCTCACAGTAGTAGCGCCCCAGAAGTTGACCTCCATGATGCGCCGAGCGTCGGCATCAGGTATTGCTTCGACTTCGCCTATAAGGGAAGTGGCGGCGTTATTGAAAACGACGTCGACCTTGCCGAAGCGCTCCTTTGCCTTCTGGAACGCGTTCGTGACGTCCTCCGGGCGCGTGACATCGACTTCTACGACAAGCAGAACATCTGAGGAGTACTCGCTGGCGAGTTCATCGATGTCAGACGGCTTGCGTAAGGTTGCTACGACTTTGTCGCCCTTCGTGAGGGCCAGCTTACATATAGCGAGCCCGAATCCGGATGACGAACCAGTGACTGGATAGAAGATAGGTCAAATACATTTCACCGCGCAGCACGAAATGACTGACCAAGCCATACTCTAGGAGAGCTCATCGCAATGTGGCTAATAGATGTTGAGGGGATCTGCGAGCATGTGCATAAAATTGTTAATTTATATAAGAGGCTTAGATCTCCCGCAGCTTGTACAGCACGTTGATCATAAATCACGACCCAGCGTGCCTGAGATCTGTTCTGTGCCTTGCAATACGCACTGCATCACCTCTCACGGGGAGATAAAGCAACCTTATCATCATCATACACTTTCCTCCTTATGTAAATCCATGGCGATCAATCTCCGCATCGTGAGTCTCCGAAGTGTTGCGCAGTCCAAAATTCTGCGGAAATGCCTGCCCATGCGTGGAATCAGAAAAAGCTCTAACAACCGAGCATACTTATACCTATCGACAACATCAACCCTGGCTGCGGTAATTTGCAACGAGAAGGTTAGCTTTGAGAAAATCAAGGGCGAGAGGGAATCTATGCGGCGGTCAGTCACGGTTACGTTACGCTGTCAGTGCAAATTTGCGAAGGTCGGCCACTTTCGGCGCACATAATGACAAAATGGGGTTGCTCTATTTATATCATGGTTGCTGGAATTTTCGTTGTAGCAGGCCAAAAACTTGCATCACCTTCCCGAGTGCAGCTGGTTGAAGGAGAGAAGATGACGACCTCTTGCGACGTGGTATCTTTGTGGCGTCTGATGCGCCGTTTGATGCGCCATGACGCCCTCTGGTTACGCGGCCTCGCTAAGCGCTTGCGGCTTGAACTCCAACCTACTATCGTCGTAACTGTGGTGAACCATGCCAACGCCCAAATTACAGCAGTGACACTCGCTTCAATATTAATGGCTTTTAAGTCTTCGGGTGGTAAGCTGTCTGCTTTCTGTATACACGACACCGGTTTCCCGTGATCTTTGACAACCAGCCTCCGACATGCCTACCTAAAGGACCTCCTGCGTCGCATATACTTTTGGATTATCCGTGACTCGGACCTTGCATTCTGCTCCAAACCCATGTGGCGATTTTCGCCCCGCCCGGGAACACCGCATGGACGATTTCGTCACGCCGGCGCTGCAGACAGAAAACATATTGCGTTTTCGCTTCCAAGCACCGAAGTGCAAAGGCTTTACCAATGGATGGAACTCACGGAGCGATGACTCCACACATGACGCGTTCCACTGTTACAGTTGAATTCCCAGATGTCGTGCTACTAAATCTTATTACCGCGCAGTCTCGACCCTCTTGGACGACCACGCATCGATGTGTGCCTGTTCGGACAGAGGTGATGTGGGTGTGCCTTGGGGTATACAGTGATAGGCGTATCGTCAGTCAGTCTATCTTCTTTCAAGATAGGTCTGGGTTAGGTCCAGTCGTGCCCTGTGTATCCCACTCCACGATGACGCCGAGCGCCTACGACGTATCCACTGCCAGCCTTTCAAATTCAAGCTCACGTCGCGTCATTACATCACAAGGTGTGTATATAAGACCTCCTCCTGTCTAGTCGATCTAGCATCTCATTCACCTACTCTCAGTACACCACTTCACGACAAGCTTTTTAACTTTCACGACTCCACGACCTTATCACTATGTCCTACGACAACGACAACCAGTGGAACCAGAACACCCAGAACCGTGACCTTACCAACGACTCTAACAACTTTTCTGACCCTAACAACCTCGGTGGCAGCGGCGGTGCTGGGCGTCGTAACGACAGTGAGTCTGCCTCGACATCTGTCGCAGCCGGCTCGTATGCTGACAGCCGGTTTTAGACACCATGGGCGACACCGGGTTCGGTGACTCCCAGAACCAGCAGCAGTTCGGCGGCTCTCAGGGCTACGGCTCATCACAAGGAGCGTATGGTGGAAACACCACCGATGCGAACGTTCCCGGCGCAGGGGGCGACTTTGGCTCCACCGGTCGCGGCGGCGGCCTCCAACAGGGCGGCGGTGGCCTCCAGCAGGGCGGCGTCCAAGACGACAAATGGGACAGCGACAACACTGGAGGCCAGACATACGGCTCTGGCACTGGCGCTGGCGCCGGCGCCGGCGGTGACCAGTACGGTGGCAACCAGGGTTCTGGCGCAGGTTCTAACTGGGATGATACCAACGCTGCTGGCACCGGCGGCCAGAACCCCGGCGGCAAGCCCAGCTTCGGTGACCGTGCGAAAGGTTCGTGTCGTGACATGCACATCAAGAGACAGCTGCTGACAGGACATGTAGGCACCATAGAGAAGATGGCGGGAACCGTTAGCGGCAACAAGGGCCTCAAGGAACGCGGCCAAGAGCGCAAGGTATGTGGCGGCTGATGTATTGACGTCATAGTATAGTGCTGACCACAATCACTATGACAGATGGGCGAGTTCGACAACAACAACAACGACAACTACTAAATGCGTCACTCGTCATTGATAACAAATCATTGTATTGTACGGCAGCTGGCTAGTTGGTTGGCGACATAATGAATAATGAAATGTATTTGTATCGAAATTCGAGAAAATTACGTCCCATTGTGAGACGTCCACTATCGTGTAATTTTTGAGAACGGTGATCGTTGCGAGTTCTGAGCTCGAGCTAGGCAGTTGGCCGACAAAAAGGTGCTGCAAGATAAGTAGCATCGCGGGAGCTGCCGACGTGCCGCAGGAGCCCGAAATGGAAACCCCGACGTTGATTGGCTTCACACAAAGTTTGTGTTCAACCTCGCTCTCGACGGCTAATGAAGAGGTTTCAGACAGGTGTGTACTTCAGCCAAGGATATGGCAACGTCTCTGACGCGTCCGATAGCATGTTATGTGGGTGATTTCGTGGACAAGGCGGTCGTGAATTCTGTCGGATCTGTCAGGCTCATTCCCCGATCAAGCACGGAACCATATCGCTGCTCGAATTCTGTCTCTTGTCCTTTGTCGCAAGGCCTTCCTGCATCCATGCTGCTTGCGTAGACGATTTCTATCACTCCCTTCTTCCTCACCTGTATATATTTGCACCTGCTCTGGTACGGATCTCTGGCGGGTACAGAACGACATTCGCACCTACCTCCTCCGAATACGCTCCAGCATCTTTATTATACCGATCCCTACCAAATCTTCTGTCTTCTTGTTAGCTGAGCTAGTCCCTTTCGCCGCTTTTCATCCCGTGTAGCATGACAAGGCACGAACACGAAGGAAAGGACGCATCGCGTCCGACAACCTCGACCGACTCTGCAAACTATTTTCAGGCCCCTATCGACGCGCTCGTGCGTTCTATGAAAGGAAAATCGTCTGTAGCTCACCCTGGGGGCGACTTAACGCGCATATATGCTGCCTTTGCGAGCCGTATCAAGACCTTCGCCACATCCGCCGGCGCCACCACGGCCTCGACCTCCCCTGCAATCGAATACCTGAGGATAAAAGGCGGCGCGGTTTTGGCCTGCATCTCACGCGACATACGTCTCGCTTTCGCAGAGCCCACCCTCGTCAAGCGGCCTCACAGCCCCACTCATCCTCAGAGTGTAAGTCTACACGCGTCACAATCTCAAGACGGGAGCATCGCAGAGGCAGCGCATTCCTCCGCGATCTGTCACCACGCTATGCGGCTAGCTTCTTGTATCCTCGCTTTTCCCGCCTTGTATACGACCCTCCTGTGTACGTATGAACAGATGAAATTCCTAGACTTCGCTGATAAATTGCCTTCTCAGCTCAAGGCTTAGACGAAGTATTTGACTTGTTGCTGGACATACTGAATCCCCGGACGCTCAAGACCTTCAATTCTCAGAAAACGCGAGGCCTTGCCATCTGGATTCTGTCAACTCAGCAACTTCCTGCAACCGTGCTCCGAACCAGAGATAAGAGAGTCATCGAAGTAATCGAAGGGATTCTCAGCGACGCAGAGTCTTCAGAGCAGATGAAAGGCGACGGCCTCAAAGTGCGTCGAGCAGCTACACTGTTAGCTCCATGCTGACCGTCAATCATAGGTGCTCCATAACGTACTCTGCAGACATCCTTCGCTGTTTTTCCTCGGCAGCATACACCTCTTTCCTTTGGTTCTGCTCCATATTGTCTCTTCCAGCTCGTCCACCAGGCTCCGCGCAGCATACGCGCTCGCTGGCTTCACGCAGGCAGCTCTTTGGTCTCGAAGTGACGCAGCTCCAGCGAAGCATACGAAACCATCGGCATCTGCACGCGAATATCTGCACCAACAGGTTTCCAAATTCTCTGAGACACAGTGCGAGTGGTCCAGAGAACAAGCGATGACTCTCCGTGATTTTGTTGCTGCCGCATTACCTGCACAAGACAGATCATACTACGCTAAAGACATTTCCTGGGCGTTCTCTGTCATGGGCTGCCTGGCCGTGCTCGCCGACGGCTCTTTCTTCTCCACCCCATCCCTTCTGAAGATGATCGTCAGAGCGATGGAGAGCGTACGCAACCACGACTTTACGCCGCTGCTATACCTGCATTCGTTCGTCTGGCGGTGCCTCGTCTGGGCGTATGGCCGACTGGTGGACGCGACCGAGCTCCATGCTCCGCAGGATCCAGCTCGCGTTAAGGAGGACAGCTTCCGGGAAAAAGTGGTTGCAATAGTCAGTCAGGACGGCAAATTTGGCGTGCGCTCAGCTCTGGTTTCGGTGTTCCTGAACGAAGCGACGCGCCAGCCAGAGGGCGACGCCGTTACAAAAGCAGTGCTCGTAGTCGAGGAGCTACTCCAGCGCAGCAACTCGCAGCTCGTGAAGGAAGGGATCGCCCTCTTACGACAGCTGACTAATGCTGCTACCGACCCATCGCGTGCGCAGCTCGTCCCACCGTACGATCTCCAGCAAGTCCTTGTCACTGAGCTACTGGACGGAACAATGGTGGACATCGAGCCTGGCAGACTTGCCAGCATCGTCAGCCGGATAGGAGGCTTCGAGCCTGCCTCTGCGCGACCGCTAACCGACGTCGAGCTCGATACTCATTGGGACCGCATTCTTGTCGCATGGCGTCGCGCCATGGAAAGGGTACTCAAGGGAGGCATGAAGCCAGGAGTACGTATATTCTCGTTAACGTGATTTTGCGGTGTGATCATTTATATCTCATGTTATGCAGCATGACCTTTTGGCGACGTGGAAGTCGCTACTGCTGGTGAGATCAAGGGCACCACAGACATCCAAGAACTGCGCCGCGGCGCAAGACTCGGTCATCTCGACCATCACCAGACTCGCCACGCAAGCCGTACCCAGCGAGGGCTTCGCTCCTGTTCTCTGTACTGCCGTGCATGAGTTGTGGAAAGTCGTGCAGTCTGTCTGTGAACAGGGCTGGCTCATTCGCGTCTCCAACGGGCTATTCGAAGCGCTGCTCGGTATCGTCGGTGGCATACTCGGGCTGAATGACGAGACCGAGGCCGCTCTGGTCGCCCTTTCCACGGACCTTCTTGTTCACGGCTCACCCGATCTGTGGAGAAAGCTTTCCTCCAGACTCGACAACAGCAATCTCTGTCTCAGGCTCTGGCAACTCGCCGCAGCGAAGTGGACACACATCGATCCAATAAAACCCTGGGAGGACTCCGTTACATTCCTGTCGTTCCCTGTCAAGTATGTTTTCCTTGCTTGACATCGGTGATATTTGTGCTTATCTCTACCAGCCTTTCGTCGGCATCTGAGGAGACGCTAGCTGAATGGAAGAAGATGTTCAAGTTTGTGATTTCTTCCGCCAAAGCCTCAGGCATCTCGCCAGACGCGGTTGTCGAAAACTTAATGAAAGAAACATCCCATGAGTGAGTCATTTATCAGCCTAAAACCTAACTGTTGCTCACTCAGGCTGCCATTAGCCTTATACCTCCTGCCTTCATACCCATATTTATCACTCATTTAACCCTGAGCGATGACAACATTGTAGCGACTACAACCTTGCGACACGTTAACAGCTTCCTCAGTATATACCCATCCCAAGATATATACCCTTCCCTAGACGTTATCCGCGCGTTGTCCAGTATAATCTCCAATTGCACCTCATCAAATGTCGTTTCTGCCCTCAAGATCCTCTCTGAAGGCCTCTGCGTCTGGATTGGAGCAGATTGCAACGCTGTACCGAGTGCAGACTACGAGAAAGTTGTAAGTGGACCGGTATATATGCGCGGTTCTGTGTGCCTGATTGGCCCACTAGCTTGTAGGATTCTACTGCACTATGCTACGGAGACTGCGCGAGGTCACCATTCCGGTAAACGAAGTCCTTCGCGACCTTGAAGACCTCCTCTGCCTCCCACTCATCAACATCCGCTCCACTACAAACGCGCTTGCGCTGAAGGAGTTCTGCGAGGCCGTCTGGAGACAGAACAGTTCTTGCCCCGTCACGTTTCCAGCGAAACTGTTGCTTCACCTATCCGCGTTTTATGACGTGGCAGTGCCTCGTGCCTTTCATCCCGACTTTCTGCCCGAGCCTTCGCAGTCTGAGTCGCAGCGCCAGCCGCTATCTCAAGTGAACGACCTGGTAAGCGTTTAGTATTCGTCGCAAGTGCCCATTTTGATCCAGCTCCAGGATCCCATGACGTCCATCGTGCGGAACAGGGTTGAGGAAGTCGACGGTCCATGCGTGAGAGAGCTATTTCCTTCGAACGCGAGCGCCGGTCCCGAAAAGGTGCCAGACGAACAAAGGAAATCGTCAAACGACAAGCATTCGCACGTTCTCAGTGACTCCTCCAGGATCAATGAAGGGGTGGACACGTGCCATGGTGCGTTAGAAAGGTGCAGCACGCGCCAGGTTTCCCTTGTTTTTGACCATGCTGCTTTGCGATCTCATCGCTCGCCGGTACATATCATTTATCCGTTCAGCTGGGCTCGCTTTCTGAAAGCTAGGTATAGGAGAATATGAGCCCCAATGAATCTTCTCCCGTGTCGAAAAAACGGCCTAGGCCTTCTGAAGAGGAAGGTGGGTGAGATGCTCTAGTCGATGACTCACGCCACTTACCGCGACGTAGGATGGAATCAGAAGAAGAGACAACGGATTGTGGACCCTGCTACATCGAAGTACTTACTCGGCGACACAGCAACCCGTGGGGACAGTAGTTCCACAGGCCACAGCTATAGTGGCACGAAGAAGTCGGAAGACGCGGAGCTCCAAACAGGCTCTGGCCTGGTTTGTTACTCGATGTCGCCTGAGGTACCCTATCCTGAGCAGACCGCCCTTCCATCTCCTCCATGTACTGCGGAAGCGGCTGAGTTAGAGTATCAAAGCGGTAAGAAATCTCCCTGATGTTGGCGTCCTCCTTGCTGATCACGCGTCTCTCTAGTCTCCCAGGGCGGAGTCACGGAGAGCAGTCTCGGTTCTTCTCCACCGTGCTTGTCCCAGCCGCTGCATACCCTTCAGCAGGCATACTACGCTATAGTGGCGAATACGGACATGTCCGTTGGGGACACGCTCGCCGCACAGCAGATCGCGGCCGCGATGCAAACTGTGTTAGCAGCTCGTCTCAAGCAGAAGCTAGCTAGAAAAGATATCTAATCTGAATGTAACGATATGACGTGAGTCTCGGGTCGACTTAAAACCGACGGACAACTTCATTGATGTTATATATTCACGTCAGAGTGAATTTAACTGCCGTGTCGGTGGTACTGCGATGCTTGAGTTTTGATAACATTTGGCGCATTGGTGGTCTGGTCGATGTCAAAATAGCTCCAGAACGATGAACAACGCCACCGGTGGTATGTACAGTTTTCCCTGCAAAATTGCATTTTATCCGCTCGGCGCGCAACCAAACAAGCAGTCCTTGGTTAACCGGTCTTGGGCCGAGGTTTTAAATGAAATAGCATAGAATAAATAGAAGAAAAAAGACAGCACTTACCACTCAGTGTGCACATGTCACAGATTTGCTGTGGTCCGAGCTGGTCAGCTCTATAGTTCGCCAGAGATACTTGCTTGCAGTACATAATACCGTCCGAGATACTTCGCAGATCTCTCCTGTCCTCTGCGGGCCACGCCGCTTCACCGCTTCACCAGTGACACCGGACAAAGGCGAGACCATGATACTGCGGAGACTAGTACTGAGACAATTAAAGTGTATCAGAAGTGAAATTGCCACAATCAGATGCCACTCCTTGAGACGCTCAAATTATCCGTGCTTGTCGAGCACGTCTCTAGTCTTACGTACTGCCCCTCGTAAATATCGCCCTGATACGGGCGAAAACTCCACAGGAGGGTGCTTTCTGGTGATGATGTCATGATGTCACTCACACTCCTTCACCGTAGGGTTTTAATAAACTGCTAAGCTTAGGAGTAGACTGAGACGCAGCACAATAATGCGTCGTGCCTGAGGCTCAAGCATCCTTCTATCCGAAACACAGCATTGCGTGACCTTGCGTTCATATGATATTCAGTAATTCACAGTATTTCCAAGCTCAGCCGCCCCGGTGCGCCGCAGGTTGACGTCGTTGGCCACGAGTGCGGGCTATGCACGACGAAGAGCAACCTCGCGGCCTCCTCAAGCAAGGGTGCGCACAGCCCACGTAATATATAACCATTCTGGGAGATTCAAAGCTGAGTAATTCCACAATAAACTACTGAGACAACAATCTTCAGATCAAGACACCATCGCTGGAATGCACGCTCCGGTGGATTTTCCGTTAGCCTTAAGGCCTAAGGCAACGTCGGCGAGGGCGGTTTAGATTTGCTTGGGTCCATAGACTAACCTATAAGAGAGCCGGTGAATGGAGAATCCCCACGGCACTTCGCAGCATGCGTTTCCTTTGGTCTGTTTTGTTCTCTCAGATCCTTGCTGTTGTCATCGCACAGCGGAGTCCAATATCTCTCGACATCATCTCTGGTGCTCCCGCCTCAGGACAGAGCAAGGTACACCTCACCTCCAGCGCAACAGGTTTCGATGCACCTAAAGCGTTGCCAATAAACGGCTCCAGCTTCGATTGGTACTACTTCGATATCATTTCAGAAGACTCAAGGTCCAGTATTTTTTTGGCCTTCTTCCTCGCCCCCATATCGAGCCTGTGGGATAACCTTCCAGTATTTCCGACTGCAGTATGGACAGACGCATTTATTTCTCTACCAGATGGTTCTGCTCTGAATCTCGATGCGGGCGGCAATGACCTGATAGTCATGACCACGGTCAATGGCAGCTCCGGAACGCTCAATGGGACGGGCTGGGGCTGGGCTGGTGTTCCCGATATGTCGTTCTACGAGGTTATCATCGACTCCCCGGAAACAGGAGTTCAAGGCACGCTTACATTCAAATCCGTAAGGCCGTGATCTTTTTCTTACTTCTTCCGCTGACACTTCCTTGTTCAACTAGACGGCTCCAGCGCATTTTCCGTGCGCTCCTATCACAGCATCCGGTGAACAGTCGTTCATGCTTGGGTCTGCCCCTTTCGGATGGGCAAACGCTGTCCCGGACGCGAACGCGAACGTTGACATCGTCATTAACGGGACCGAAGTCAAATTCTCCGGCGCTGGATACCATGACAAGGCAAGCATTCTTGCAGGCGTCACTTTATTTATTTATTTTTTAAATTATAGGCGAACAGAACTGGGGTCCCACCGCTGTTGATACCGTAGCCAAGTCCTGGTTATGGGGTCATGCGCGTTTCGGCTCATACACTATCGTTTGGTACGATCTCATCTCGCCCGACGGCTCCGAGCACGTCAGCAGCTACATATCTCGCAAAGGCAAGGTGCTCGCCGCGTCATGCTCGAATATGACCGTTCGCCCGACTGGCGCGAACAGCGTCTTCCCGCCTGTCTTCGGCAGTGGCCCACCTGGCGGTTTCCACATCAGTGCATACGTGGAGGGCGAGGGGCAGTTGGAGCTCGACGTGAATCACACGACACTTATCCTTGGTGATTCAAACATTACTATGTATCGCTGGTCCGGCATGGTCAGGGGAGGGTTCAAGGATGATCGTCACGGAATCACATTGGACGGTCCTGCCATGTACGAGCTGTTCGCATTCTAGTCGCATTGTTACCGCGGGTTTCGGACAGTTTAGCTTGCGTATAGCGTGGCTTTCGTTTCGTTGTGGCCGCGGAATTGATCGCAGATTTATCCGCGCTAACAAAAACGAACAGGTGCAAACCTATACCATGGTTGTTTTCGTGCTGAAAATTGTTACACTGATCGAAATCGGTTGAGTTTGCCTGGGATGTGTATCCCCACATGTATACCCACATGTACAGAGTCTGTGTTTTCACTTGCAGCGTGCCGGAAAATGTCTAGCGGATAGCTTCTCGAACAGATTGAGAGTTCTCCGTTCGAACGGCGTGCCCACTGAGCCGAGTGGGACCCTTCTTCGAAGAGTAGGGAGAACACAGGACAGTCAGAGGTGCAGCGCACTCCTTCTTATCTCTTACTTTTGCCACTCTGAGGCTGGTATTTCGGCATAGCATACACCATCTCGTTTCTCGCCCGGCCCTTTGCTTACTTGAGGGCCGTGCGGATATCTGCCCGGTGAAGTAAGCATTACAAGCTGTATCATAACCCTGAGAGAACGTGCAACTACTTAGCAATTTGGGGCAAGAAGAACTGAGCCCACGGGCCTGAGGTCTTTAACGAGCCGCACCGATTAGTCTGTCGCGATGAGTCAACGAGCGAGCGTCCAGCCCCAGCAGCCGCAGAGCGGACTGAGGCTTGAAGTCCCCTTGTAGGTAATATGGAACTGAGAAATGAGGCGGCGTTAGCAGCGAACTTGTGATATAGATACTTGTAGTACGATAAATTTATACACTGAAGAATATACAACCATCGAATATTCCGGACGGATTACAGTGCCGTTGCGCGCTTCTCCCTTTCCACCACTTTATCTACATGCACTGCAAGCGGAAGCTCGGTCGTAGCTTGCGAGTCCGCGCCAATGTCCTAGAACGCGAGAAGTAAGTGGTGGTACGTGTGGCGAGGGCGATGACGGCTAACTATTGCGCGCCGCATGTCGGCATGAATGTCGTGCTCAGTGCCGGGATTTGCAGGTTTGTTTAAGCGTCGCAAGACGAAGCCCGGTTTATTATTCCTACCGTCGCCTTCTGTGATAACGCTACCGTTGAGGCTGCGGCGCACAAGGAATACAGTCAGAGCAACGCCATCGACACAGAGGACACGACTCACAAGCCCAGAAGAGCGTTTGCGTACACTTGATGGCAAATTTAGCTCAAACACCTCAGAGTGGAAGTAGCATGATAAGACGCACGGGTACTATACGGAATACAGACTCCACGTAGCGTCAGCGGCGCCCTCAAGAGTGAAGACAAACGGAACTTACTTCCCCAAAAGATGAAGTCGTTCGGACGAAGTCTTCTCTGCGGGTCGGCGGCTCAAAAATTCGCACAAGTTCAGCGCTGAGGCGTGCGTACCATGAGAGCAATGAGAAACACATCTAACCTGCACTGGCAATTAGCATCAGGAATGCAAAAATGGGGAGGAACCCAACGTACACGCAGAGAACACCAGTTTGGAAAATGAAGATCACGGGTGTGGTAATTATACGGTCCCAGCTGTTGAGTACATCATCATTGTCAGCACACGTCACGAAGATTAGTTGCGCATTACCGGTACAAGGGTGATCTCCGCTTCCGACTCAGATAGAACGATAACACTGTAGTGATGCTCAGGTTTGTGGCGGTGTCAAAGCCCATGGCAAGGTAGAATAACCACTGTCGTACATCGATGAGTTCTAGTGTGCAGACGTACGATAGAAACGACAGGACGCACATTTACGGAAGCGAGCGACGGGAACGTCCCGATAGCGGCACTGTAAAGTATTCTCGTGAACGGAACTATGGTTAGATCACAGCGTTGACTCACGACCTCCCCGCTAGGGCTAGCCCGCGTGTGTCAGTAAGACATACATAGAAATAACGGTCCGGCAGCGTACCAAGTAGAGAACCTAAGGACAAGGATTTCGCGTGAGACTGCGACATGAAACATAACAGAAAGGCGACACGCACCACAAGCGACGATTACGCAGAAACTCTGTGATCAGTAAGGCGTCTTTAGATTTAGCAGTAACATGACATTGTGCACCATGACTCACCAGAGTGGCAGTAAGAATCCTGTGGTTCCCGGAGTCTTAGCCCAAGAAATCATAGTCAGCACAGTGACGATGCTTGCGGCACAAACTCACAAGTCCAGATACGCCAAACAAAGCACCTGTAAGCTCGCTATGTCACTTATCGAGTACAGAAGAGAGTATGCAGAAACATACCCTTGCACAATGCAATCGCTCAGTGCCTGCATTGTTCTCAGCGCTGCATTTCACTCTTCGACATGGGCAGGACGTACAGTGAGCGCGATGGTAGACTATATGAAGATATAAGTATGCATCTTCAAATTGAATACGACACAAACGTACGATATAGCCCCTATGGAATAACAAGTGTTCAGCGTTTGAGCGAAAGCAGCTAAGTGGCGCATTGACATGCGACGAACCATGGTATCGGGCCTAGCAGTCGATCTATATTACCGAAGTTCGTCACCAACAATCTGAAGCCTAGTTGAGAACGAAAGGGTTTTGTTACGCTCAGCGGTAAGAAAGAAATGCGCACAGGTAGCATGTCCATGTCGAAGAAAATAGGTTGACGGCATTCAAGATCCTGTGAGCACACTTGACATCGTTCTCCATGGCCTTATAGCAATCAGACACACCATATTAATGAGACCTGCACGACAAATTTCAGAGTGAATATGGGCCGTCGAGAACGGTAGACACCTACAAGTAATCGCGCTAGCGGGGACCTGCGCAATTCACCCGACTTCTTGAGGAAAATATAGCACTGGAGACAGAGGATACCGAAAAAGCTAGATGTAAATAATCAGCATGGAGCTTCATACTAACGTACAGGCCTGACATAGCTGATGCCATGGTGCCTATCAGGAAAGGCCCGAGGCACGGGCCGATTAACAAGGATGGGCTGGCAGACATGCTTGCGGAACGACCTGCTGCAGGAGAGGGCAAGTTTATAGTCGAGTTTCAGAGCTGGGAAGGGGCCAGCTAATATAGGTACATGCTGATATGATAGCATCAGCATGCTGTGCGTGAAGGTTCGTTCATCTTAGGAGAATGCGATGGGTATCAACGAAAGGGCGATGCGGTCAGTTCGAAAGTTGATATCTCGCCGCGAGACGTCTTGTGCTGCATGAAGCGGTGTTCATCATGCCCGGAATTCAACGATAGAAGCAGACAGTGAGAGCATGCATGCGTACGTTTCGGAACGCTTGCGCAGAAAGCGGGGGGTAGCTTCCGCACGTGGAGCGGCTCCAAGTAAGACTAGTGTACCTTTGGCCAAAAACGTTCAGCTGCTTGTATTCCATTTTCTATGCTATGCTGAGTCGATATCATCAAGCATACTAAGCTCCGTAGTGTATTCACGCCGTCTGTGATACGTAGTTGTATCATGGGCGCACATGAGCAGAACATCTCCCCTATATTCATACAGTTCAGTCTTCTCCAGTCAGATGCGATTTAGATGCAGTCTTGATGGCCCTGGCAGACTCACTGTGACAGCTGAACTTCCGGGAGCGATGCTTGTTGTTCAACTGTTGTTGCACAGATAATCTGATGACGAGTAATGCGAGCGCACATACTATAAGGCAAAACTCCCCCAGTACCTTCCAGAGACGGAGACGACGTCGCTAAGGAACCTCTAGAGCTCCAGGTCGCATTGCAGCAATTTTATCTCTCAAATTTCTCAATACTGTACTTGTCAGCGTCACCTACGCAACAGGTAGTCGAGACTATCGAAGATAACTGGACGATAAGAGCCGTATATGCAGGAGGGGACGAGATTGCAATTGAGGTAGGCATCGTTTGGAAAAGAGGAAGTCGCTGGCTGCGGAGTGCGGACGTGCCGGGCACGTGAATATCACGTGATGCACTGCGTTACCGTTCCGGTTACTAGTGCTCACCAATTAAGATTACATACGAAATTTGAGGATATGTATGCATTAGAATTGCGTACAGCGTATACGGACGCCGTAAGTTATGGTATGCATAATCTTACGCGTATTTAATTTTAAACAATCATATTTAATCATATGTAATGAGATTCAGGCGGTGTCGGCATCAGCAAAACCGCCAGCTCTTGGGGAGCGTCTTGAGCGTCTTGGATAACATGCTCAAGACGCCCAAGACCCCAAGACATCTGGTGTTAGCCAAGCTATGTTGTTTGTCTTGGGAAGACGCCTGGTCTTGGCCAAGACTCTCAAGACAGTCAACCAAGACAAGCTCAATGCGGCATGCTTATGGGTAAGACGGACATATTGGCTCAATCACACTCATATAAAACAGCTACAAATTGTATTTGTATACTTCTACTAAGACTGTGTACGTGTACTACCTGCTTAACTTGACAATGACTACAATGAAGGCAGATTGCATGTGGCTTAACACAGGTGTACAAAGTTTCAAGGCTGGCATGAGATCTTCAAGTGTCAGTGAGAGTAGCGGCCAGTGGGCGGAGTACAAATGAGAACGTACCTCATCCGACCCAATGCACGAGCTCCTCCACCTTCACGACCTTCGCATTTTGCAGGGTTCTTGGTGTTTCATATACGTGGACAGAAGGCCACAGGGTGCCCACAGCGGTTGTAATTCAGAACGTGCTGCTTGTGCGGGCACGCAATGGTCTGTCCGCTCCACCAATCAGAGGGCAGCGCCCAGCGGCCTTCTGCCCATGCTCACCGTCGCCATCGCCCGCTTTCACAGGCTAATCATACTGGGCTGCCTGCAACCTACCAAAGGGCGCCTGTGTCCTGGATGTTTCGACACCGTATGCCGACATGCTCTACAAGAATTTCAGGAAGGAGGTCTGTGAAGGTACCAATGATACAAGCTCAGGCAAACCAAATTTCTAGCTGATCGTGGCTTTGTGGAGGCGGAGCTGTGATTTTGTGATGGACAGCATCATGTGGGCCAGATGGTCTGGGACAAACCGACTGTTAGGAGTGAGAGAAGCTCAGGTGGCGGTGGCACAACGCACCTCCTATGCTGAAAAGATCAAATTTAAGGATTATAGCATGTTGATTTCACTGCTTGGTCCTCAGTGAGTCAGCCTGGTCGGCGGGGACGACATCTTCTGATGTCCTGGAGTGTGATCACGTCCACTACGGCTACTTGATCAGTCGAGCTGCTGGGCGTATTTGATGACGGTTGTAGACCCTTGCACGGAACGCGCTGCGCGTGGCAAAACGCGCTATATTCCGGTCATCTTGTCATTGGTTGTGGTTTGCCGAGTACATAGCCTTTCCCTGATACAAACGTGCTCACTGTATCGTTCCCGTCCTGTGTCCAGGCCTTTCCCCTTTGCGTCTGTGCCCTGTAAGTGTCTCGACACCACCCTTTATCCTTTCTGATCCATGTTATGTTAGCGATGGTGGAGTGCAACCGCGGAAGAGGGACGTGACTGTTGGAAGGGAGAAGGGAAGTCGTGGCAAATCAACAAGTCAACATCTCCGGGAGCTTCCGACAACTCTAAGTGCCCGAAGGGAGTTGGCGCTTAAGGGTCCCCGCGGCTCGCAGACGCATTGACGAGACTCCGAGCACATTGCCTCACATACTGTGTGCAGGGATACGACAGAGTACTTCAGGCCAATCAATATATAACCTCCAATGCTCAGTGCATATCATACTATCTCATACTCCAGCCCAAGGTAGTTCCCAAGACAGCCTGCTAAGCTCAAGACGCTTCAAGACACCCGTGTCAAGCCCAAGACGGCCCCTCAAGCCCAAGACGGCCGCCAAGAGCTGGCGGTTTTGCTGATGGGCCTCCGAGGCGAAGGTAGAATACTAAGGTAGCTAAGCATCGAATCACCGACACAGCTGTACATTACTGAACACATTCTCAAGGTGACACACTACATCTGCACGCTCACCTCACCGCCGAAGTGGTCGGGCTCAAAGTACCCCGAAATTTCGTGTAGTATCCGGAAGTCGGGCTTGCCACCGATGCGCAGCGGGAGCGGCCACGGCCCGGACAGGTCGAACAAGAACGCGCCCCCGCCGAGGATGTGCATGTCCGAGACGTGGATCGGGTGCACGTCCTGATGCTCGTACACGGCGCCGACGCTTGCGTGTGAGTCGGTGTGACCGCCTCGCCGGCGCGTCAAAGAGTGGCGGCAGATGCACAGACGCGAGCGGGGGTTTATAGAGAGCGCGGACGCCGTGCTGCCGCTGCCGGAGCTCTTCGTGGACGACGGCATGCTGTGCACGACGCCGGCGTTGTCGGGTGCGATGAGATGTGTCCTGCCGCAGAGCCGATTGAGCTCGCACGCGGCGGGGTCCGTGCGCCCGGTGCTGCAGCTTCCGGACGATGTCCTGCGGCAATGTCAAAGGGGGCGGGTTAAGGCGCAGTCAGTGGGGAGAGGGAGGAAGAGGGACGCACGATGCTGTTCCCGGCCGTCATTGTGAACAGGCTAGCAGCAAACACTTCCCCGCAAGGGACTTCTTCATGAGCTTGGCTCTTGCACGGTCAATTTTAGCCGGTGCAGAGGTAAACTTCGGCCTCTACCTCTTGAGGAACGCCCGTGACGCACTGACATGACCCGCTGTATGTCGACATCCGGAGAATTCCGATGCCCATTACATGAGGGCTGACGCTGTTTCTGTGCTCGGACTCGCAGAGCGCGTTGGTGTGCGATTCTTGAGCGTGCGGGTAGTGCGCGCCGTATCTGAAATCTCGGCCCTTCTGGGGTCCAACATATGTAGCATACAGATTACATACGGGCAGCATAATTTACGATATGCATATGTACGCATATGATATGCCGTGCGTACAAGTAGGAGAATGATTACGGAAACCCCCATAATTAATCTTAAGATATGCTTAATCTGAGATTATAATGGTATGTAATCATAATTTTGGTGAGCACTAGTTCCGGTGCGCTCTCGCGCACTAGCAGCTGAGACTGGGTTGTTCGGCTGCTGTTTTTGTCGGCACCAAGGGCTTCGGTCGTAGGTCATGGCGTCGGTGAGTCGTGGGGAACGGTCGTGGTCGTGAGCGTGGGGGACATTCATGAAGGCGGAGCTCAGTGATCGAGGCAGTGGGGGCGAAGTTGGGGGAGAAGAGAGACGGGTGCTGGAGAAAAGCAAGGTCTGCCGGCCGCGATGGCCGACGACCAGCGGCCGCGCAGCGCAAGTGGCTGGTGGACGCACAGGACGAGGTGGGAGATGGTCCGAGCGAGAGCGCACTCACGGCTCGGCCTTGACGGCAAGGTTAGGGTTAACATCACGTGTCGACCTTGGGTCGAAAGGGTCGCGGGCGCCTTGGACCCATTTTTCGGCGTCTGGGACCCTCGTCCGATCACCCTGGGAGTGACACAGTACCCGTTCCAACAGGACTCAGGAGTCCGGGACGCGTCCACGGCAGACCGCATGGAACTTGCAAAAAATGCTTTCCCAGGCCCAAACTCCCAATCCCCAGTACATAAGGTCTCCTAACCTCACGCATGTGCCTCCGAACACTACTAGGTATCCTCAACGTCTATGGCTGGCAATACATCCGTGACGTCAAATTTGCAGGTGTCAGTAAAGATTTGTACGTTGAGACTTCGACTTACGCTGATATCGATATACCTATAGACAGAATCCTGCTCTGGCCTTTACGGTTGTTCATATCCTAAAGACATGCCACACAACGGATACATACCGAGGGATCACTTCATGACTTGACATAAAGAGAGACTGCAGCAGAACAGGTGAATATCGCATCTAGGTCGCGCTTATGTCTCAATGCGAGTGTATATCCCATGCTACAGCGTCTTTTGTTGCTCATCCCAAACGCAAGGGCGTGTCGCTAAACCGATGAAGCAGTATGGAAGCCTGGCAACACCTAAATTGGCACCTCTCGTTGTTGTCAGTGCCATGTCGGTGTTCGCGCAGTATTGGGCATTAGGAGCCCCTTCGTCCGCTAGAAGTTGTTATCTTCGCACTAGCGATCCCGTCTGCCTCACTTGTCATTGACTCATCGTGATACGCCCCATTCATATATGCTACCACAGGCAAGAATAATCAAGAAGACAGCGAAGCAGGCCAGACAGAAGTGCTAATTTTTCATCCGCTTATCACGTTCCTCCCACCCTCCTCTGCCTCCTACTCACATCGTTGCGCCTGTGTCAACAAATGCCTCGAGCACATTTCAAATACCAGTCATGTCCCGCTTGAGGCCTCGCTCACAGCAAGATTCAAAGAATATGTCGACCTCTAAGCCGCGAGATCTTGCCTCCACAGAACAAGGAATCCCATCTTCACCCATCCCTCTCTCCGCTCCTCCTGCATCGGCCGTTCCCTTACCCCCATTACGCCCTTGAGTCTGGTGCCCCTCGTTACATCAAGATTGGCGAAGCGAAGATTCTAGGTTGGCTAAATCTCGCACTAGTATAGCAGCTGAAGTCTCATGACGGAAATTTGTGCCGCGCCTTGCCGCTATTTATCTCGACCCTCCATTGTCTACTCCTGGTAGGAGTTTTCAGCGTTGCGGCCTGGGAAGCTTCATCGCTGCATCGTATACGCAACACGACTCGCGCATTGATCACAGGTCCGCTCATCTCAGACCTCGCCGCGCAGGCTACCCCTGCGCGATCAGCCTCTCTCAGTCCCGTTCCTCTTGTGTGCACGTCCATATACTGATTGCCTCGGCGCATTTAACCCTATCGCTTCCGTCTACTCTGAGCCCACTACTCTGCCCTTAATTCTCTACCTCCTGCCGCTAAAAACGACCCACTGTCCGAGTCCCAGACCCTGAGCACGAGCCCGGCAGCTTCGTCGCGGCCATCTGTGATCGATTCAAGGCCGTCGACCATTTACACGTATTTGGACACTTGTCATGCTTACAGCGCGAGCCCTTCCATACCTTCAGGTGAGACGGGCACGATTGGTGTTTACTGAAATCAGAGTGCTGTCTTACTATGTCTTATAATTTCATTCCGTTGACCATTGTGATATTGCATTCCCCGGAGAGGTATAACGGCATGGTTCCAGTTGAAGGGATCACACCTCGTATACTCGAAGACCTGCGAGCAGATCGACAGCTCTTGTATGGCGCATAGGCGCACCTCGTCGTGGAGGAGCCTTGATCTGGCACATATCACTATGCAAATGGCTGTGTGCTGCCCAGAGCTCCACTGCGCTCTAAAAGGAGGTAAGACCTACTGCATCCCATTTCTTTTTGTTACACGCCAACTGAGTATTTAAAAGGCTCAGAAATGATCAAGCTTTGAACTCTTCCTGGGGTAGAGAGAAACGCATTCGAGAAAGCCAGAAAAGGCCTACGATACACAGGTTTCTTGTTATCCGAGCCTTGATAGTTTACGTACACCGGAGGTGCCTCGTGTCACGGAACCACCAAGTACCCGCTTACATCTTTTCTACGAGATGCCTCGTTGTCGTGAAGATGCTTCTCTGCGGGCCGAGAAATTCTCACGGCAGGTCCCCTTCGTCATAATAGTAACGACTCCGACGGACGCTCGGAGAAATGAGCGACAGGAAGTTGATGAACCTGAGTCCGAGTGCGGCCACTGCGGCGGGTGTGATGTGCGCTACTTCTCCCACTTGAACATCATACTCAAAAAGCTTGAGCTAATCTCGCTTTCTAGCGTACCGATGCAAGACCCGTACTCTATGATGGACTGGTTTGAGGAGTTTGACTTCTGGTCATCGTGGAAGACATATCTTGGACATTTGGAAGTCATATGCCTAGCGGAAAGCCTCGAGTCACAGCGAGAGGTCACTCCGTTGATGATGAACGTTATTCTGTGAGAGCCAGAGCGGTCTCTCGTTATTTCCTCTTGACCAGTCACCGAAGCAAAGACAAATTACGCCGCGCGACGATGTCCCTGACTAGTTGTCCTTCGTACCTCGTTGGGTCCGTCTCAAGTAAGTCCGTCTTTCATTTGGTGCCACGATAATACTAGAAACCCGTAATTAAGGGCAATCAACTGCTATGCAGAGAATTTTATCCGATGGCCATAATCACGCCGTTCGGCGTGGATGGTCGTATTTCCACAGGCAATGCCGAGGTCCTTCTAGTTACGGCTATCTCCCAAACAAACCGTGCCACGAGACATATAAAAGAGCAATCGAAATCAGCTCTCCCCACCGTTCCAAACGGCCCCCTTCCTACAGTCATTCACAACATGCGCCTCCTTTGGCCTGTTCTACTCTTACAGATCCTTGCTGTCGCCACCGCACAGCACAGCGGGGCATCAGTGGACATCATCTCCGGTGCTCCCTCTACAGGCCTGAGCAACGTTCAGCTCACCTCTGGAACATCGGGTCTCGACGCTCCGAAAGTACTGCCTATCAACGGCTCCAGCTTCGACTGGTGGTACTTCGACGTCGTCTCGGCAGACCTTGACTATAGTCTCGTCTTGGTTTTCTTCGCCGCCACCGCGAATGGGCTGTGGGACGGGATTCCGGACATCGGGACCGCGGTCTACGCGTCCGTAGGAATCACCCTGCCAGACGGCTCCTCCCTCAACAGCGAGGCTGCAGGCAGCAGCCTGGTGGTCACGACGTTGGGAAATGGCAGCAACGGAACGCTCAATGAGACGGGCTGGAGCTGGGTTGGCTCCCCTGACCTGTCTTCCTACCGAGTTGTCATCGACTCCCCTGAGACGGGAGTCCAAGGCACGGTTACATTCGAATCCGTAAGCCTGCCCTCCTTTGCCTCCCGTCCTCGGCTCACACACCCTGTGTTTTACCAGACAAGCCCAGCACACTTCCCGTGCGCTCCTGCCACAGCTTCCGCCGGACAGCCTCTCGTGCTCGGCACGGCCCCGTTCGGCTGGGCGAATGCGCTTCCGGACGCGAATGCCAGCGTCGACATCGTCATCAACGGCACTCAGGTCAATTTCACTGGCGTTGGATATCATGACCAGGTAGGCACTTCTATAATTAGTGCTCATTTCACCGTCCCCTAAACGTGCGCGAACAGAACTGGGGTCCTAGTACTGTCGATACCGTCGTCAAGTCCTGGTATTGGGGCCATGCGCGCCTCGGACCACTCGCCGTCGTTTGGTTCTACGTCGTCTCGCCCGACGGCTCCGAGCACGTCAGCAGCTACATATCTCGCAACGGAGAGGTGCTCACGGCGTCGTGCTCGGGGATGGCTGTCAGTATGACCGGCACCGACAACAACTTCCCGCCCGCCCAGCCTGCCGGGTTTCACATCAGCGCAAGGGTAGAGGGCGAGGGACAGCTGGAGGTCGATGTGATGCACAAGACCGTTCTCACCGCTGACCCCGACGTCGCGACCTATCGTTGGATTGGTAGCGTCAGTGGGGGGTTTGTGAATGGTACCACGTGGTCTGGCCCCGCCTTGTACGAAGCGTTCGCGTTCTAGTCGCATTGTTACTGTATCGTTCGGATACCGGAGCTTGCGTACGATACTTTATCCACTAGTACTTTAACACGATATTAGAATTGTTCACGGGTTTATATATGCGCGCTAACTCTGCTTCAATCGCATTGCTCTCCATATATATGGGTCTCATGAAGCCATATATCTAGGGGGGACATCCCAAGATCGCAATCTTTCTAAAGAGGTGCATTGGAGATAATGTGAGTGTTGAGTGATACAGATACACATAGGGTATGCATGATGTAGAGGATACATAAAAGTAAGCGATGTGGCCAGATATTCCTTGACGAGAAGCCGGGAAACAGACAAAACAAATACCAACCCACGACGTGCAAACAGAGAGAAAAAAATAAAGGCCCGTGCGTACCGACGCGCGCGGCGAACCGAGCAAGAAACACGTAGTATATAAGGATGGGTCGTCACCAGTAGTGCTCCGCAGGTGGAGGCGATGGCGTCCGTCGAGGACACCGAACAACGGCTGGTGAATGCATCGCCGATAGACTCGGCAGCACGAACGGCGCCGGCCGCATGTTGAAGAACGTCCTACGTATGGCACGCTTCTCCAGCGGCGACGCGGGTGGCTCTGCGCGCCAGCGCGGCTCGTATGTGTCCGGGTCGTATGGCGACGACGGCGGTATGCGCGGGGCGCGCGTGCTCGCGGCGCTGGCGAGCAGCTTGAGGTTGCCCTCTTCGTCAGACGGCGCGATGTCGAACGGATGGTACGATCGCTGGGGCGTGCCGCCGACGTCGTGCTCGACCTCGGACGACTTGCCGGACGACACCGAGGACCGCCGTGACAGCGTTGAGGGCTCGTCGGGCGGCGGCGAGTCTACCCGGGTGCTGCCGTACTGGATGCGCGACCGGCTCGGGGTGGAGGGGCCGGGAAGGGGAGCAGGTGAGGGGGTGAATGTGCGAGGCGGGGCTGGCGCCGGTGAGTCTTCGTGTTGCTTGTCGGAGACGTCGTCGTTCTCGTCAGAGCTAGAGGCCTGCTCAGGCTCTGGGGTCGGTGTCAGTGACGGCAGGCTGGAAGAGGAATCTTCGAGACTCTTGGACTGCGATCTCGCACAACGCCGTTCGCTCGCTACTTCTGTATCGATGCTCCTTCGAGCGATCTTGCGGGGCGGCTGCTCATCTTCGTCGTCCTCGGGCTCTGGAGGCTGGTGGTGTAGAGTCTGAGGCTCTGGTTGCAGCGGCGGGACGGACGGGGCTTTCGATCGAGGTAGAGGGTGTATGGGCCGCTCGATCTTTGCATTGCCATCGGCGAGATCCTTCTTCTTGCATGGACCCACCTGGTGTCGATGTAGCGAGTCTCCGCGTGTTCCCATGATTCTTCGGATATTGGAAGTAAGTTGAAGGCCCACCAACAAGTGTTTCAAGCACTTACCCCTCCCCACACCTGTCGCACACCTCAACGATATCTTCGCCCAAGAGACTGTCATACTCTACCCACAGGCAATTGGCAAGGTTCGTCAGGTGGGACTGTGTCCGTATGTGCCTTTGCAGAGTCTTGTCGTCACCGTTGCAGTCTCGACGACAGACAGAGCAGTGCCGTCTCTGGACAATATGTTAGGACATCAATAGATTATGTGGGGCCACAACTCACTAGCTTCGGTCTCTTCGCAACCACTTTTAGTTCGAACGCCTTGCGATCAAGGCCACGAGCACTGTATGCCCAAAGCATTCGTTCTTCGACCGCTTCAAAGGCCGGTATTGTGAGCCTGGGGCCTTGCCGGCTGATATCCGCTGCGAAGGCCATCTCCGGGTTATTCCATACGACAGGTGTTGGCGACCTCTTCTTGGTCTTGCTAGGCATAGTTGGGTTATGAGAAGGAGAGGAGATTGTGTTGGAAGAGCGGGGCGGTTGTGATTGTGTAGGACAAGAGGCAGGTGGCAGTCCTTTTAAGAGGTAGGGGAAGGAGCCGCTCGTTTATTCCCAACGGTCCTCTTTCTGACGCGTTTGGACGCGTTCACGTCGCGTCCGCCGTAGGAACACGGGATCTGCCGGTGCATATCATAGCAATCAGCAGGGCAAGAGCCCCCGTGTTCCCCGAGAAGGGGTGTTTGAGGCCGCTCGTGCGTTGTTTCGCGAACAAAGGGACGTGACCCTTTTGGAGGACCAAAGGCTCGATCGGTGACATCAACGCCTTTGTATGTTCCTTTCATCGGAGAAAACTTTTGTACCGAGATCCAGGAACAGGGCGAGTATCGATCGTAACCTGCCTCTCATCGCTGTGGGATCGACATCAATAACGACGTTGGTTCGGGTGCAAAAATGGCGACAACCTGCCTCGTGAGCAGCGTGGAAAAATCGAATAAAGGGTGCTGCATCAGGGCACCGTTGCTAGCTGTGTTATATCGCTACTCAAAATAGCACACGACCTACAGGAACTGGTATTTAGCTTTTTGTAGAGCGATAATGGCAACTCAGACAACAGCGTGGAAGAAGGGGCACCTGCGCGCATACAAGCCACATCAAGCAGCAAGGTCCAAGTCGTCGAATATTCGCCGTCCCTGCGCAGTCCATGCGGGAAATTACCGTGTGCTGGATGCTCAGGGCAACGGAAAACCCTGAGGACGTATGGGCGTCTGCTTATAAGCGCCCATAGATGATCACCGCCGTGTATGTTGGCTTTCACCCTGAGCAGTTCTGTGGTCTCTGTCCTCCATCTTCCTGTGCTCCAGCAAAGATCAAACGGCGGAGCTCGACTTTCTTTCGCGACATCCGCTCCTTGGTCACGCTTGCTGGAAAGGGTCACATGAGTCTAACCATAGCAAGTTCGCGAAGACCGAGAACTTCGCGTAGTCTATCAGAACTTTCCAGGCTTTGTTGTCAGGTCTTTTCACGACCACCACCATGCGCGAGCTTTCTGGACCTCTCATACATCTCGCGAAGGCGACACTCTTCAAGCGGGAGGCGCAGGGCCAGGTCATCACCTATCGATCCTTTCAAACAATTTCGACGCTCATTTTCTTGTAGGGTGGCCTCCTCAACGGCCAGGACCCAACAGCATTCAACACGCAAGATCCCTTGAGGCTATGGATTATCCAAATTGGTGCGTCGTTCTCTTTTCATGGCGTAAACGGTGCATTCACAATCTGCACAGGTGTCATCGTTCTCACATCACAGCTCCTGTCGCTGGGTTTGCGGAAGATACGCCAGCCAAGGGTTATTGCGGAGGTCATCACAGGTATTCTACTTGGTGCGTCTCTGCGTGTTTATCGCTAGCCTCTCTTTGACGTCGTACAGGTCCCACGGCCTTCGGTCGCATTCCTGGCTTCCAGCAGCACATCTTCCCATCCGAGTCCATACCCTACTTGTCTCTTGTTGCCAACATCGGCCTTTGTCTCTTCCTGTTCCTAGTCGGCCTTGAGATCGATGCTGCCGTCATTAAACGCAATGCCCGGCTGTCCGCCACTGTCGCGCTCGCTGGTATGTCTCTGCCCTTCGGCCTGGGCGCAGCGCTCTCTGTGCCGCTATATCACACTTTCATCGATCAGTCAGTCAAGTTCACGAACTTCATGCTCTTTACTGGTGTTGCCTACTCGATCACAGCCTTCCCTGTGCTTTGCCGCATCCTGACGGAGCTGAAGCTTCTCGATACAACCGTCGGCATCGTAGTTCTGTCCGCTGGCATCGGAAATGATATCGTCGGGTGGACCCTCTTGGCACTTTCTGTTGCGCTTGTCAACGGTGGCGCAGGTATCATGGCCCTCTACATCCTACTCACTTGTTTCGGCTGGACCCTGCTGCTCCTGTTCCCCGTACGCTATGTTTTACGATACTTGGCGCACCGCACCGGATCCATTAAGAACGGCCCTACCATGTTCTTCATGACTGTTACGATCATCATTCTGTTCGGCTCTGCATTCATGACAGATATCATAGGAGTACACGCTATCTTTGGTGCGCATATATACAGCTTCCCACAAATCGGCTCCTGACAATGTCCCCAGGTGCGTTCTTGGCTGGAGTTATAGTCCCTCGCGAAGGCGGCCTTGCTATTGCTCTCACAGAGAAGTTAGAAGACATGGTCTCTATTATTTTCCTGCCCTTGGTGGGTGCCATATTTGTTTACATCTGCAGTCAATTCATATTCCGGCAGTACTTCACTCTATCAGGTCTCTCAACCAATCTCGGACTGCTGGACAATGGTATTACTTGGGCTTATACCGTTGCCATCTGTGCACTGTCTTACTCAGGCAAGTTCGGTGGCTGCACTGTTGCTGCACGCTTCTCTGGCTTCAGTTGGCGTGAGGCAAGTACGATCGGATCTTTGATGAGTTGCAAGGGGTAAGTGCGCCCCTCAATGTTGCGCTTTCTATCATATGGTCTGACCACAGCTGCTAGCCTCGTCGAGCTTATCGTTCTCAATGTCGGATTAAATGCGGGAATCCTCTCCCAGCGCGTCTTCTCCATGTTCGTTTTAGAGGCTTTGCTCTTAACGTTCATGACTACTCCGGCAGTCGTGCTTCTATATCCACCCAAAATGCGAGTCCGTGTCTCACCAACCGGCGCCAGCTTCAACAACATTTCCGGAGGAGACAGGGAACGTGCGAAGCCTATTTCTGAGTCCCGAAGTAGGGACAGCAGTCGACGGAAACCGCTTGAACCTTGGAAGACGCGGTTCACCGTCGTGCTGGACAAGCCGGAGCACCTTCCGGGCATGATGGCCCTGGCACAGTTCATGCAACCGCCACCACAGGTCTTGGCCAAGGAGAATACGGATACCAGCTCTGACGTGTGTATTGAGGCACTTCGTCTCATCGAGCTCTCCGACCGTACCTCTGCGGTCATGAAGTCTTCTGCCTGGGACTCGCTCATCTACACCGACCCTATGCTTTGCATCTTCCGTGCGTTTGGAGAGCTGAACGGTATGGCGGTCTCCACTTCGCTCGCCATCGTCTCGTACGATGACCTTGCGTCCAGCGTCGCCGAGGTCACAGGCCGAAACGGCGCCCAGCTTGTACTCCTGCCCTGGCTCCCGCCGCACCACGACACTAACGAGACTGCATCGCCGACACCCTCTGCACCAGGCACACCGCGCGTCCAGGCCGCCAGCCCGTTCGAGAGCATGTTCCGCACGGCGCCTAATCCCGGACATTCCGCCTCGACGCTCCATTCCCACTTTGTTCGCAGTGTCTTCGCACAAAGTGTCGCCGACGTCGCTCTCTACGTTGACCAGTCGATCCCTGGCGAGATGCCCAAGGTCACGACAGGCGCTTCCGGCACGGGCGACCGATGGCATCTCTTCTTGCCTTTCTTCGGCGGACCCGACGACCGACTTGCACTGGAATTTGTTGTTCAGCTCTGTGCGCATCCTCGCGTGAGCGCGACTGTTGTCCGCTTCTCGAGGGTAGACCTGCCCGAGCTGCAGCAGTCTTCCACCATCAAGACGTCTGGGATGTCTCAGGGCGAGGCGTACGCCCAACAGAATTCATTGACTATCCAGTCGGTAAGTGGCCTTTGGCTCCTTATTTCGACGTTTTCCTGAACTTCATCATTTATCAGACGAGCGGAATCCCAGATACTGTCTACGGTCACGCCACGACCCAGACGCGCCTGCAGTCCGAGACGGCCGACAATATCGTCTGGCAGCGCTACGCCGCCCCGTCCGGGACAGAGAGCCTCGACAGCGTCGTGATCGCCGCGCTAGCCCGGATCGAATGGCATGAGGTCGAGACGCACAGCCCGCTGCGCGCAGTCGTTGACCGTGCTGCGGCGCTCGAGGACGGCACCTCCAAGCGCCGAAGCCGACTGCTCGCCGTTGCCGGGCGCTCGCGGCGGCTCGCGGCCGAGAACCACCATGTGGAGCTGAAGGGCCTCATGGATGAACATGGTGGCATTGCGACGGAGGTGAAGAAGACCGTTGGCGACGTCGCGGCGGCGTTCATCGTGACCGGCAGCAAGACAAGCATCGTCGTCCTTCAGGCGGCCGACGCTGGCGTGGATTAAGCGGTTTTGCGCGTTTATTGTTCTGGTTTTGCATCTGCACCTTTTCACGACCTGTTACGACCTCCCACGATTCGGATACCCCAGCTGCATACATAATCACAGCATTCCCCACACATACTGCATCTTTCTTCCTGTCCGTCGTCTACTTGTTGTACCACCACGATCTCCTGCATCCAATGTCATTTTGTTTGTCGCCTACATCAGCCTTCTTACGACGTTGCAATAGCTATCTATTGCATGTATGATGGTAAATGGTGAATCAAAACTCCTGTTTTTTTCCTTCTAGATCGCGCGCGTTTCACGACCCTCACTCCATCTTGGTTATCCAGATATCAACGCGCCTCTTGGTCCAGGCGTACAGTCCGAAGGACAGCTCCTGGAGTACTCGGCGCTCACAAGTGGGTATAAGATACTGAACCTAAATCTCCAAAGAGGCTTACATGATGTACGCAGAGTCCCATCCTATCACGTCTATTACCTGCAGAGACGCGTTTCAGCTTGCCTACTCTCGACCCCGTCTTGCTCTCCAACGTGCTCGCCCATGTTCCTCTCGTTCTCTCGCAGAGCTAGCTCAAACTCCTCCGCTGGCTGCCCTGCGATGACTCCATTATTGCCCTGGAATAGAAGTGCTGCTCGCGGATGGAGAGGGCCGTCGGGTTGGTGAGCTTCAGCGACTCCGTCTCTGGGGAAAAGGTCGCTGGGAGCGATGGCGATATCACCGGTAGGTGCATCGTGTGATGTGTCCATCATTTCGCGGCCGTTGCTTATCAGCTTTGGACTAGATCTGCTGCCACCCGGATGCAACGACTCGGTCGAGCCGGATGAAACGTCGCGGCGCGAGGAAGGTGACTGGTCGTGCAACGGGCGCGCCCCAGCAGGATATGGTGGGCCATCATCGGCGATCTCGTGTACGGCCGACTCGCTCAGGACGAAATGGCTTTTTCTTCCTTCGACTGCCTCGTAGTCACTGCCGTCGGCGGTCTCATCTGTGGCCCTACCCTCATGATTCTCCCCATCTCGCTCGCAGGACGCTTCGCCTTCTAGAGACGGGGTCGCTGCAGGTGGGCTCGGAAGAACGCTCTCCCTTGCCTCCGCTCGAGCTTCGAAACGACGAACATCCTCTGCGATGAGATCTCGACCGAGGGGTATCTGGTGCGCCACAGACTCCTCATTCGGCGTGGGGTCGGACATCCCGTGTTGAGTATTCACGAACGGAATCGACTCGAAGAAAGGGATAGAAGAAGTAGGGGACGAAAGGACATTCAAGTCATGCGGCGCAGGGCTTGACTCGACGTAGTCTTCAGGGTTGTTATCGGCCACGCTGCGACCGTCACACTTGTACGCGTCAACGCTACCCCTACTGAAAACCACGTTCTCGAGCCCTCCTGCAGAGTTTACATCCGCCGCAGATAACGAGGAGGACGCGCGCAGTCCACTGGGGTGAGAAGGATGACTGGTAACAGAGATGTACCAGTTCGACCCTTTTTGCTTGTCATGGTTTATGTCGGCTACTGAACCAGCTGGTGCAGATTGCTTGATGGACTGAAGTGTGTCTTTTGAGCGGGTGGCTTGATCGTCAAATTGAGATAACGATACGGGAAGTGCGCAGGCGACGGGGATGTCAGATGTAGCAGCAGCCCGCGGGAATAGGTAGTCACCAGGGCTGGGTTTACCGGGTCTGCTCGCTTGTTTATAGAGCAGAGGGCAGTTGTCGAAGAAGAAGAGAGAGCTGCAAATACCATGATGGTGTTTCCATAGGCACCCCAACAGTTCACAGTGTGCGTGCTGGTGCGCATGGTCGAGTGCCAGATGTAGCTCTCTTCTGATCCACTTTTTATTTCCAACAAGGACATCCTTGCGGTAGGATATCTCAAATGCATGGAGAAGTTGTAGGAGTAGAGTAGCATAAGATGAGATATTCTCGGTCGCGCGTCGTATCGCTCGTATCCATCCCTCGTCGTCAGCTCCGATGGATCCGCGGGTGTCGCGTCGGCCATGTCGCGAGATCAAATTGGCTGCACTGACCATCTTATGGAGTATGGTGGCAACTGTAGCTGGCGGCACGTCATAAATCGAAGAATCTTGAAACCATTGGATGGAAGAGAAGACAAATATGTCGAGGTGGTCTCTTACCATGCTGTCACCGGAATTGATGGGAAGGTGACACAGAATAGTCCCGTAATCAGCGGCTGTAGTCTCGCCCTGCAGATCAAATGCTTACAATGGTGCATTAATACTCTAGCGTACATAACGCACTGAATAATCTTAAACTTACTAAGTCCTTGGTGCTCCGAGTTCCACTGCACCCGGCGACCAATGCGCTGGACCAGCGATAGGACGTCTGCAGAGATTTGTGGGAAGATGAGTCTGTTCGTGTCAACGTCACGCCCTGTAGCTGCCATGAAGCTGCTCCATACATCCGCGTCTTCCAACTGTACTGGAAGCCTCCGGCATAGACTAAAAGCTTCGATGGCCCGTATCCTGGCTAGGCGTCGCCGATTCGTGCGTAGAGACACTTCGGCCGCATGCTCGGAAAAGTGCTCGCATTCAACCTTGAGGACTAGCGCGAAAATGGAGGCCAGCGCTGAGATCTCGGGAGAGACAGCCTTCTGAAAAAGTGTAGCTGATGTGCATGGAACGTATAGGCGAGTTGCACCTCTCTGTTCCACCACACGGATATTCAATCTTTTTCGCAACGCTGAGGCGACTTGAAGCTCGCCATCGGCAATAGTGGCCCGTTCGGAGAGTAGCACCAGCTCCGGCGTTCTCGGACTGCGCTTCTCAATAGACTGAGAGATACACCAGTTCGTCACCATTCGGATCCCGTTGCGCCAATCATATCCATCACCAAATTGAGCGGGAGGTAGAACATCAGAGTGGATTTGCTGTGCGCACTCGTGGATGTAATTTGCAACTTCGTCGCTCTGTGACGACTGCTTCACCCAGGCCAGAGCTCGCAGGAGGTAAGAGACTTCGGCAATATGGGTCAGAAGCGTGCCTGAAATATGGAAAGGGGGGTCCAAGGGAAGCGCCTTCGTCGGTGCCCCGCTCTTATGCGGAGGATTGCCCTCGCTAGCAAGCTCGCTTTGTGCCGCCAGAAGAATGTCCGGTGGCTTAGACGACCATCGATATTGTTCGTTCAGGACAGCCGCACATTTGCGGATCTCCAGATCTCGGTCTCTCCAAGTCTGTGCTACGGGAGGCCAATCTACTCGCCAGCTCGTGGCCCAAAAAGGGCTCGCATCCTTGGTAGTAATGACGTACCAAATGCGCCGCATAAAAGGCCCACCGCCGCGGACCCACCATCGGTACCTCACAGTCTTCGATATGTTCTTCGCATAAATAGTTATCCAGCGGAAGACATAGTGGAAAGGAGCTGAGAGAAGGTGGGCCGTGAGAAAGCATGCCCATGCAGTCGGAGACCTGTATGGGCAGCGCCTCGAGAATATCGGCAAGACCGTGAATGCGGCTAAGGCGCCTAGGAAGAGCGAGACGAAGACGGTGATCACGCGAGCCACAACGTCGTCGAGGGTCCACAGAAGGATGACGACACCGGCGAGGAAGAGAATCATAGCGAACTCGAGGAGGATGGGAATGGACGAGAGAACGGCCGACACTTGCCAGTCCTCCCAGGCCTCGATGCGGAGCTGACGGACGAGGACGTTCTCGCGTGGCAGAGCGAGCGGCGAGTTCCACTTGAGGTATTCGCGGATCCACTGCTTGGCCAGGATGCTGAACAGAGCAGCGGCGAGGCTGAAGATGAGACTGAGGAAAAACAAGACGTTGATCCAGCGGACAGCGGCGGAAGGTAAGAATGGTGCGGAGAGCGCATCGGAGAATGTCGCAAGGGTCTGGTTCAGGGTGTCGGTGATGATCGTGCCGGCAGTGCGCAGCTGCGTAGCTACACCAATGGCGAGGAGTTGGTTGGTCGTGTCCGTGTTGTCAACTTGAAGCATGGGATAGGTTTGGACAAGGAATGCAGTGAGGATGGCCGAAAACAGACCGGCCTGGTCGTTCGAGCAAGGTAGGTCAGCACCCAATGCACGCGGGAGCGAGAGTACTCACGAAAACAAGCAGGGTGTCAATGTCATCGGCGTAGTCTTCCATCTCTCCAATATCGTTGGTCATGAGGTGGTCCTCGATGCCCGCCCAACCAGAGAGTGTCTCGCCAGGTGACTTCTGTGACATCCTGAGATTAGGCGGTATCGACGAGACAAGGCATATAGCTGGCGCACCGTGTTTACTGCATCTCTTGTCCGATTCATTCCTCGGCGTATCCCGAATAGCTTCAACGAAGTCGGCATCGACTTTAAGATCTAGACAGAAAAGGCGTAGCGGGGCAAAGGTGGTGGTTGTGGAAGAGAGCCGCCATGCACAGCACGAGTCGGCGTCCACTTACGTGTGGACCCTGCAAATCCTCGGAAGCTCCCACGCTCGATAAATGAACATGTGATTCGATCTCCTCCAGGTGAGCAGAACGCCACTGAGAGCAGCACACTGGCCTTCTAGCGATAAACTGGTTATGATTTGAAGCATCGAGGCAAGCGCACATCAGTAGACAGCGCTGGCCGCCAACATCTTAGTACTTTGTCGAGCTTGGCAGAAAAGGCGAAGGCGTGAGCAGTGACAAGTCTGGCATGACATGATACAGCGGCTTTCATTCAGTGGACACGGAATAAATGTAACCGGCGCGGGAATAGGTATTTCATCCTTACTATAATGCCATCACGACCTAGCAGACTATCAGTACCGACTGTACCCGAACGTCTAGCGAATTCGTACCCCCGATGCTCCTCCCAGTCCTTCTGCGCAATCTGAGAGTCACAGCATAATGAAGTATGCGGTCTGTATATTTTTGAGGCGTCGAAGTCTGGAATTTGAGGCGAAGTAGTTATGTATGGTATGCATATATCTTAAGTGTACATGACGCACCGATATATCGACGGGAAACGAAGTACTTCTGCACTAGACTTGTTTGTAAGACAGGCAGAGTGAAGCGACCCTGAGGATACGAGCGAGCGCGACTGACTTCAGAAGTAGCACGGATCAATCTGAACCAGAGGCCAATCGTCAAAGTAAGCTAATCAGAAATAACATGAGTACGCGCCTCTCGCAAGCGCATTCGTCGCGAGGTTTTGCTCGTCCGACCCACGGGCCATCTGCCCGGAGTTGCCGTTGCGTATTCGCCATCTGACTAGGGGGCACTTCATCAGATGCTCTCCGCATACTGGCACATAGATCTCTCCTCACAAGCCACACTATCTTCAGACTGTCTTCCGCCCTCGTCCCGCCAGGTGTGCACAGTGCACGAATAGGCTTCGACGTGAACCCAGGGAGCAGCCAGGATGCAAATGGAGTCCGAGGGGTCGTGCAAGGTCGCAACACTGAGACCTAGGGAATAGGCATGGATGTGTGCGGATCTGCTGAGACCATGTTAGGGGACATGGAGGACGTAGGGAGGAACGGAACGACGGCTTCGGCAGTCGCGACTGCTCGCCGAGGCGCGCTCACGTGAGCTTAGTCGGAGGCGCTCATCGCTCGCGGGACTCCATACGCGCCCATGCCCGCCCACTGTTTCTGACAGCGACAGACGAGAGATAGTCAAGGAGGGGCGGTATCGCATATACGAGAGGTGTGCAAACGAAAGCCCAGCAAGTACTCGCATGTGTGTGTCACGATTGCGTATTAGTAAGAGCGATACCGGTCTCGTCGTCCAATGAAAGCATTAATGCTTCACTCAGCATACGGTTCGCAGCCTGAGTGACTCAACAAGATTCTAAGAAAAATCATAAAATAAAGACTAAAATGTTTGGTAATAATATGACTAGGATGCGAGTGTAGGATGCCCCGGTATATACACTGGGCGTCAAAATTAAATGAACACCCACGCCGCTCGAGATCCAGCCACTATTGCAGCATGAGTCTCCAAGCTGCTCTTAAGCTTATATTTGTGTACATTCTACAAGGTCTTGGCTTGTATATTCATGGAAAATCGTAATACATTAATTAGCAAAAATTGTGCAATATAGCCAGTTTCTAGAGCAACTTTTGCATATATAATGCGGGTTTAGATGTAATATCTGTACCACAACCTGTCAGGCTCTTTGACAATTATCCTTGGAGTCTAACTTGCTCAAGAAAATTTTAGAGAGCCTTTCAGGTATTTTACATGGAAGAAATCATGCTCTGGAAATTTGAGGAGTGGGGGTGTTACTGTTACATATTCTCCCAGAAGTCCATGTGCATTTCCCGCCACTCAGACAGTCATAATATGACTTGGAGTAGCACAGAAGAGAGTTGCCACTCAATACAGCTCATTAGGGAGCATGGATTTGGTTGAGAGGGGGCAATTATCTGGGGAAGTGACAAGCCAGAAAGCATCGGTCAAGTATATTGCATTCCGGCATTGTGAATCCCCACAATTATATTTCTAAACATTTATCAATCTCTTGTGTACTGTCCTAAGGAGTAGAATAGTTGCCTGAATTGTGCCCACCTCTATGTAGAAGAATGTTCTGGAGCACACTTTAGAGGGAACATGCAAGCAGTCCACCAAGGAAGGTGTGTATACTTTGCCTTCTTTCTCCTGAGGTCCTGATCACAACTCTGTTAAACAGTTGCAAGGCTGTTTGACTCATTAAGTGGAAAAGAGGGACCTTCAGTCTCTAGCCAAGAGTCAGCAGTGGAAGGCAATGTGACAGGAAGAATGCTGCCAAGATCCATTATTAGCTGGGAAGCTCTGGTGAGCATGCCCTTATGGATAGCCCTGGTTACTAGGAACAAGGGGTGAGGCATCCTACAAAAAAATTTGGGTGCATAGGCCGTGGTATTTTGGCAGAGCATAGCCAAACTTCCGTCAGAAGTGCCAGCTTGAGTGTGAGTTGAGATGTCATCCTTTCATAACATTCTTGCAATCTGCTAAAAGCGTTTGAAATCTCATATCTACTATTTTTATGTATGATACATCTCGCACAAATATTTCTGGCATTTAAAACTTAGGGGTCACAGAGAACGAGAGAGTCGAGTGGGTGTTCATTTACTTTTGACGCTCAGTGTATCTCTGTTTCTGAGTGTGCCGGGTCACCTTTTAAACCATTGCATGAATTGCACCCAGCGCCGGGCTATGTCTTCTTTGAACAAGTTCAGCTGGTGTTGTGATACTCGAGGCACGAGGCGCGCTGATCCGCCGGATGCGCATCAGCCGCGCCGCACCGAGATACCGACACGACGCGCATCAGCGGTCATGTCTATTTTAGTTATCGTATGCCCGTTTTAGATATGACGGTTCGTTCCCCGCTACGTTTTCCTGAGTCTCAACTTGCTAATGAACATTGTATCTGACTGAGTAGATTAGGAAATAGTAAATATAAAAAAGAACATGTAGTAATATTCTTAGAATTTATCTTTGATTACTCGTGAATCCCCCGCCTGTGCGATCTTATTCACAACAGCTGGTAATACAACTCGAGCAGGGTTTTACAGGCAGCCAAGTAGCGTGGGGCACAGTGTAACTCGAGTATTCACCTACGGCCACCGGCAAAATAAGACAGGACAGAAATGCCACAATATATTGTGACATAAAGTTTGATATTGCGGTAAGAACATCCTGGGTGCAATATATCGTGAGAATTTGCACCTACCTTTTTTGCCAATGATTAGTTTTTGAAAAGCCGGCATAGTGCATGGCCAGAGGGGGAGAGTGAACCAGAGATGTGCAGGTAGTAGAGTGACCCATCGTGCTGTACGCTTAGTACAGTGACAAGTGGTAGAGTAGTGGTCATCAGCGAGTTGTAGTCACATTTGTGCCGTGCCTTATTCGGAGAGTCTCAAAGGTCATGAGCCAACAAGATGTCGTTGAATTCACACCGGACCTCATACAGACACTCGAAGACCTCGATACGCCACAGCCAGCGGAGGAGAGTTTACGATTGACGCAGGAGACGGGGCTCAGAGACAGCGAGCGGAAGTTATCGAACTGAGCCCGACCTTGGCATACCCGAAGCCCGGACTTGATCGTACCCACTCTATGGCTGCTTCTTGATCATATGGTGCTTCACCACCCTGTAAAAAAAAAACCCCTCAGGCGCGTGGGAGCGCGAATCATTCGCCGGCTGGGTTAATAATCCCTACCTACGCGCAGCTGCGAGCTGCCGCACTGGACGCTCGGCATCCGTCGTAAACGTCTACTCGTGGCCTTCGTCACCGCCAGCCGGTGGCGTCGATTGCGCAAGTGCCGGGCTGTGGTATATTGAGCACAGACTCGACATTTAGAATACGCAAAACGTGACTGAGCTTACGGCTTGGGCACGGCGTGGGTGACTCGGATGCTCGGGGTTCGGGTAGGGCTCGGGCTTGAAGCCGAGCTCGCCTCCTTTACCAGCTTGAGCCCGGAACAGATGAGCCCTAGCTGGGACCGCACATTGCTAGGCTATTGTTCAGCACACGCACGCACATGCACGCGTGCCAAGAACATGTCTATGTAAGCTGTCGCCAATCCACGATCAGCTCATTGACTTGAGCTGTCTCGTACTAGTAGCTTCGAGACAGCTACGACAAATACTTGCTTTTACCCCGGGCGACCTTCCAGTAAAGCGGCTGTAGGTCTGCTCAATCTCGTTCGAGCTGATTCCGAGGAGGTATTCAGCCGGACTGACGGTAAACATTGTTGAGGGACTCGGACTGAGCCTCTCTCGGGGATCTCTTCTTCTGTGTCTAATCATGGCATGGCTCTTTGATGGAGAAGAACAAACATTAAAATCGATGAAATAAAACAAAACAAAATAAAGTCCCAACAGGGGAAGACTAAGAGAAGCCAGAGCGTCACAAGAACCGGGAATATAATCAAGCGAGCATCCGATCGGACTTTGAAGGCGAGCGCCACAATGGCATAGCCATATCTGGCACAATTCGCACGGTTCGACGCGTTGCCGCAGCGGTGCCGCCATTATGGTCTGTTGGTATGATCCTTTGCGCATACAGCAAAAATTTCTTGGTAAGCAACGAACGCCAGTGAACACGGGCTACAGCTAACTTGGATGTTGCAGTTTGGGATGTACCAGCTTGGATCTAAAATTTTCGTTGCAAGTCTTGAGATCCCATCGCTTGGATCCTGTGGAGTATTCACGCAGTTACGGGCAGTCGTACCACGTGATTTGGCCGTTTATCTTGAAAGAAGGTTACTGATCTACATTCTATTGTAGTCGCTCGGCTAATCGGACTGGGCTGTTCGGTGACTCGGTCGCGCAGCTTTCGCCCATCACCGAGGCCTGCGGGAAGAGGACCTGCCAACATCTCGAGCTCCAGCGCAACTCAAGCGCAATAGAAGACAGCATGCCCGACAACCTTTGGTCTGAGATCCTTACAAATTGCGACAGTTCGTGGAATATTTAAACCTGCGGCGAGGTCTCCAGAACGGACAGCAACCACCCCACAGAAAGTTTTACTCACTCGCAAACATAATGTCCTCAGCTAGAGTTTGGCTCGGTGAGCGAAAGTCATGGATTAGTTATGTTTTTGTGCTCATGCCTGATAGTTACTGGATCCTCTTCGGGCTTTGGCCGAGAGGTAGTCAAGTTGGCCCTCAAGAATGGCGATAAAGTCGTCGCTACACTGCACAAGCCTTCAGAGTTGGATGACTTACAGGCGATGTATCCCCCGAGCCAGCTTTTGGTAGTACAACTCGACGTCACCAAGGTGGATCAGGTCGCAAACATCTTCCGCGCAAGAAAGCCTTTGGCAAGGTCGACATCGTGTTCAATAACGCCGGTCTGTCGGCTGTCGCCGAGACCGAAGGTACCCCGGACGACGTTGCACGGATCATGTTTGAGGTCAACTTCTGGGGCGCGGCCAACGTGGGTAGGGAGGCGGTACGCTTTTTCCGTGAGGAAAACGCGCCCGGCGCCGGCGGTCGGTTGTTGACCCTCGGCTCCTCTCTCGGCTTTCAGCCCTTCCCCGTCATGTCATACTACAGTGCTTCCAAGCATGGTGAGTAGAGTGACCTCTGTTGCTGCTACTTGGGTCCTGACTCGATTTGGGACCAGCAATTGACGGTCTGGTGGCCTCGCTTGCCGCTGAACTCGATCCGAAGTGGAACATCAAGGTGGGTACACTGCAGAAGGGCGTAACTCATCCATTTCATCCGCCATGCCACAGATTACCTTGATTTGCCCTGTATTTTTCCGCACGTCCCTCATGGACAAAGGCGTCTCGATCGCGGCCCACCCAGCCTACGTTGAGGCCACGGGCGGATATCGCAAGTATGTGGACGCGGCGTTCCACTCGAGCCTCTCCACGAAAATCGGGGACCCGAAGAAGGCCGCGCAGAAGATCTTCGAGCTGTCGAAGCCAACGGCCGAGCCTCCCCTGAGACTGTTCCTCGGAAAGGGTGCGCGTGGCCTCGTAGACGCGAAGATTGCGACGATGACTAAGGATGCGGACGTCTATGCGTCCTGGTCGGATGACTTGCTAGAGGCTTAAGAATTGGTAAAGGAGCAGTCTCTCTGTGCTAGCGACTGGCTATTCAAGCCTGGAGTCGTTGTCTCAGAATCTGCTACTATGATCATATCTGGATATATCGTCAATATACGAACTCGTAGTTTGCACGCCCTATCAGCAGGTACATTGCATTCACGGAGGCCCTAAATCTTCTGATCTGCGGCAATGTCCCCGACTGACCCCCGGATGCTGCAGATATATGAGAAACACATTTTTATTCACCCGTCGCATAAGCTTCAGCCCCGCAGCAAGAATAGTAACATATGCCAGTATATAAATCTAACACCGCGCTCAAACTAAGGTTTCCTGCTGTAGCATATACACCGTATTCATCGACTCAAAAGCATATTTTCAGCTCACGGTTGATGAGTGCTACGAGGCTACGCTTGGCTGTCCCTTGGGTAGACCGGGGCTTACACACTCGAAATTTGTGGACACACAACGCCAATTGTCCATACACTCTTGGTAATATTAGGAATCTATACTCTCCCTTCTAACAGAGGCGTGCCAAGTAGAGCGTCAGTTTTTCCCTAGCCTAAGTTCTGCGACGCATAACCACAGGCAGAGGACTCTTCATCGATATGACAAACCGATCCTCGACGGTGTGATCACGCTCGGCAGGGTCCCAGCCCTTCTCGAGCTCAAATTCGAGATTCTGCAGCAGGTGGCAGAACACCATCCGCATCTCCACCTGCGCCAGATTCTTGCCCACGCAATTAGACGGCCCAAACGAGAACGGGATGAACGCGTTCGCATCGTGGACGAATGGCTCGCCTTCTGGCGCGCGCTCGAGTCCCTCGGCGATGAGGAATCGCTCAGGCCAGAATGTGTCCGGATGCGTGAAGTACCGCGCGTGGCGCTGTAGCGACCAAAAGTGCATACGGGTCTGTGTGCCGTTGGGGATGAAGCTGAGGCAAGATGAGAATGGTGACGCTACACCACCGGCGAAGCAGGACATACTAGGGTCCGATGATTCTATCGCCTTTGCCCGGAATCGGGGCACGTTGGCTGCCACTCGGGATGACAGGATACATTCGCATCGTCTCGTTCCTAGCCAGATGTCAGGCACGCGATGCGTAAAATATGGCTATGAGGCTTACAGCACAGCGTCCAAGAATACCATCTTGCTGTAATGCTTAGGATCAAGGGCGTTTTCGCCGGCAGGGTAATACTGGTCAACTTCAGCCTGGAGCCGCTTATAGTACTGCGGGTACCGCAGGATGTTCCAAAATGCGTTTGACAAGACACTCGAGGTGGTGTCCGAGGCTGCAATAGTCGCAAGAACACCGTCAGAAATGACCTGTCCTGCGGGTGGGGACGTCTGCTCTGCTCCGTCTTCGTTGCTCTGAGAGCTCATGGTCATTACTAGTCAGCCTCATCTGCACCATCAAGCTCACCAAGTAATAAAATAGGTCCTTCGTGGTTGCACCTTGCTTGTAACGGACCGTAGTGCGTTCGAGCGCCCAGCGACGTCTCTTCTTCACTCCGCCTGACACAGGGAGACGTCTAGCGAAGTGTGCCAGCCATGGAATGTGATGATACAGCATCTGCCCTCTGCACGGCCATCAAAATAAGCGACGAAATATTAAACGCGGGGACGTACTCTGCGGCGGTCTGTATCATGGACCAGATTCCGTCTTTGTCGCCATGCGTAAGCATATCGCTGCCTCCCCCGAATCTATGCTACCGTCAGCGCAGAAGGGCAGACAGGTGTATAGCACGTACACCATGTCACCCATAACGTCGTATGTCATCCAGCTGAACCACGTCGCCAGATTGACGCCCCCCCTTTGGCTTGCTAGCTGCTCACGTAGCTTTGTGATGTTCCTGACGAGGATCGGCTCGTACTCCTTCAGCGCGGCCGTGCTGAATGCGCGGGTCCAGGGACGGCGGCGGCGAGCATGCACAACTGGATCTCTAATTCCGATAAGCCCTGAAATTGGGGGCTCCATAGCTACTGCATACATGGCTGCAGGGATATTGTTAAATATAACGGGCCTCAATACATACGTACGTGGATACTCACAGGGGCCCTTGGGCAGGCCATTGGTGCCCATCATCGGAGCCACAGCATCAACGTCGCGAATAGAGATGTCGTTGGGTCCAATGCGCACCACATCGCCGTACCGGTCGTGCAGCGCTCGAATGTACAGGTGCTGCTTACCATGACGCTCCTGCCAGACCATCCACCACTTGGACAGTTTGGCCGGAAGCGGACCCGGGTAGCGTGAGACAGGGTGCCATGGTGAGACACGATACAGCGAGATGGACGCTAGCAGGACGCCATGGTATGTCGTCAGGGCAACAATTGGTGCGAGCACCGGGCCGTAGTGAGGAACAAGGAGCGTGGAGAGACCAAGCGGAAGCAACAGTAGCAGGAAAGTCGTGGCCGGGATGTATGTGGGCTCCCATTTATTGTATATGAAGTGGCATGCCTGCGCGGACATCCCTCGGTCAGTTGGCAATGACAGGACAACGGCCAGTGACGTACGAGCGCAGCTCCTCCCACTGTGACAAGAGCATCCATTGTGCTCAGATTAACATGAAAGCTGACAGCGTCGGATGATCTAACTCGTGCGAGGTAGTCCACACCCATATTGTGCCGTTCGGATGGTGGACGGTACAAGGCCGGGTGTCCTGCGTGGCTCATGGTTTTAAGGCAATAACAGCCTCAGAACTAATGGGGTTATTTGAAGCGTATTTGTCATGCTTGGAGTCGCTATGTGTTGTGAAACACCACATCGCAGTGTTTGGGAGAACCTTTGCCTTCTGTTTCAACCTCCAAAATTGGCAGTGAGTCACGAGGCGCCCGCCATACTATTGATGCGTTTTGCGCGGGCGGCAGGAGGAGCAATTGGATCATGGCAAGGGCCGAGTGGTCGTAGGTAGCGAACAACGTTGATCATAAGGCTGCCCAGGCTCTGAGTAAGGGCAAGAGAGAGAGAGGGAACGACAATTGGAGCAAGGGGAGACATAGCTTTGGGGGACATGGCTCTACGGGAGCCATGTGTATCGGGCGGCCACATCACAAACCTACCTAGTATGCGCGGAAAGCGACAAGGAAGCATAACTAAATAGCATAGTCGCTTGTTGTATGAAAGCAGCGTTTTGCGGGGATTGATGAATTTACCTGCCTTTCGAAAGCTCTCAGCAAGCATCGGGATCTCGGCATATCCCCTACCCGGTCCGCGTACGAGCTGAGCGGCCCTGGCCGCTCTCGAATACCAAGATGCCCAAGAAGACCGCGAAATTGCCCGGGTACAAACGTATGTCGGGGGCCAAGGATTTATCAGAATCCGGGTACAACTGGCCAGCCTTTCTCCGAAGGGACAACAAGCTGATGAACACCGAGGCAGAAGTGTAAGTTTGACGGATGTGATCGTCCACCCACCTGAAGCGAGATTTGAGACAAACCAGTGTAACGAATTATTGGTGTAAAAAGACTCAAGATTGGTTTAAAAGTGCGACGCGATGCGTGATCCATGCGGATAACGCCCACTTCTGTCTAACTTTCGTGTGTAAAATGGGCACACCAAGCGCCTCACGGCGAATTTGCACTTTTTCTAAAATGGTTTGAAATCTGCGCGCTATTTGGGTATAAACTAGGCTATTTTAATTACCCAATCCGTATCCGGATAAAAACCAATACAAAAATACCCCGGTACAAACCGCCAAAAAGTGAGGTTTGGGTCGGACCTCTTGGAGCCTTGAGTATCTTGCAAATGCAGGAAATAATTCAAAGTATCATTTCATTCTTGAAGGTATTGTGGCCATCCGAGTCGCATTCTTCGCCATGGTCGCCAAGCTCCCCTGTCGTCTATGATCCACCAAGCTTCCTCGGAGTACACATCTCATCTTCAAGCGATGCCCGGATCTCCCTCGTTATGACACTCCTCTTTTTTCGCATGCAGATATAGGACCATGTTGCGACACTCCTCCGCGTGCCACCTGTACGCCTCACTGTCCTCCTAGCACTGCGCTTCGGTCCCGTGCTCACGCCCGCGACGATGACTGGATTGTCTCCCCCGTATGGCCTGCACGGCCTACACAGGGGCCCCAGTGCATCTTCTCGCCGTCTCCACCTTTCCGCACACATCCACGTTGACATGACTTCGCAGGGTAGAGTGGCTGTTAACCCGACCCGCGATACGTCCAGGACCCAGAGATGTTCTAGCCTGAAACGGCATACGACGATCGTGCGGCCGTGCCCTTCTCGCGCGTCCCATCGAACTGCGTCTGTAAGGGCCTCATGCTGCAGCAGATGAAGTCGACGGGACGCCACTTTATGGCGAAGCTGAGTGTGCGTTTCGCAGACGGGTGCGACCCGGGTGTCTGGGAGGCGCGGATGCAGGACAAGGGTGTCTTAACATTGGAGTCGCTCTCTGTTGTCGTCGAAAGACAGGATTGACTGATTTACTACTTTACAGCATAATAAATCATTATTTGAGTCATCTATCAATGCAGCGGAGATGCATTATTTGCAGTTTGTTTTAACCTAAAGCGCAATTAGCGCCGCGCGGGGAGCTTCCGACTGGGGACACGTACACTGTAAGATCGATGCCACCCTCGTACGAGTAGTCTTCCATGGTAGATTCCGACTGCATCGTTCCACCCCTGCTCCACCCACTGCCAGTCGAGCCACTTCGTGTTTGGCTCTCACCGACGTCCAGCGAGCGTCCGAACTCGTCGAGCCCCTGGTTAAACCGCCGGAACACAACTGACGCCGTCTGTACCGTGCCGGGCGAATCGAGCTCGGTTCCTGAGTACTCGGTAAAGCCCGAGTGGACCGACGAGCGGCGCAGGTTCATTATGAACCTGCACACGAGGATCGGCGGCTGTGGCAGCGTATCACTCACTGGTTTAGTGTCAAAGAAGTTTCGGTGGCTTACCAGCGCATCTAGAAATGGTCCCGCAAAGGCTGTTGACTGTACGAAAGGTGACCCATCAGGCCGTTGTTACGAAGCGAGAATGGAGCTCTAGTTACCTGACCATGCGTGATGACTAAAATCTCAGCAATGCTAACGAGTATCATAGCTCTACATAGCTTGTTAGTGGCGGTAGGTGAAATCAAGCATGTGAATAAGTACATAAAATACGCAGTTCCTGAGGACCGTAGTCAGCATTGTGCGACGGCAGAAAGAGTAAGACCTTACCGTCGCGAATAAGAGTTTGCGTGAGCGAGGCTGCACCTCGAATATTGACGAAATCTTGCTGCCGATGGTAGGCCTGCTTCCATGTCAATAGGATGGCAATTGTTTCTCCTATGACTACCGGTATCCGACCGCATAACGCGACTATAATCACTTCAGTGGCCTGTCTGGTAGGACACGTCGCTCGTCTTACCTCTAGATACCTTTCAGTCTCAATGAACAACAGCACTCGCAGACTCGAACACGCACGTTAGGTCGAGCTTGCCCGTGATGAGCGTTTCCGGCGTACATATCACTAGTCGCGAGCCTATGAAGGGCAGAGCCACTCCACGAACAGCGATCACATACTACGCGTCGAGTGCAAAAGGTGTCAGCAGGCCTGACAGAAGGAAAACGGCACCTACGGAGTTGGTCGTGACCGGGGCCAAGATCAAGATCAAGACGATGAGCGATAGGGTGCGGTTGCGATTCGTTATTGCGAACACCCGCAAACCGGCGAAGACTGGAGTGAGCAACAGTGTGTGAATACTGTCGCAGGGATGACAAAGGATTGTCGCGTACTAGCTGTCTGAGCATACCCAATTAAAGCGGGGATAAGGATCATATTCGTTCGTAGAGCGCATCTGCAATGTGATTTGTAAGTCCAGCTGACGGGTCGTTGTATATTCTGGTCGCACCTCTATCGCCGAGGCATTTAGATGAGTAAGTGGGACGATACGGAGCGGCGTACCTCTGGAGACGGTTGGGGCAACACGAGCGATATGGCCTCGAATAGCAACGTCCAGCGTATGGCAAGAAGAAGCGCCGTGGCAGGACTAAGCTTTCGCTGCCACACGACAGACACCTCTTGTCCGAACGAAATGGCGTACTCGTAGAAAATGAGCGCTGAAAGCTGTTGGGAATATGCACTCTGGCTTATAGTGCGGCAGCTTACCTGCGATGGCAGCCAGCAGGAGGCGTGCCATAAAGCTTTCGAGGATATGTCAGATTGTGCGTAGCGCAAACGATATGGGGAGAGCTTACATGGATTCTATGGTGCCTGCACCCAGATCCGGCCCTGGAGAACTAGCATTTTGTGACATGTTAGGAGCTAGTAAAGAGGAGCACGGAAGTGCCCTTAGCCGTGACGCTTTCCAGTCTAGGGAGAGCCAGACTTATGTATGTGGACGGAGGAAGGCAGGGACGGGAAGGGGTGAGACGCACAGGGTCCGAGAATCCCACATGTGATCAACGGTGCTTCTCCGTCTCCATCATAAGAAGTCGAAGCATTGATGACAAGCCCGTAGCAGATTCTGGTTGTGAGCCTTAGTCGAAGGCTTCCTGGAGAGTTCTTGCTCATTGGTTCATTGTTCCCACCACTCTGAATAGCCACAAACCTTCACGGACAATTGTGCCCACGCAGACATGATCCTTGGGAATCTACGCAACATGTGGGCGTGATGCCGTCAATTGAAAATGACAAGTCCCACTTCCTGATCAAGGGATTTGGGCGGGTATGACAGCGCACCCCGCGGCGGCGACCGTCTCGCGGAGATGGCGAACAAGATCGACTGTGCCGCAGTACAGCCCTCAACGTACGGGGACCTGTGTCAGATAATTTAACAGTCCTCGCGGTGCCGCAGATGATTTCAGTGCACTTAAGATGCGTATCTGACCTCTTGTAGATACCCGTCTGCTCGAGCTTTCGGACTTGAGCTCCGTGATAGTATGGAAGGACACTCCGTCTGTAGTATGCGGCGAGTGGTTAGTTTCTCGCAGAACTCTCCTGGATACCTTATTCCTGCATTCCAAATATCATATCAATCCTGGGAGCCGTCGCTCGAAGACGGAGTGTCATGGAGACGTTCAGTAGCTCGCATCTCACAGCCCCTCGATCGAGCCTCTTGCTGTGCCCCTGAAGTTCTTCATCACTAGAGGGCAGCGCAGTAATTGGGCAATGGAGACGATACTTTTTGCATTTTTAGACTGGGTTTACGCGATATATCGCACTGGACGGCAGATAGCTATGCTGAATCTGCAGTAAGTATCCATTTTATCGAAGGCTGTAACAAGTGCGATTGACCCAGCGATGAAGCCATGGCAGGATTCGACTTAGGACTCCATGAGTGGTTCTCATACAAGAGAAGTCTGAAATCAGAGGGCACAGAACACAGATGCAGCACCTGCAAAATGAAGGAATAGAGGGACTGTTGGGGCCGAATGCAGTCAAGGATTGAGATCACGGTTTAGGGCAGATCTCAGGCGCCAGCGCCGACATTGTGGCACCGCCGGGATGACCCGAGAGCACGCACTGCTACATGCCAAATACTATCCCTGAGTGCACCCCTTTTGATAATAATTTCACGTATTTCGTCCGTCCCTGCGGGCTCACTCAACATTTGCCCCCACAAAGGAGATAAACAGGTGCAACAAACCTCGTAGTATCGATGTGTATTTTTTGTGATTGAAATTCTGAGAGATGAGTGCATAGGAGGTGTTGCGGCGAGACAGCTCCGAGGGCCGTGGACCAGTGTTGATAATTTCTGTCACAGGGCTACAACCGAGCGTTGACCATGCATCCGTACATTTTGGGCTGAGAGTGAGGACAAGGTGTGGGCAGCTTGAGCGAAACAAGTCAGTACTTAACAGAATTAATCGTACACGAAGCGCATTGCAAGTCTTCCGAATGCGTGTCTCGATATCGTCGCCGTCTGGAAGTTGGAGGAAGTCAGGCAGAGTACACGTAATGGGTTATTGGCTCTCGGAGGGGACCTGAGCCATGTCAGGCCATCTCCGAGCACTTGACCACCGTCACTCGATGAGGCAGTATGCATGGTTTGCAAATGCTGCGCTCTGCGAGCCAACAGGTGCCGGTCTTGCCGAAAGCGGAGACTGAACACGGTCACGTTGAGGCAGATTTCCTGTAACGCTATGGCAAACGTGCGCATAGCGTAGCAGCTACGGGGCACGAAACGTATCATGCACATTTTCTAAAGTATCTATACGAAGCATAAAAGGCTCACAAGACTCCATAAACACATTGGCTCAGGAGATCTGGTGGGACCTAGCCATCAATGAGCGCTCTGACGTCCATCTGGTGTATTGCATGGAATGTTCAAAATTCCTTTCGCTCAACCTTAGGTATTGTGCCTTGATTTTTGCTCTGTAATATTTGTAGTAGTTTATACTACCTGAATAAATAATCCCGATCTCAACAAGAAAGCGTAGCTACGAGGGGATTCAAATTATCAACACTGTCCCATTTATCAAACGTGGTACAGGGATAGTACTCCTCAGATGTTCAGTTTATTGGATATTCATGCTTTACAGTCTCAAGATCCAGTTTGATTACTATAATCGGCTCGTGTCGTCCATAAAGTGGCAATACCAGAACAAATACTCCCTTATAATGCAGTCTTGCGATCTCGGGCGCCGGTTCTCCCTAGCCTACGTCCTGCGGCGCACCACCACAGGCAGAGGACTCTTCATCGATATGACCACGTGGTCCTCGATGGTGTGATCACGCTCGGCAGGGTCCCAGCCCTTCTCGAGCTCAAACTCGAGATTCTGCAGCAGGTGGCAGAACACCATCCGCATCTCCACCTGCGCCAGATTCTTGCCCACGCAATTAGACGGCCCAAACGAGAACGGGATGAACGCGTTCGCATTTTGCATGAACGGCTCGCCCTCCGGTGCGCGCTCGAGTCCCTCGGCGATGAGGAATCGCTCAGGCCAGAATGTGTCCGGATGCGTGAAGTACCGTGCGTCACGGTGCAACGACCAAAAGTGTATACGGGTCTGTGTACCGTTGGGGATGAAGCTGAGGCAAGATGAGAATGGTGACGCTACACCACCAGCGAAGCAGGACATACTAGGGTCCAATAGTCCTGTCGCCTTTGCCCGGAATCGGGGCCCGTTCACTGCCACTCGGGACGACAGGATACATTCGCATCGTCTCGTTCCTAGCCAGATGTCAGGCACGCGATGCGTAAAATATGGCTATGAGGCTTACAGCACAGCGTCCAAGAATACCATCTTGCTGTAATGCTTAGGATTAAGGGCGTTTTCGCCGGCAGGGTAATACTGGTCAACTTCAGCCTGGAGCCGCTTATAGTACTGCGGGTACCGCAGGATGTTCCAAAATGCGTTTGACAAGACACTCGAGGTGGTGTCCGAGGCTGCAATAGTCGCAAGAACGCCTTCAGAAATGACCTGACCGGCGGGTGGGGACATCTTCTCTGCTCCGTCTTCATTGCTCTGGGAGGTCATGGTCATTACTAATCAGCCTCATCTGCACCATCGAGCTTACTAAGTAATAGAACAGATCCTTCGTGGTTGCACCGTGCTTGTAGCGAGCCACAGTGCGTTCGAGCGCCCAGCGACGCATTTTCTTCACTTGGAGTGACATGGGAAGGCGCTTGGCGAAGTGAGCTAGCCATGGGACATGATGATACATCACATGCCCCCTACATAGTCGTCAAAATAGGGGACGCAAGTATTAAGGGCACGGGCGTACTCTCCGCCGTTTGTGAGCATGGACCAGATTCCGTCTTTGTCGCCATGCGTAAGCATATCGCTGCCTCCCCCGAATCTATGCTACCGTCAGCGCAGAAGGGCAGACAGGTGTATAGCACGTACACCATATCGCCCATAAAGTCGTATGTCATCCAGCTGAACCACGTCGCCAGATTAACGCTTCCCTTTTGGTTTGCTAGCTGCTCATAGAGCCTCGTGATGTTCTTGACGAGGGTCGGCTCGTACTCCTTCAGCGCTGTTGTGCTGAATGCGCGGGTCCAAGGACGGCGGCGGCGAGCGTGCGCGACTGGGTCTCTGATGCCTATAACGCTTACAATAGGGGGCTCCATGGCCATTGCATACGTGGCTGCAGGGATATTGTTAAATATGACGGGCCTCAATACATACGTGCGTGGATACTCACAGGGACCCTTGGGCAGACCATTGGTGCCCATCATCGGAGCCACAGCATCGACATCGCGAATAGAGATGTCGTTGGGTCCAATGCGCACCACATCGCCGTACCGGTCGTGCAGCGCTCGAATGTACAGGTGCTGCTTACCGTGGCACCCCTTCCAGACCATCCACCACTTGGACAGTTTGGCTGGAAGTGGGCCTGGGTAGCGTGAGACAGGGTGCCATGGTGAGACACGATACAGCGATATGGATGTTAGCAGAACGCCATGGTATGTCGCCAGGGCAACAATTAGTGCGAGCGCCGGGCCATAGTGGGGAACAAGGAGCGTGGAGAGACCGAGCGGAAGCAACAGCAGCATGAAGGTCGTGGCTGGGATGTATGTGGGCTCCCATTTATTGTATATGAGGTGGCACACCTACATAGACATCTCTCGGTCAGTCGGCAATACCAGGACAAGACAGGAAGCGTACGAGCGCAGCTCCTCCCACCGTAACGAGAGCATCCGTTGGTTTCATATTAACAAGGAGGCTCAAGGCGTCGGTTGGTGTGATCCATGAGAGGTAGTTCATACTCATGTTGCGCCGTTCAGATAGAGGAATGGTACAGACCGAATGCGACGGCTCATGGTTTTAAGAAGATAACAGGCCCGAGGAAGGTGAGGTCACTTTGTCATGCCCGAGACACTATCCGCATGTCTTATGTTGTGAAACAACGGTGGACCTGTTCGAGCAACTTCTGCCTTCCGTTTCAACCTGCTGCAGCGCGCCATTACTACTCGGAGGCGCCCATCATTTTGATGCGACAGCCGCCAAGACCTCCCAGCGGCGCGCTTTCAATGGGTCGGTTATGCAGATTGCATTAAAAGAATTCAACAAAAGCCGGTGCAGCAAGACAAATATACTCCAATGACTGTGTTCTTGGGGTATAAAAGCTTCTCTTGCTGTGCTAACGTTTGTTAACTGGCTCCTCTGTTACAGACCACCCAATCAATGCCTGGCTAGGCTTTTTGACATCAGAAAAAAGACTTAGGTCCACAATGCTACAGAGTGCTACAGGAGCATTTTGGAGCACTATGGGCCCAAGTCCTGTTTCCTGATGCTTGACGTGTTTCTTCACTGTCTGGGAGTTTGAGGAGGTATCAAGGCTTGTATTGAAGAAACTTACCTATTCTAATGGAAGCTATTGTTCTCCTGTAGCATGCCTGCCCAGGCTTTAGCACATTAGTCAAATCATTTGTATAACCTGTCAAGGATGTACCGGTCAATCGAATGCATCTACGCCCTTGTAAACGCCACAACTGGATACAATGAGAAGGCTGCCAGCAAGACATCGTGGAGATCTCCAGATAAAGGGATGCATAACAAAGTTAAAGATACTATTATGAGCATAAAATACTGTACGCAGCATGTCGCTCTCGCCGGAGATTTTGAGGACCCGAAAGGTCATGTCCTCGGGGCGGAGTCGTGCAGGGTCTCGCTTCTGGAGCGTTTGGGGAGCCAAGATGCTGTGTGTGTCTGTGAAACACGAAGGTAAGCCGCCTCCATTGAGGACGATGGAGTTGAATAACACCGCAGACTCTCCACTACCAATTGGGATGCGGCATGTGTCGTTGAGCGCGGCTACCGTGACAGTACTGGGTGGTAAGCATATTTTTTCCGTCGCAAATCGGTCAAAACTGATTGAACACAGCCCCGATTTTCTCTAGTTTTCACCTAAGAAAATAAAAACTCGGTTTTGCACCAGTTTTACTGTGTTTTAGACCCCTTTGGCCGGCTTTGCACCAGTTTCTCTTCACCTTGCGTCGGCGTAGAATCAAGGAAAAACTGGGCCTTAATTAGCCGCTTTTGTCCAGGTTTTCTCAAGAAAAAACTGCGCTTACCACCCTGTGTAGTAAACGCAATTTCTCTGATCGCCTTTGTGGCGCTCTAATGATGCATCGAACGTTTGTGATGCGCTTCGGAGTCGGGACAGCGACTCCCGCGGGCTCTACGTCAGTGCCGTGATCGCAACTGTGTACGCCACGACACAATCGCTGGAAAACACCGAGGTTGTTTCGGTCAGGCATCCATTAGATCCTGCCGAAGTGCGGTAACACCTTACAATTTGCTTTGGCCAGCTGACTACTAGTAGGCTTGTAAATATCTCGCTTCAGTGCTTTGACGACAACCGTTCTGCAAATTGTATATATAAGCTGCGAATGCTAAGACTGACGAATCTGGAAGGCTGTTCGCTCCCAGGATCCTCGCTGTATTACCTTGACAGCACCAAACCTCAGCTACTGTGTAGCCGCGTAATTTGGCTCGATGGTTGTTGCTTTAAGGCCAGTCGGCGCATCGGCCCGAAGGTGGTGGCTGCCTTGGAGTCCTAGCGTACGCTCATTAACTTGACACTATCCAGCTGAGATCTCAAGACGGTGGCGGCACGCAATCAACAGCAAGTAAACGCGAGCTAGCAACTCAGAAAATATGGTGCGTGAACGTTGATAACCGCAGGATGTTACAATATAAACAGCTGAAGCCAGGGCCAGTTGATGACGTAATAAATACTACAAAGTATACCAAGCACTCGGAGTCCTTCACAGAATAGATAGCGTGGGGTTGTTGAGCTCTATGGGATGTGATGGCGGACAGATAGAGTCCTTGATGGGTCGCAGCACGGAGTAAAGCTAGCCAATACGACAGAGAGTAAGCTAGAAGCAGTCCCAAAAATCAGGCCTAGAGTCGTGAGATTGTCATAAGAGGTCGTGTCGAGACTCGATCCCGGAGATGGTGAGCAGAATATCCGCCCACTAGAGGCGATTGATCTTGAGGATAGCAACGCGGCCGTCCACAGGGATTCCGTGATTGATGCCTGAGATGTATGAGCAAGGTGAAGCTGAAACTGAAATCGACTTGTCGTACCTCGCCTACCGCGAGGCATCAATCCTTCACGCCACTCGACCTCAGCCTTCCACCACTTACCCTGCCAGTGGCTCCCAGCCGTAGCATGTTCAACAAAGTAGTCGCGTCCTACATTGTATCCGTCCTTGTCGATCTGATGATTCTTGGACGAATCCTATATGGAGTGTGAAGATTACGCGCGTACGGAAATTGAGTGGGGAATGCACACCTTCTCCTTGGACGCGCTTGAGGGAGACGGGGGTTAGACCTGTGCAAGAACAAAAGCGCGGTGTACACGCACCCAATGAACCAGGCACCGCTGTTCGCGAGGGTGCCGTTCTGCCGCCACGCACGGAAATGGTGGCCGCCGCGGACACTCTCCCAGCATGTCCCGATGATAGGGTAGTGCTGCCTGATGAGCATGTGCTCCGGCTTGCGACCGAGGCCATCGCCCAGGTCGGCGTCATGGATGTTGCCGTAGTGAAGACCCATACATTCTCCGGCGAAGCCGATGGACCTTGCAGGAACACTGAGCATAATCGCGGAAGCTGCGCAGCTGAGGACACTTACTTGGAGTAGTCGAGGAAGCCGGATTCCTCAAGTACGTAGGGGTCAGAGAGCGCAGAGATAATGATGTTCAAAGGCTCCCCGAGCCGCCTAGTTGTAAACTAAACGTAGCCGGGGGTGAGGGCGGCAACCCGAAGCCGACAAAGTAGTACGCACGTCGATGAAGCGTCCGCCGTTCAGCCTTGGGTCAATCCACCCATCCGTATTCTCCGTCGGTGGGAGCTCTCCATTGTGATACTCGTATACCCTACGCGAGTCCGAAACAGAAAGCGGAACTTGGTTGGCATCGCTATCTGTAGCGACCGGGGAAGAGTGGACAAGCAGAGCAAGGGCGAATGCGAGCAGCCATGTCAGGAAGGGGTGAGGCATTTGAGTGAGATTAAGACGTCGTATTGGGTATTGAGGGTATTGTCAGTCCAGGTATGCTGCTGTCCGGAGGTAAGGGAACGTAGGAGCCAGTGACCCAGCACTGGGAGAGAATTGGAGCAAAAAGAGAGGGTCAAGCGACGTCCCCGGAGAGCGGTCCCAGAGCGCACAGCAATCGGTGCACGGCCTCTCCGGGGTCCTTTGGCACCGCGAGACTCCGGACACGCCAACGTTCTTCGGGATCAGCGTGTCAACGATTCGGACGTACGGCGTATGCTGCGAGATAGATACGGCCATCGTCCAATCCAAAACTCCAGTACTATCAGATTCAGAACGCAAGTTCGCTCCATAATTAACGAAGACAACTGCCGCGATACGACGGAAATGCTAACTGTCAACGCCGCAGGCACTAAGCTTAGGAACGAGCATAGCCTTGGAGGAGGTCCGGGAACACTTCTATCTTGTTCCTCCAATCTCCCTCCGCCACCTCCTGGAGTATGAAACGCCGGAAGCGCCCTCTGTCTTTGAGCCAAGACAATGTCGCGTACGTCGAACTCAGCACACTAGGGCTGATCAGCCTCCATACATCTTCTGCAACGAGGAACTGCCGTTCGCGCAGCACGAGCGTCATGTCTTCGAGCGCGCGGTTGGAATCTGCGGAGATCGTTGCTACGACGTGCCAGATGGCCTGCCAGTCCAGCGGCTGTGCTCGAACCGACAGCTCGAGCGATTGAAGGGTGCTGCAACAGGCCAGAGTAATAATTGGGGGCCCATCCGCTGAATAAGGGGAGCAATAATCAGCCGCTACTGTATATGTTTATCCCACATACGAACGTACCGCGTTCATCCTGCCAGAAACCGCAAAACGACAACCTTAGGTAGGCCAAGCTCGACCGAGTGACGGTCAGCAACTCCTGCAGTCCCGGGAAGAAAGAAGTCTCCAAGTTGCCTAGCGATAGGGTGTGCAAGACACGCGCGGAGGGCGTCTGCACGATATGAAGAAAGAGGCCGCCGCTCGTCGAGCCTCGAGTGACAAGGCTGTGGACGGCAAGGTGTCGTGAAGTAGGGTAGTTATCCTCTACACGACGATACGAATAGTAGCAGAATACAGCTATATCAAGACTGCCGATCTCCTTGAAGCAGTTGAGCAGGTGGATGACATCGCTGGGAGGAATCTCTTCTTGTACGCTCTCTATTGCGAGGCTCTTCAGCGAAATGAGTTTACAATCAATCTGAGCTGAAGGGGATGATGTGACGAATACGTCTTGGATGCGCAGGTGCTCTAATCGAGAGAAAAGGCCGAGCAAGCTGAGAAAAGCGGCTGGGTCGTGATAACCCGCGTCCGGCGGGATTAGCCACTCATGCCGATTAAGAACAGGGATGGTCTTCAGGTTGAGCTCCTGGGTGTAGATCGCAAACTCAGGATGTTCCTCGAAGAAGGTAAGTATGTTGCGGAAGGCTGCGCGAAGGTTGGATATAGTCTCGGGGCATTTGCTGTTGTCTCTGAGAGTGTAGGTAACTTGGCGAAAGAGATGTGGCCGAGAAAGGGCGCTCCAAACGTGACAAACCAAGGAGCAAGACCTCAAGTCCTGCTTTTTATATGAGTCGAGCTCAGTGAAGACAGCATCAAGGAGCTCTGGTGGGAGCTGGACCATATGCTGTTATCAATGAGCGCAAGTAGTTTTGGCTATCGAACGTAGCACCAACCTGGATCTTTGTGCTATGTTCGATGATGTCTACGTGCTCAATGGCAGGAGTATCTGAAAGTGGCATCTCCCAAGGCTCGCTCTGGCTCTCAGATCTCAGCGCTCAGCACTGGACGTCGATGAATATCGCGATCAGCGGCCGGAGATTGCCGTCTGGTTACCATAAGTAGTAGGCGGCTTGACGCGACATGAAAGTATGAGAGGACATAAACATCGCACTTTTTATATGGAGCGATGCATCTGCATGCCTGCACACTGCACAGTGACCTCTGCGATCGTCATCTAGTAGACCATCACGCACGCAGGGTATTTGTCAATTATCAAATATGGGTGTCGAAACGCTGAACAGGCATGCACTAATTAACGTGATTAATAACGGCAACGCGGACTCTCGGGCTTCTGGTTTTTTTTTGGCATGATTCCTGAGTACTGAGTCCCAGTGCACGAAACATACAAGTAGCTGTTTTGCATTGTTCAAGGTCATGCAACTACTGTCTGCACATATTATACTGTTCAAGTAAGGGCCTCTGGTGTGCCCGTGGTCCGGCTCTCCACATTCCATCAAATCAGACCGCGTCTCTTACCGAAACAGTCCCTTCACTGCGAGGAGGCTACGAATACATTCTGCATCTCAGCGTGCTGTGCACACTGTCCTTGTTACCGAAATATCTGTAGTTATGTCCGCAAGATCTGGTATCGGCAATGACGTTCCCATGGATGACACAACAGCACACGAGGTATGTCTCCTAGCCTAAGCCTCCCCCATCCAGTTCTTCACAGCTGACTGTACCCAACTATACAGCCTTCAGATGTTCCCTCGGCGAGCGATGAAACCAGCGAACCGGACAATGTCACCGTCTCGACGGTGTTCCAACCCAACTCAAATGTCCTTCCTCTTACGCCGGACACAGCCCTGCTGTCCTCGGATGACGTCTTCTTCTACGTTCACTCAGCATTGCTCATGCAGCGATCGGAGAACAACTTCGGCTCTCTTTTCCCTGTAGCGCTCCAAGAGGGCGAATCAGAGCATCAAACATCCATGCTCCTCGTCCGCGAGCACTCTCAGGTCCTGAACGTCATACTGCACACCATCTACGGCCGGCCTTGCGACCAGTTTAGCCCGACCAATGACACGCTGAGTGCGGCGATCGCGGCCTTGTACACGTACGGCGTGCCGCTCGCTGTGCACCTCGCACCGGGGATGCCGCTCTTCGCGCTGCTCGTTGCGCGCACACCCGGCGCACCGCTCTTCATCTACACACTTGCAGCACAGTACGACCTATACGACCTCGCGGCGCAGGCGTCCACGTTCCTGCTCAGCTTGAAGCTCGTCGACATCGGTCAAGAGTGCGCAGATCGCATCGGCCCTGTGTACCTTCAGAGGCTCATCTCGCTCCAGCATGCACGCGTAGAGGCTATGAAAGAGATCCTACGCGAACCACCTGGTGAGCACCCGCCGACGGACCACTGTGACGCGGAGACGCAGGCTGGGATGACGCGGGCATGGATGCTGACCGCGGCGTATCTCATATGGGAGGCGCGGCCGGGTAAGTCGGGGCTAACAAGCGGTATACGCGATGCTGACGATCGAGACAGAGCTGACGACGACGTCTATGGAGGTAACGTTCGAAAACGTCGCGGGAAGTATACGATGCACGGCATGCAAAACCGTCTTCGGCGAACGCCTGGCGCGAGCACTGAATAGCTGGGCACAGCAGAGGGTATGTCTTGTGTTCAGCCCAGCCAGCAGTATTTGCTCAAGATGCTGCGCACAGAGAACGATATGACAAGCAGACGCACGATGGATTAGCGAGACTGAGTGCCCTCGTTTCCCACAGGTCTCAAACACCCCCATGACCATGCTTCTGCTATCACCAATAAGATGCCGCTGCGTGGACAGATATTTCTAGTGGAATTTTTGTGCAGTATCACTGCGACCGACAGCTATACACGCAATTGAAGTTGAACCGTAGCCTACGCTCGCAAGTCAGCATTGTGAACGAGATGGTGTGGCCTGTAGCCTACAAGGCCACGCACCAGATTGCACAGAGGCCCTCTCGCACCATCGCATCATGACGTTGCCACCACCACCAAATTTTGCCGACGTACGTACTGCAGCACTGAGTTTTTGGACAGCGGATAATCTCCGGGGCGGAAGTCTCGAGCTCCAATTGACCTGCAAGATGGCGTCCTGAGGAGCACTGGGCCAAGCTACGTGGTCGCCGTGAAAATTTTGCACTCTGTGTCTCTCTAGGTTTTGGGATAATGCGCTATCAAAACCCAGATTGAATGCCAGAGGTTGAACCGAAAGAGGAGCTCGAGTGAAGACGAGAGATGTAGATGACGATCAAAGTTGTGTGCAGCGATCGGACGCTGACAGCCCCGCCCGTTCTTCAGGGCAGGCGCGTGCACGCATGCGGCCTAAGCGTCGAGGAGGCTCTGTTAAAATAAAAAAAACTGTGTCAGAGATGTTTCACGAGTGATGTTGCTTCCGCTGGAGAGGTAAAGGAATATAACTAAACACAAAAAGAAGATGAAAGGGGAAAGTGGGAGAATATAGATATTCATTCCAGAGCGATGCAGCTCTCATGATAGCCATGACACTACTGTGGGCCTCTGCAGGTTTGTGGAATAGTCTTACGCGACGCGACTCTGGCCGAAAGATCGACGGCGCAACTTGAGAGCGAGGAGACATGCGGCAGAAAGAACAAGCACAGTACGCGGGGCTAAGAGGGGCCGACGAGTGTGTGGTGCACCGGCCGGCCAACCAAACGAAATCCACTGGTTCGACATGGGCTTCATATTGGCTTCATACCTCTTTCGGTGCCTCCCTCAGATGATCCTTGGCGTGCCGCATCTCCAACTGAATTATCGCCGCATGATGCTGCCTCCCGCTCGCAAGCCTCCCTGGAGCCTGCGACGACTATGCTGCAGAGGCATTACAACGAGGACGATTTGTGGAAGGTACGTACGCACCAGAATTCCACATTCACGTTAGCTCTTCTTAAAGTGGGATCGAATCCCACGTTCACGTTAGCTCTTCGTCCGGCTGACGAGATTTTCATGACAGACGGGATCGTAAATTACGGTGCGCCAAACGACGAGTCCAACTGAGAACATAAGACTCCGGTGGACCCCAGAGGGACACGCAGTGCGGGCAAGAAACCGGGATAGAGCGGGCTGCTAAAAGTGTACGCAGTGCCAGGGATAACACCAGCCTCACAGACCCCTGCGGCTGAAAGATGGTATCGAGAAGACCTTCCTGAATTCTTTCTCTGGCCAGCCGAGCCGTTGCCTGGCTCATTATCGCTGAAAGTTGCCGGCCGATGACCCTGAAGGTTGCCGCCGCATCCTCGCCTAGCAGTCCGACTCCTCTGGCAGAGAATATGGAGGACCGCACGGTTGCTACAGCGTCATGATGTTAGCCCGAACAAGAAGAGCCCTGCCTGACCCGCAAGGTACAAATAGGCACCGTTTAGCTGGAATAGGCCTTACTTGCTAGATGGCAGGCCCGTCAGCAAGGGAAGTGATCCCGCAGATCGGAAGTGCGCGAAGTGATGTCTGTTGCAGGCACAAGGTCCTGGGAAGCGGACCCCTGCTGAACGTGCTGAGAGTCCGTTCGCCTGTAGTAGGTACGCTCATTCTATAAAGCCCAGTATCAGAGTTGCAAGTGAACACGACTTATGAAGTGCTGTATCCGACATACGGACTGGCACGCCTGCCTCAAGACTAGATGGGCCCACCATGCGGAATATCGATGGACCGGTCGCATTGACTGGTGCGTCACAGCACGTGCGGATGTAATGGAGATCCTGCACACCTTTGGCAACAGGAGATTCGGTTACGAGATTTTTCATCCCCTAGCTTAATCCACAGCACCTGGAGCCCTCTTTCAATCACCGGCCGTGGTTTCTTCAGGTATTTCGTTCCATCTGCGTGGATGGCGTCGAATATGATGGCGTTGGCCGCCGCAGATTGTTGCTCAGGAGAATGGATCTCGACGACGGCCTGGACACACCTGGACTGGCGGCTACCTATCTGTCCACCATCTTGCCGTAGGGTGTACGCTGACACGCAAGGTGTCGTCGACGGCCCATAACATTGCCCGCAGGGCGCGGTTTCTCTTGGGGCTGCGGCATTGCTCTCAGGCGATCGGTTGGCTCCGCTGATGATGAATTTGTTCTCCTCGGCTTTCCGTGTCCCTTTCGCCAGTTTTCTTCCTAACTCCGCCACCTGCTTTACAACCCGAAGTTGAAGACCCGATATGATGCAGCGGCTGTCTGTGTGGCCTTGCAACTGCTCCATTCGCGGGTCCACTCTGGAAGAGTTCGTCATTGGGCGCGAAAATGTCGCTCTCCGCAGCGGGAGATGCGGTGGCAGTGATGGGAGGAATACTCTGGGGGCTGTCGAGGGTGAGCGGGCAATACAAGTCGTAATCGTTGGAGTTTGACTGTGGCACATGTTATTGCGGCCCCTCCCTCCCCCCTCAAATGACTTGCTGTATAAGATTATCAGGATAAACCCAAATAGACACATGCATCTGTCGGCGAAATATACTCAAGCTAAACTGGATGAAATAGAGTGCGCTCCCCATCGATGCTATATAACCTGAGCGCCGCTCCGATTGAATCCCTCTCCCTCTCCCTCCTTGCAGTGAATGTCTGCCGACGCCCTCCCCGTCGAACTTGTCGACAAGGCCATCAAGTTTGCATATAATGACGCCGATGCTCTGACTCTTACGTCCTGTGCTCTCGTATGCAGGATCTGGGGAGCTGTATCCCGACCATACATTTTTGAACGCGTCAAGATCGCCTCAGACGATCGCCTCACCGTCCTCGAGAACCTCGTCGAACGCGACGCCAACGTCGGTCCCTTCATCCGTGCCCTTATCGTTCAGCCTTCTCCCGTACTCACCACCGTGCCATCTTCCTGGGTCGGCAGGCTCGCCAAGCGGCTACCATCCAAGCTAGCGCGCCTACAGGCCATCAGACTCATCTGCATCTTCGACCTCGGCGAAGCCTTCGAGCGCGGTTTCGTGCACGAGTTCGCCACATTCGCCACCGTCGACCGCCTCACAATTGACAAATGCGCACTCAACTTATCACTCGTGTACCTGCTCGCCGCAGCGCTACCGGGCCTCCGGCATCTCCACCTCGGCGTTATCATGCCTGTGCTGTCTGTGCTGACCGAGCCCCTGGCGCAGCTACATCCCCTTCGACTCACTTCGGTCGGGCTAGACGTGGGCAGCGTTTACCCCTACGGTCTTCGGGATGTCGTTAACTGGGTCCTGAGCTCGCCTTCACGCCAGACTCTGCGCTCTCTCGTGCTCGTCGCGCGAATAGGGAATGCCTCCGTCGTAGGACGAGTCCTTAACGAACTCGGGCCGCAGCTAGTGGAGCTGGACCTTAAGCTTGAGATGTCCTTCCCTCCATTCGTCGAAGCAGAAAGTACGCCTCCTCCGGACCGCGGACCTAGCGCCCCTGCTGATCTCCTCCCTTTCGCAGTGATCAGAACAGACATCAGCCTGCGCAGCTGCACTGCACTGCGCGTGTTCACGCTGCGCCATCACAGCCCGCTCTCGCGCGCGGTGCTCGAGCTCGTGTCTGAGGTGCGCGCACCGCTCCGGAGCATCACCCTTGGCGTCCTCGCCGCCCCCGACGTGCATGCGCTCCCCAGCTTTGCACCGCTCGCAGCACACATCGGCGAGGCGCTCATGCGCACGCTGAAAGAAGAACGTGTGCTCTACTCTGGCCCCGTGCCCGAGAGCGCCATTTTGGAGAAGCTGCAGCGAGAATTGCCCGTCATACACGCGATGGGCGTCCTCAAGGTCGAGCGCGTTTGAATGGGATGTAAGTGCTGGTTCGGCTTTGCATTGACAATCCCGACTGGCTCTGCTAAACTGGTCCTGTGCGAGCTAGTCGGTCGTCGTTTCCAATGACACTTGACTAGAAGAGTCGGTAAAGTATTTGGTTTAGAAATAGGCACCCCTGTCGTCGGGTCTATCCGGTTTTGTAAATTTGTCACAGCGCATAAGATCACGTTTCGACCCGAATTAGCTAGCCTACTCATTGGTAGTAAAATCTGAATTCATGTTGAACTAGGCATTGGGTTTCTACCTGCGAAATTTGTGTACATATTTGTAGCATTGATATCAACAGCTCAGACCAGTGAAAGGCTTAACAGCCCAATAGCATATTATAGGACTTGATCAAGGCTATCTTTCGCCATGCCTAGACTACGCGCACATTTCTCGAATTAGACGTTGTGAGCACCCTTCAGGTGCGCATCCTATGTTATTTGTTTGTCTTTGTTAGAATTCAAAGGCTATGATTCCTATACAAGAGGCCGCTTCGTTGCGCTCCGCGACTGCTGTCCTCGTGGATGTGGTTCTGCGGGCATGAAATTTGAAGCTCAAGATTTTCGATTTCATTCGCTGCAATGTATAGAGGATTGCAAGTCAGACAGGAAACGGCGCATATAGGGCTGCAGCATAGGCGCGCTGCGCGCGGCATAAGCAAAGGACAACTATCTGGCCCAATCAAGGAGAACGACGAAATAGGGGCGGTCAAAAGGTATATAAGACGGGGCCCCTGAAGCGAGTAAGACAGGGATAAGAAAATCGTGTCTTACTTTGAGGGCATCTGCGTAATATTATAGTAATAATTATAGTAATAGTAATAATAATATAGTAATAGCAATAGTAATAATATAGTAATAGTAATAGTAATAATATAGTAATAGTAATATTAATGATATGGTAATAGTAATGATATAGTAATAATATATTTCCACAGCTTTACGTCTCATGCCTTCAAAGCTTCAGCTTCAGGCCTAGGTCTGGGCTTGCTTCTAGCACTCAACGTCTCTATGCACCGTACACCACCGACCAAAAGTTTTGCGCGATAAATTACTCAATAATGATAGAAAAAACACGCCTTATCGTCACAGGCCACTAGTACTCGTCCCGCTGGCTCTCGAGACAGCTCAGTCTCGGGATGACCACGTTCGGCTTGACGCCCCTCGCGAACTGCACGCGCCACTCACGCGCGAGCTCGTGCACGCGTTCCATGTCGATTTCGATGTCCATGCTCGCAGGCAGCTCGTCCAGGAAGCGCACGCCATCTGCCGCCTCTTCTTGCGTCTCGGGCACCTCGTGCGGCGAACTCGACCGCTCGTCACTTCGATGCTCCTTTGCGGGATGGGGGACCTTCACAAACGTCGGTGCTAGTGCGCCCAGCTGTCTTGCCATGCTCTGTCTCAAAGCTGCGCGCGACTGGCGGTCTCGAGTCTTCCGCGGCGGCGCCAAGAGGGTCCGGCTCGACCCGACGACTGAGGGAACCATCACGACATCTTCTGTATCTGTTCGGTTCAGGGCTTGAGAGCTTGAGGTTTGATTGATGGTAACAGCTTCGTCTTGAGGCACGCACTTTTTCGTGAGACCTAGGGACCGGCGAAGGCTTGTCTCGTCCTCCAGAGTCCGTCGTCGTTTCGGTTCACGCTCTACGGAGTTCCGGGAACGAGCTTGAGGCATGTCCGACCTGGATGGCGTCCTTATAAATGCTTGTTTGCGGATGTCAATAAATCTTGGCATCGTGTTCTGATCGTGTACCGGCCCGAAGGGGTCCAAAGGAGCTGAAGCGTCTCGTACGTTGTGGTTGTCCGGAGCGGCGGACTGGTGCTGTGTCGTCCGACGTCTTTTATGTGTACTAGGCGCAGGTGAGAGCAGCTGGAAAGGTTTTCCAAGCATGGCGTGACGAGGCTGCTGAGGGGTTTGAGGGACATCTTTCGAGCTAATCTGAGTAGAGTCATGGTGCTTGTTCGGAGGAGGTGAGAGACGCCCCGAACGAGGAGTAGACGGAGTAGACGGTAGAAATGGTGCAAAGGCAGTGTGGAGGGATACACCGATCGTCGGCGCCTCGTCAGCATTGACCATACGTTCATCGTTGGCAGCTTCTCGGACAGGTGAAAATGAAGCCGCCACCGGATCCAGGAGCTGTGACGGCATGTCGGCATATGACGCAAAAAGGAAGTGTGCAGTATTCATATGAGCTTCCTCGTTATCCCCGTCCTCGGTCTCCGCGTCGCTGTCCACCTGCATTCTCGCTGATGGCTTTGAGAACCCTGCATGGAGACGCGCCATGGCACGCTCAGTCTGAGAATGCGTTGCGCGGCCCTGGAATCCCCTTTCCTTGAATTGAGCCTTCGCTTCGACTTTGAGAGGTCCAGCCGACATTTCATTCCAGACATCTTGTGTCTGGCTCTGAGTATCGGTAGAGGCGGAGACTTTCAGGAGACGCTCTACTGAATTGCGTTCGGGACCGTCTAGGTACTTCAGGAGAGTTTGGAGTTTGTGTCGGATCTTGCCATCGTCTGCCCATCGTTCGGCTATCTCGAGTGAGCCGTTTCCCTCTAAGTTCGTAATGGCAACATCTTCTCCATCGTCCAAGTTTAGCGACATGGTAGTCCATTGTAGTCCAAGCTCTTCGGCGATCGACTGGCGGACCTCTGTTCTGAAGGAAGCTTCATCCAATGCAAGAAGGCCGGAGAACATCCCTGGGATTGCGGCCCAGTCAAGGCTGCAGAGCTTTGGATCGAGCGTGTTGGGTATTATACGTTTCGGCCTGAAGAGCGAAACGAACGACTGGAGCTCGGGAAGAGGTGAATGCCTCGAGAGCGCCACAAGCTGTAATCGATATCGTCAGAAATATGTTGTACCCTATCGCACTGAGGGATCATACTAGATGATTCACCGTCTCTCCCTTTTGCAAACGCTCCTCCGTTTCGCGTATATAAGCTTGCCAATCCGTAGCACCCATAGTCACCGGATTAACGTAGACAACGTGATTGCCGCTTGAAGTATGCGTGTCCTGGCCTTCAGCTTTGACTTCGCTGCAACGATCAAAACGTTCGCAAGCGTGGAATCGCGTAGCACGCTCGTCTCGGGTGATGATAGAGCGCAAAAACGGTTCACGGTCAAGGTGAGAGTAGACCGTGTGCTTATACCTATCAACGTGAATCTGGAGATAACGTGGCGTATCATTAGCACATGTCAAAAATGAGCATATATGCACATACATTCGTTCGGAAAGCTTTTGCCACTACTTTATAGATGTCCTCGTAACCCCAGGTCCATCCATTGATGAAGAAACGGGTAGATTCGGGAAAGAGTTTCATGAGAGAGACAAGCCCAGACGTCGCTTCATCCTTTGAAGGAGATTAGCCCACCACATTGTATACATTCAACAAAACGAATCCAACCTTAGAAGGTATAAGCTTCGTGCTCAGCATACATGCGGTGTCGAGGTAGATAGCTTCCAAAGTCTCGCCTACGGTCTCTGGGAAAGCATTCGAAATATGAGGGTCCCACGTAGCGATGTATTTCTCGAGGAAAGGATTCTTCTTGAGAGAATCAAGGTACCACGGCTCAGCGCGAAAGTCACCAGTATAGAGTATCGAGCCCAGGGAACCTTGAATGAGGAACCTGTAGATATATCAAAAAATGTCCACGAGATGGGATAGAACTTTCATACATGACCGCGCCTGGGCAGTGGTTGGCGTCGATGAGCGTTATTGTAACGTGATTGCCGTTCGACAATTCGCACCGTGTTGGCGTGTTGAGGGGCAGTGGTTTCTGCCAAGTGGGAGCAGTATAAGAATAAACATACAGAAAATTCCGAGATAAAGTTCACGGCAGGCCGAACAAATTGTCTAGAAGGCAAAGCGCCACATTCAAAGTGCAGTGATCATAGCCGGGTAGGTTCACTTACGAGCAGGTCTCTTGAACCGTTATAGAAAACCATTCCGTCATCGTGCGTAAGGGGCTTGATCTTGAGGTGCTTAAATGTTCGTATGTTCTCTGCTCGTACATCCTTCTCTCTCAGCTGTCGCTCGGCTAGCACCTCATGTCTTAGAAGCATTTCCTTCGCGTCTTGAGAGCAATACACAGTATGCCCAAATGATCTTGCAGACAACCCTTGAATGTGGTCTGTGTGCGTATGCGACAGTAGATGCAAAAGCGGGACGGTCTTTAAGCTGGACGAGCCGGAGAAATCGTCGACACGAATGGCGTATGGGTGCACGAACGAGTTATAGGGCGATCCTCGGGGCATTTGGACGCGTTACGACGTGCTAAATATTATATTTACCACATAAGCTACGAAAGAATGCCGAGGCTGGAGGAGGGAAACATTGACAGTGGTGGAGGAGCGTGAAAAGGAGGAGGCCGTCACGCTTCGCGACGAGTAACGAAGGTCACAGAAAGGGGTCCCGTCACGGAGAATCCGTGACGCTTTGTCCGCGTTTGCAGAGGGCGCTCCCGACTTGCGGCGAACGACGATGGCGGCAAAGAGCAAAGGACGGTGCGTCGGCCAAAACCCTTTTAGCATACTCGGAGCCTCATAATTCTGTTCCTTCAGCACACTTCTCGTGCGTCTCATCTCCACCGCCCAAACGGGCTTCTTCTACACCACCCAGAGGCTGCGAAACGGGCCTAGTCTAGCAGCTGTGAAGTACGATCCAAAAGGTGGGCGCAAATGCACAGGACTGCTGCTCGGACTCACCAGTTTTGCAGTAAAACAAAGAGTTTTGTTTGTTGAGAGCTCCAAGACCGCTCGGAAATCTGCTGCTGCGAAGAACTGAGCTCTTCACTGGTATCAGCAGTGCCGGTCAACTTGCGAACACTGCACATGATGTAAAACGATGCATACACAGGAGCCGTGGCAGGGCACTAGAGAAGGTGGAGAGATTGAGCACCGGTATCCACGAGTATTCCGTACGTCATCGTGTGCTCCAAATTTCCATCACATACATATACAGCGTACACCGGGCTTTGATCCTGTCAAAGGCAGATTGCGACCCACATTGTCCCAGTTCATGTCTCAGCTCGCCTGTCAATACGTTCATCTCTGTTCCTGCAACTGAAAGTCCAGACCAACTTGCGCTGGGCACGCCATGATCAGCCGCCGAGCCGCGCTTTTGGCCTCATGCCTTCTGTTTCGAATCATGTCCGCTCCGTTTTCTTAGGACCCACATACCGCTCCGACCGCCCTGACATCGCTATGACCGGAGAGCATGCGCCTCATACCGCTATTGCGACCGGCCCATTGACTATACCCCGCGGCTGGTCTTTCCCACGCAGTTCTGCAGACTCCAAAATGCGCTTTGCGGCCTTCCGACACTCGGAACATCAGGAATGCAGTCTTCTGGCTGCCCGGTGCCCGTATTGACTCCGTTGCTCTGTTAGGCCAAGTTCCCATATCGTCCCAGCAGCTGAGCGATGCGACTTATATCCGATCGATTCTCAGTTAAGGTTTTAGCCGCATTGAAAATCACGTCAAGGCACCGCTCTGACGCTGCAGGGCTCCGCAGAGAGCTCATGAGGAACCTGATAGACTATGCTCGAGTATCGCCCTCGAACTCGTTTTGTTCACGAGGACGACACGCGATCTCACGGGCCCCACATTCGAATGCCTTCGCAAATCCCGGGTCATTCGCGCCCGGGACGACCCCCCTGCCTATCAGAAGGCGTCCCACACTGCTATTAAAGGACTGCGTGGTCAGTCATGTCTCATTCACAGTCCCATGGAGCATCCCATTGAGCAAACCACACTACCCGGCAGCACCGTTCTACAGATCGCTGCAACATGGCTACGCGAGTTCAGCACGGCCTTGTATGCGCTGGACGCCGATGCGGTTGCGCGTACATTCCTGCCTGACGGCTGGCTCCGCGACTCGCTGACCTTCACCTGGAACAATCGTGCGCTACACGGGCGGAGGAAGATTGCGACATTCCTCGTAGATACGCTTCCATTTAACCCTGTCTCGAACGTGACTTTCGACGACGACCCGCACCTTGCGCCAACGTACCACTCTGGCACCGTCGAGTTCGGATTCAAGTATCACACGCCGATTGCCTGGGGGCGGGGGCACGCACGGCTCGTTCGAGGCGCGACCGGACGGTGGGAGGCGTTGACAGCGAGTACGATTATTCTTGACCTGAAGGGGCATGAAGAGCCTGTGGGTGGGGTGGACTGGGAGGAACAGGCGGAGGAGCGAACCTGGGGGCAACTTCAAGCGGACCTAAAAGCGAAGGCAGGGTCAAATCCGACTGTATTGATTGGTGAGTCTTTGCCTGGAATCGGTCATCTAACTTGCTTTTCGGGTCTGACGCAAGCGTTAGTGGGCAGTGGGCAGAGCGGCCTGCAAGTTGCCGCGCGGTTCAAGCAGATGGGCATTCCGACGCTGCTCATCGAACGTAATGCGCGCATTGGCGACAACTGGCGAAAACGTTACTCGAGCCTTGCGCTGCACACGCCCAAGGAGCATCATCAGTGTAGGTGACGCCACAGAGACGTAAACTCTGTCTTCTGATGCACCCTTCACAGTGCTGTACCAGCCTTATCCGTCGAACTGGCCCCTGTATACACCCCGGGACAAGCTTGCGAACTGGCTGGAGGCGTACGCAGACAACCAAGACCTGCTAGTATGGACGAGCACCAGCATCCGTGGACGGCCCGTGTACGATTCGGACCGAGGGCGATGGCGCCTCACAGTTGAGCGCGCGGGGGACATCGTGACGGTCACGCCCGCACACATCATCATGGCAACGGGCGTCCTTGGCGAGCCGAACATCCCCGTTTTCGCGGGCCGAGAGCGCTTCCCCGGCGCGGTGCTGCACACGACGGAGTACATGGACGCCGCGCCGTTCGCGGGCAAGCGTGTCGTTGTCGTCGGTGCGGGTAACACTGCCATCGACGTCTGCCAAGACCTCGTAGGCGCTCGGGCGGCGTCGGTGACCATGGTACAGCGCTCCGCGACGTGTGTCGTCTCGCGCTCGAATGTGCTCAAACACCTGCACGAAAAGTGGGCTCCCGGCGTGCCCGTCGTCGTCGGCGACCTGAAAAATGCGTCAACGCCCATTGGGTTCTTGCGCGAAGAAATGATTAAGCACCAGGCGGAACAGTGGGCCGAGGAGAAGAAACTCCATGAGAAGTTGAAAGGCAGCGGACTGAAGCTGACGTTGGGGTCCGAGGGGCAAGGTCAAGCAACCTTGGTGTATGAAAGATATGGAGGTGAGTGGAACTTCAGCTCTTAAACGTCGTTCAGTCTTTAATCCGTGTTGCCTTCTAGGATTCTGTACGTATCTTTCCGATTGAGCTTGCTGGATAGTTTTGAGTAGTCATTAGGGCAGGATAAGGGCGCCGCAGATCTCATCGCATCGGGCCGGATACGCATCAAGCAAGGCGTTCAGCCTGTCGCATATTCGTCGGAAGGCCTCGTCTTTGAAGACGGCTCCACACTGCCCGCGGACGTGGTTATCTTAGCGTGAGTACCTTTTCCGACGTTCTATTCGTAATCTGGGCTGATGAATGCAACTAGCACCGGATATCACAACATACGCGAGACAAACAAGCAGATCTTTGGTCCCGAAATTGTCGCTCAGATTAGTGAAGTGCACGGGCTTGATGAAGAAGGCGAGCTACGAGGAACATGCCGTCCAACCGGACATCCTGGGGTGAGTAGTAGCTTTCTTGAGACTGCTCTGAGGCTAATGTTGCTTCAGCTTTGGTTTGCCGGAGGAGATTTCTATCACTCGCGGTTTATGTCAAAGCAATTGGTAAGCAAATGTCAGGTTAGGTGTATGCGCCTGACTAAGGAGGATATACAGGGAATTCTGATTAAAGCTGGCGAACTCGGGCTGACCTCTCGGCGCACGCGCTGCTATCTGTAAAGTTGTCTGTGCATAAACTTCTCGTTGCGATCTGGCTATCTGCGCGATGCTGTATAGAGTGGCCGATTCCCAGCCGTAACCATGTTGTATACGTCACCCGCAACAATCTCCGAGTTTGTCAGCTCTAAGCTGCACCCTTTACGCCATCGTCTCCTCCGCAAAAAATTAGATAGTTCTCTTAGATAGAAGTGAGACTCAACTCAGGGACCGTCAAGGGAAAGGCGCGCACCTTGACTTGGGACCACGCATTCACCAGATCTTTCACTCGAGTGTCTAAGGATACTTGGCACAAGGGACATGTCGCACTCCTTCCGATCTCCCTGAACCTGACGTCCAGTGTTATTTCGGTGATCTCTGCAAAAATAATTGGTCGATGAGGAACAACGTTGGAGCACAGGCATATCGTTGGCCCAACGACGCACCTGGCCCAGCCTCGAGCACGAACGACGCGGCAGTAAACGCCCATGCCGATGTCGTCTTCCGCTGTTCGTTATATCCACAGGTGGGCGTGGGCGCGTGCCCGTCCGGTGGACACACGACAAGGCGCTTCAGCACGTCTAGGCGATGGCACCGCAGCATAACCAACCGTTTGAGGTACAGGGGGCCCATCTGGTTGGCGTACTCATCGGGGATGTCCTTGACGTCGTATGTCAACAGCAGCGCAGATATCGGGGTGGCCAGCTCGCTCAGATCGTATTGCGCGGCGACGGTGAAGAATTGGAGGGGCGAACTCCGTGACCGTTCGAGTAGGAGCGTGTACAGTGGTGTCCCCGGGGCGATATATTGTCGAAGGTGCATGCCATACTTCACCAGAGCCTCGATGGCGCTGACTAGGGTATGGCTAGATGGGTTGAGATATGCGCAAGATCTGTTGTATACGGTGTGGAGGACAACGTTGAGGATGTCAGAGCTCTCTGGTAGGCGGTATATGGCGGCATCGGTATTGTTGTTAGCATCTGCGGTACCAGAATGCGGGCTGTAGGACAATAGAGAGTCCCAGCGGTTTTGAGACCTGGAGAGGATGACTGCGGAGTGTGCGTAGAAGCTGACATCGTCACATGAGATGAATGTGAGGTCGGTTGGCCAGTCACCAGCGGATCTAGACTAGAAAAACGGAGTGAGGAAGAGTATGTAGATCGATGCCGCAAGCAGCCCGCACTGTGGAATGGGCAGGGTTACTTGTGCCTGATTGGATATTACGCGAGCCTTGTGGGCCGTCGATGGGACTGGATGACATGTCGTTGTTGCAACGCGTCGGGCGAGTGTTAACCCGAATGTAGACGATGACGGTAGGGGAGAGATGTAAAGATATCCCACAAGGACTGTCCAATCCCGGCGGAAAGCAACAAAAATTGATTATTCAGCAGGATCCCATGAATTATCGGTTCGGTGACTAGGAAATGATATCATTCATGACACCCACAAAGCCCACAAATGAATGGGAGATCTGGAACGGGGTAGACGATAATCTGGACCGCAGTCTGGCGGGATTGTCCTATGCACCAAGCTGAAAGTAAGATAGAAGCACTCACATCGAGGAAAGTGTGGCCCGAGGTGCAAAGAGGTCGTTGAGGCTACCAAGTGGAGATAATCCCGATAAAGTTTGTCTGTCCATTGCAAACTCGGTATCTTTATGAGTCGGTCAATCAGACGGAAGATCCAAAAGATATTTAGCCAGCGCAATGGGCCATCAGTGTATTGTGGGCAACCTCAACCAACCACATACAATATTTCATACCACAGCAGGTACCAGGCCGTTACATAGGACATGCACTATGCCAGAAATCCGGAGCAGGGATGGCCCGAGACCTCCCGAAGTAGGTCCCGTGCCAGATTGCATGAACCCGTCCCCGAGGCCTGTTGAGCTGGGGCGGCTATAGCAAATTACACAATCACATAAATTCAGAGTATATTACAGTGGACATTCGCTTGCGGTGTGTGAAGAGCTTTTGACTGCAAATTTGGCGATTACCATATGTGACCACTGACGAATCACGATAGCCCAGCGAGAAGCATAGCAGACCCGTTGAGTTCGGCAACTATCGTGGACATGATTCAGTGCCAGTGAGAACCAGCGATAAATGGCGAAACCGCGTATTTGTTTCGCTGCTTACTTGTCGAGGGCAGTAAATGCCGAAGCGCGCAACGTCGGAATCGTCGCTATATTAGACGCCTGCCTGCGCGTCGACAATGACGTCCGTTGGCACGTCACAGTGAGCGCATGAATTCGTCAAAGTCTACCGACAGCCAAGTTACCGTTGGTGTTTCTGGAAGGCTCGACCAGAGCAAAACGTACCTCATCCGCGGCAAAGCAACCGCTCGTTGGAGCCCCGCGCCGTTCGTCGCCATGCGCGGAGTATAACGCAATGGCAGACCGAGGCCAGGAAATTGCTAAAATTCTGTGATGTAGCTGTTCTAAGCGTGTTTCTCAAGCAGCGGTTTGTGGCAGCCGGATTCAACGGCGTACGTGTCATACCTTGGACCGCGTTTGATGAACGGGACGTTGAGAAAGTCAACGCCGGCTGGCGCTTTGGTGGGCGAAGTCAGACTGATTGTCGGAGCCAGATGCTGCAAAACCTGGTAAGAGCATAATTTTGGATCCTTAAGACTCGTCGGCGCACTCTATGACAGCCATTGTGTTGAATTGGTTGCTTGAGGAAGTACTGTAAACTGACCGAACGCGATGGTGCCTCGTAACAGCAACTTCATGAGTATCAGACTAGACTAAAGACTTTGAACGTGAATCTAAGAGAGAAATACGTGAAATAGTCAAAAGCAGTATCAAAAGGGGCTCGGGGGTAGTGAGAGTGGCCTAGACTGAAGTCGATATCGAGACAAGGAAATACGATAAGCGCTCTCTTTGTGGCGTTTACTCTAAAACGTCACAAAATTCCTGAATGACTACCTTCGGATGTTATAGCCGTCATTTCGTAGCTTTTCCCATACAATCTCTCTAACTCCTGCATATGACCCAAGAATATCCGAATTATCACAGCCTTCGCAATCTTTCAGTGCAGGCGGTGATATTTGTGGATCTTATTGCCTATGGTAGGCTTATACCGCCCTCATCATATAATACCTTTTCCCCTTATGATTGATCTTGTAATGGTACATGAAGAGGATTAGTTTCATCTGAAGGCCTGGACCTACACAGCAGAAAAATCGCCTTAGGCTAACAAACCATATAAATGGTAAAAGCGGGGGTGGGTCCAAAGTTGAATGCCTCCTGGAGCCTAGACCTGAGCGGCATAACGAGCTGAGGCGCTGGCTCGAAGGGCTGCGTGAAGTCCCACACGCGGCAGACGCTCCGGGGCAGCCATGCGTGCGTGTCCCGCAGTGTGCCCCTGTTTACGACAGTGTGCCGCTGTGTGCTGAGATGCCGTCAAGAGGAGCCCTGTCAAGCTTTGTCCGCGATCGCACGCGCAGTAAAAGATGTCCCGCCGGGCCTCCCCGGACGTAATGGACATCGCTTGGATGGGGGTCGCGAAGGAAGAAAGGCCTAGACCGTCGCTTGTGGTTCGAGCAGGGACAAAGAACCCGCAGAAGGCGTCGTTTAGGGGGTACGCAGCGAGAACAATGGCTATATCTGCCGTTCCACGATGGCCCCGATTGGTATTGGATACCTCGTGTCAAGTCGGAGCTTGGCTGAGCCCACGAGTGTGGCCATATTGGCCTAATCAGAAGAGAAGCTATCGCTCAGAAACATGATTCCATCCTGTTCCCCGGTCGTTGATATCGTTTCGAACTATAGCCGACAGAGATCTTCGAACGCTCTCCTCAAACGCGCTCGACCGACAAGACACCCCTCGCATGTATGTCCGGCAGATCCCTCTGCAGCTTCTGCAAGACCACCCTCTCCGGCACAGGGCCGGTGTACAACAACCGCTCCTCCTGCAGCGTAGACATCAGGTCGTTATTAATGACGGCCGCGAGCGGTGCTAAGCTGGGCAGCGTGTCTGCGTCAGCGACGTTGAGGACGCCGAGGGTGATGCTTCGGAGCGGAGCCTGCACCTCGGATACGAGCTCGAGCACCGCGCGCGAGAGCGGGCTGTGGTGACGCAGCGTTAGTTTGCGGAGCGCAGTGCAGTCGCGTAGACTAATGTCCATCTTGATCACTGTGTGCCGGGCGATCAGCGAAGCGCCGGTCTGTGGGCTCAAACTGGACATACTTTCTGCCTCGACGGTCGCGGGGAAGGTTATTTCCAGCCGGAGATCCAGCTCCTCCAACTGGTGCCCCAGCTCGCTGAGAATCCGGCCTGCAGAGGAGGAGGACCCTATCCTCGCAACGAGCGTGACAAAGCGCAGGGTATGACGTGAAGGGGTGCAATGGATCCAGTTGACGACTTCCCGAAGCCCATATGGGTAGATGTCGCCTACGTCCAGTCCGGCTGAGGTGAGCCGAAGGGGATGCAGCTGTTCAGGAAGGTTGGGCAGCACGTATGGTATAGGCATAATGATACCCAAGTGGAGATGCCGGAGGCGCGGGAGGGCCGCCGCGAGCGGATACACGAGGGTGAGATTGAGCGCGCACTGGTCAAAGATGAGGCGGTCGACGGGTGTGAACTTTGAGAACTCGTTCACGAGGCCGTGCTCGAAGGCGTCGCCGAGATCGAAGATGCAGATGAGCTTGATGGCTTGCAGCCGTGTAAGCTTCGCCGGCAGTCGTTTAGCAAATTTGCTGACCCAGGGCGATGGTACTGTGGCGAGCTCGACGGAAGGTCGGACGATGAGGGTGCGGATGTAGGGACCGACGGCGTCGTCGTGCTCGACGAGGTCTTCGAGAGCGATAAGGCGTTCATTTGAGGAGATTTTGACACATTCGAAGATGTATGGGCGGGATACAGCTCTCCACGTCTTGCACACGAGAACACAGGATGCGAGGGTCTGGCCGTCGACTCCACCGTACGCAGACTTGACGACTTTGATCACGAGTTCGATGGGGAGGGAGTCGGTAGACATTTGAGACGGAACAGGGAAGAGAGATGCTCTTTGAAGGAGAGCAGATGCTTAGGGGACGTGAAGCTGCGATGTCTGCGACTTTGAGAGGGACGCAGACGGTGGGGTGCAGAAAGAACACAGGGAACGTTTGAATCATCGATTGAGAGCGCAGGCCCGGTTAGTCCACTAACCGGCCCAGCTGGGTTATAGTTCGCAGGTGAGCGCATGTACCCTTTAGGCGAACCACGAGGACGAAACAGTTGGCAAAACGGTGAGGAAGGTCCTCGCGTCGTCGGCGCAGCTTGCACACGAGAGGCGGAGAGATTTAAGAGCAAGATGGCCAGGATCTCGTCGGTGCCGTAAGAGAGGATAGTGGTTGCTGGAGGGTGGTTGCAGGTCGACGGAGGGCCACGGACCAACGACGTCCCGACGGCCTATCCCACAACGACTCAAACAGTATTGGCTCACCATTGACGGCCCCTCAGGCATCTTTTATGCTACCGCCAGAACGCATCTGCGGCAACTCGGCCTATGCTCACAATTTTCCTCTCCAGTCGCTACACAGACCTGGGAACTCCGTGCGAAATACGAATACGACCCGACTGCAAGGTTCATTGGGGCGCCCGCGGAGGTGTATAGTTGAACTGAGTTCCAGGTTGCGAAGAGGTACGTGCACTGATAAAGTGGTGAGAGACTAGCGGGAGGGAAGCGGCGCCAGAATGAACAGAGGCAACCGGGGTCTAGCCGCATGGCCTACATGCATCGCCGCATCTTCGCGTGAAACTACCATGGCGCGCAGGCTTTCCCCATTGTCAGCCGATGCGGCACGTAGACGGTGCACAGTTTGAGGCGGGACAGCGTCGCGGACGGACGTCTTTTCGAGTACGTCGCTGTCGTGGAGACCCGCCGTCTGGGCTGACGACCGTCCGCAGCCTACGCGTCGCGTTTGATGTCTTGCACAAGACTCTGCCGCCGGACCAACAAGGAAAGCCTCAGAAGAGAGCCATCGCCAATGCTTGCAGCAGCACGCCGGCCGTCGTCAAGGAAAAAGGCGATGTCATTGCTGAAGAGAATCTCGCCGCCCTCCTAGCGCGCCCGACCGCCGACTGTCGGACGAAGCTGAAATCTCTGCAGGATATATTTCCGTTCGTCTGCAACGTGATTTTCTAATATTTTGCAAGAGTCTTGAGGCTGGAGCCGCTGAAGCGCGCCCTGCGCGTTATGACGGACTAGGCAATTTAAACGGTCCAGAGAAGGCCCGGCCTGGAGGTCCCCCGCCGCCACGGCAATGCTTCGCCTCACCAGGCCGAGTCCGTAGCAAGACGTGGAGTCCAATCGTTTTTCGTCCAGGTATTCGCGGCACCGGACGTCGTAGGATGCGTATCTGGGACAAGCGGTCCTTCGCGACTGGGCTCGGCGCTGCTTCGGGATCCGCACCTACAGGCCTTTCGCACTTCTCACGAGACTGGAAGCTATCTTCTTTGCCCTGCGTGACATTTTGCAATTGGTAAGTAGAACTCTTATGAATTCGACGGCGCTCCAAGTTATCCATACCTAGCTAGGTACGACTTGGGCCGATCGAACGACGCCCTCGTGCGGACACCATAGTCCACTGCACTGCAACAAATTCTCTGTTGATGAACACAAGATGCCAGATAGAAACGCGATAGTGGACAGCCAAGCTGCATATTCTTGTCAAGAACCAGGCAGAATCGTATGCAGATCCCCCCGCCGTGGGCACCCCGAGAAACGCGGCCCGTAGAACAGCATCGCCGGCTGAAGGCTAGACGCACGCCGTATCGAGAAGGCCCCATGCTATCTGAAAGGTTCCTCACAGGACAGCTAATATCCCGCTCATTTGGATTCGTTCACGTCAGGAGACGTTGAGGTCAACGTCGAGGATGGCGGATTCGCCGATCGGAACCCCTATCAGCTAGATGAAGAGCCAATGTGAGCATTCGAGTAGGCAAACAACAAACTTGGTGCGCACATTCCACCTGTGATTGGTCTATGCGCAAATAACACTGCCCCCGCAGCCTAATAATCGAAGATGGAAGGCCCTCTGTGATCCCTTCAACTATGGGTCATTTTAGGATTCCTGACCGTGTGTTCTTCATGCGACGGCTTACGCGTAAGGCTGCAGGACGAGCTCCCTTGCGTTCTCTGTGTTCTTCCGTGCGGCCACGGCCGCGGCCGCGTCTGGAATGACCTCATCCTCGTCTCGCTGCCGACATTGGACCGTAGCTACGGATTGACAGTAACGGACCGTTTTCTTCAAGCTTTGCTGCGGATTCGGTGAGTCCTGCGTTGAATCAGTGGACTCTCAGAGCAAGCGACACGTACGGAATGGCTATTCAAACAGAAGCGTGTACACCTCGCAGCTTAGCCCCTTCGTTCCCTCATGGGTCATCGTCCTCGTCGTGTCAGGCGTATATTCGCGGAGCTTAGTCGTGGCCATCCGGTCTCGTTGTGGACTGTGCGTCGTTGACGGCGGGAAGGCGTTTTTTGTGGATCTGCAACGCAAACGCAAACGAACCCTTCTGTGGCCCTCCTTCCTGCGACTTGCTGCGACTTGCAATAAGTAGCAGCAAGTCGCGGAAAGTCGTAGAAAGCCGCAGCGTCTTTCTGCGACTTCCTACGGCTCTGTATCGTCCATCCCGTGTCCCTCAATAAACGCGAAGCTTTTCTCAGCCCTTGGCGCGCTCTCGCTGGTTCCCATACCATCTGATCTGCCTTTTCCTGTCGTCTCGACCTCTCTTTCCCTAACGAATTGCGCGGAGGGCGAATGAGATGCGATGCCGCATGTTGATGGCCTTGTCGCAGACACAGTTCGTCACCTGTTTTCGGAGTGAAGGTCCATGTAGAGGCGTCGGAAGAAAAACACGGCCGTCTTCAGACAAGGGACTTCACTCTAACCCGCGGTTTAACCGGCTTTCGTCGAGTGGATAATTCAGCACCCACTCTATCTCTCCAAGCTGCGTGTCCCTGCGCTGCCACTTCTTCGCTATCCTCCTCGTCCTCGTCGAGACCCGCCTCCACCGCCGTCGGGGGCGTGACCTGCGTTGCGTGACCGCATGTGACGCGTGACGGGGAAGCCAGCTGTCGATAAATGCACGGTGTGGGGGTCCTGCGATGCCGCGCGAGAAAGAACAAAGTTGGGAGGGTCATCACGGTTCAGGACTGTTCTGGAACGGTTTGATTTTTTATTCCATTTTTCTCGATTTTCGAGCGGGCAGCGTCATTTATGATTCATTTCTGACGTCGTGTAGCTCTCAGTCTCGACCCCCGTGCGCGGCTTTGACGCCTGACCTGACCTGCGCCGCCGAGCCCGCGCCTGAGCCGCAGGAGCAGAACAACGCTTTCTGCACCAACTCTTACCACTCCCTACTCACATAATGCCTGGACACTATCCCAGAAATTGAAGAGATTAATTTTTTTACTCTGGTGCCGGGAGAACATTTTGGCGCGGCAATGACTGACTGTTCCTCCTCATTTGCGCTTCGTTTACCCTTCGGTGTAGCTCATCGTTAACCACAGCTTCCTCACTCAGACATCGACCAGGACGTCGGCGCCATGATGCAGCCACAGAGTTTTGCGATCGTCTTGACGTCAGTATGACGAAAGGAAGGGGCTTAAGGGGCTTAGGTGCGCGACGCAGGGCTTTCAGGGTATCATATGCTCGCAGACGAAGATTGGATCAGGTCCGTTTTGAAGCGTGGCTACAACCGTGACGACGGTCTTCCAGCGAAAGGGAAAGAAAAACAGAACAAGAAGACATAGTCAGTGCAGATATACTCTTCGGATACTCACGGACCTCGGCCCGCCAATTGTTCGCTCGTCAAATAGTCCTCAGCAACATGAGCACTCTTCGTTGGCCAAATGCAAGACCTGTGCTCGGTTGTGCTCGGTTGTGCAGTGCTTGAGGTAGACGTTCGCTGAACACAGCTTTCTTAACAAAACCGTTTAACAACACAGGAATTTTATCCGACATAGCGTATGGGTACAAAGAGTTTACATCAATGCAGTGCCAGTTTTGACCACTTTGCACGCCTCGCAACATACGCTACCGCTACATTCTCACCGTTACTTCCGTAGACGTCGTCAGGTTTGTCGTAAACGTCAGCGCCAGTTCGAGTCAGACCACATACTGACCTCAGGTCACCGGATGCGCCCGCGGTCAGCATCCGTTCCCGTACCAACCCCAGTTTGCGATTCGGCACCGCAGTTGGCCGTGGGCGGGTATCTGCTCGGCGGCACGTGCAGGATCTCCTTCATGGCATTGACGTGGCGCAAACAGCCTGTTGAGGACCATCGGTTTTCATATCATACGCTTCGCGCACTCCTCGGACCTCGGCGTCACCTTCATGCTGAGCAGGAATCCGGAGCGCCGCGAGCGTGTGGACGAAGAGCGGCGTCTCCGGCATAAGATGCACACGCCGTACGCGCGCAGACCCATGACTGCTGCGCTGCTGGCAGCGTGTCATTCTTCAGGGAGATACAGCTATCTTGTTCCTCAATTGGCCCGGTTGGAATATCACAGGGAAGAGAAAGTTGAAGTTGCTCTCTGATTGCGGCGTGAGCAGGCCTGGGCAGGCGTAGAAGAAGACGCAATCGGAGGACAGGAGGACAACGTCCGGCGGAACTGAAAGGATGTCGGCATTCGGGTAGAAGACGTGCTTGCTGGCCGCGCAGGGCCTAAGATTGGACCACAAATGCACCGGCGGACCAACGAGGACGCGTGCCAAATGGTACATGAACGATGGTGGAACCAATGTGATGTTCATGACTTCTAGATGCAGTGACCTTACAGCATGCTTGGGAAACCCCTCATCCTTATGCACATGCGCTGATCCCGCGGTAGACACGCCTCAGCAACTTCAATCCCTGTCCTATAACTTGTGTGGTCGCTTCAGACTTGCCCTTTGCAGGTCTACTCCTTACGGCCCATTCCCCCAGTGTAATTAATAATTAATTTCTACGCATTGACACTTTAAGGACAGCACTAACCATATACAGACCTATTGAAGCCCTCGGCCAAGCAACTGCAATTGAGAGAAGACGCACCGAAGACAAGAATTCTCAGGATGCTCTTTTATCCTATCATGTAACCTTGGTTAAGTCGAGGAGCTGCGCCTTGTAGCGTCTGAACCCGTGCGACTAGGGCACTCTTGCAATTGTCACATGCCAACATGCCTGACAAGGACCCGACTTCGACGGTGATCATGAGCGTTGGAGCCGGGTCGCCGCAGCCCGCAGTGAAGGATGATGTTGAGAACCGTAGACGGGTCTGCCTGCGCAATGAGTCAGCTGTCGCCCTAGTTCCCCTCGGGCGACAAAAGGGAGTTGAACATAAAAGTGGACGCCATCCGAAGAGACGATCCGATGGGCTGGGACAATGAGTGCGTCGTAAGCAAAGGCGGCGGAGCAAGGTACGATGAGGGGGTTGAGGATCCAGTCTCTGTCGAGCAGCACTTGCATTGGACTTGAAGGTGGAAAGGGGAGCTCGTGGGGCGTACGGGCAACTTGAAGTCTCAAAGACTGCAGAGGCCGCAGGATTGAGACTAACAGAACCTGCGGGGGAAAGCGGCTGTTTTCCGTTGTGGGACGTGTCTAGTAGAGCTTGTGTCGACTGTCTCACAATGCTAGCGTAGCATGAGAGACCGAATTGTGACCGAAGGGAAATGGTGGATCCCACCCGGCGTCGAAGACGAATATTTTGTAACTTCCAGCCGGATAGGCTCATTCTGCAGGGATAAACAGAAGCAGTCGAGACGCGGAGAGAAATTGAAACTGTCTCCAATTATCGTGAATGGTTGTGAGCTAACGGGAAGGGGAGAATGATGGCCTATGCCAACAAGATGAACGTAACTCGAGTTACTTCGACCCTTCGCAAGCGCCGGGGTGGGCAGTAACGCCGGCACTACGCGAGTGGTCAAAACCTCCAGCATCCGCAACATGAAGACGAGGCGAAGCTCGTCTTCACATGGTGGGTCTGCTAACAGCATTGCTTTCACCTGCTGTCTTGGAGCGGATGGTAATACATTGCACCTTTACGACCAGACCGAAAGGAAGCGCCCATATCGGGTTTTTCCGACAACTCCCCAAAATCATCGTAATTCGAGAAAAAATTAGCGGGGTCAGTGCTCGACGATGCCGGTATCACCCTGGATCATGAACATGCATGTTAGCCGAGCTTCTTCTAAATCTGAGTTTGCACCGCCGCAAGTCGTGTCGTAGTCGTCACGGTACTTCGGCTTCCGGGGCGAAGTTGGAGCGAGCCACGCCACTGTTTGACCATCCTTTGGTCATGGTTGCAAGTACGTTTCTTAGCAGTGGACTTCATGGAAAGAGACAACAGATATTTATCATTTGTGACTATACCTGACGAGCGGAAGGTTAATTTCTAGCTGTTCGAGTGTTGAAGAGCATGGGGGCTACACCACTGCGTCACAGACGAAGGTTCGTTCAGAGTAGTTCTACAAGAAGGATGAAGACTTACAACGTTTAATCTTTCAAGCACGGAAGACGATAAGATGCCCTCTGAAGTGGACCTCAGGAAGGGCCATCTGGATCCTCTCTCGGACAATGTGGATGGCAAGAGGTCCTTGATAACCGATACGGACGGCTTTGAGAGCGCTCAATGCCTCTCGGGCGAGGGGAGCGGCGAGCATCGACAGATCCGGCAGCTGCTCGGGGTCGTCCGCTTCGCTCGTGACGGTGAGCGAGATCGTTTCTAAGTGGGGAGAATTCAGCTCATTAATGAACCCGAGGGCCGCCACCGACAGGACGTCATTATCATAAAGGGCGAACGAGCGCAGCCTGCTGCATTTGACGATGCTTATGTTCTGCTTCATCGCTACAAAACTTGTGAGGTAAATTTTGGTCGCTAACCGGGGCAGAAACTCACTTGCCGTCTCCAGAGGCAGTCCCAAAAAGGCCTCGAGTTCTAAATCGAGCTCCTCGAGCTCTCCGCCCACTGCCTCGATGAACTGGCCCACAGCTCTCGAGTCGTGTAGACGCACTATGAGCCTCAGGGAGCGAATGCTCTGCACGGTCTCGGTCGTCGCGAGCCAGGGCAGGACACTCTCCATCCCGTCGAGGTACGCAGGAGTGAAATACATGTCGAGCGACTCGAGGCGTGGGCCGCGCAGCTGCTGCAGGTTCGGGCCCCCGCCACCATGCAAGGTGAGCACGGCCGCGATGACGAGGGAGCGGAGCGCGGGCAGCGCGGAAATCACTGTGTACAAGAGCGGGGGGTCCATGAAGCAGGCGCGGAGCGTGAGAGTGTGGACGGTGGTGAAGTCGGCGAGCTTGGGCCCGAAGTCCACGCCGAGGTTCGCGTCCTGCTCGTGGAGGTCGATGAGCTCGATGGCCTGCAGGTTCACGAGCAACGGCGCAAGCAGGGACGGCACGTCCGTGACCCAGGCCGCCGAGTCTAGCACTTGGGCAGACTTTGGGTGGGCGACGAGAATGCGGATGTGGCGAGTGACGTCTGGGTTGGATTGGAGGAAGGCTTCGAGGCTTTCGAGGCCTGTCTGGGTGGTGACAACAACTCTATGGAAGACGTATGGACGGCTGATGGCCTGCCATTGGAGACAGACAAGGGACGCAGCCTTCAAGGTTGCTCCGTCTGCCTGGTCACAGACGTGGCCAACAACCTTGTTAACCAGCTCTGGGGGGAAATGACGATTTGCCATGGTCGACGACTTTTTTTCAGCTCCCAGCGATGGTTTACTGGACGGTGGCAGGGAAGATGAGGTAGATATGGAGAGATATACTGCTCAGACTGCTGATATAGGTGACGCGGGGCGGTATTTAGAGCCTTGACCATGTATGGGGAGTAGGGTTACAGCGGCGAGGTAACTTTGGCCAATATGGGGGATGTGCGCTAGCTGGTGAGCCGGTGGCCGGACTGACCTGGCTCAAGGGCCTCGACAAGCGGTGTCCAGGACGGTGAGATAATGTTCTACCGTGCGACAGCCTTTAAGATTCGCCAGGGGCAGGTTGGCAGATGAAGACGGCGGTAAGCTGGCTGCCTGTGGTGCCTGAGGGTGCGAACGGAGCCTTCGAGCTTGTTGAAGGAGTTGAAAAAATCTGGGCTGGCTCACGATCCATAGGGGAAAATGTAGAAGGCAAGACTGGACGGAGTAGGTGCGAGAGTGGGGATGAAGACACGCGCCAGGAAGGCGGAATATTCCGACAAGCCAAACCGTGGCGGGGCCCGGACAGCGGCACGACTTCGCTCCCCAAGGACAGCCTTATTACTCAGCCAACAAAAGGCGAAAAGGCATGCACGAAAGCTCCGGGCGAAGCCGTGCTAACCCACTTGTTTTTAGTTTTCAACGGGCCAGTCCTACTCAATAATCGATATAACGATCTTATAAGTACACCATCTGAGCCGACCGCAGTAGCTTCCTGGGGTCACTCCCACTCAGCCTCCAGCAATAACTCACAGGTGCACATTCAGCTCACACGACCCAAGTCACACTTACCTCCTCTTTCACCCCAGGCCGGCCCATAGCTGGCTCATTCCAGTCGATGCCCAATCAACAACGCCGCTGTTAACATCTTCGACCCTAGATACGCAGCATAGTGAAAATATCCCCATAGCGGCGACGAAGATCTCGAGCTTAGATGTTCCTACGAGTGCTCCGGCCAAACAAGCTTTCGAGTTGCATGAGCAGCCGCCCAGAATGCAAGCCCGATGCAGTCCAGGCTCGCGTCTGTCGACACGGCCTCTACTCTGTGATCTTCAGGCCGAGGTTAAGAGGCGCGACGGCTCGCAACTATCTCGTCCGGCGATATCGTTACGGGCTCCAGAGGAGCAATGAACGGTGTCCGGCGCAAAGAACGAGGGAGCTCGGCTACAAGTGCTGAAACATATCCTCAGGCTATATACATACGAGACGGGAATGAGGTGCGCTGAATCTGATGGCGACAATAGATGCAACCGCCGTAACATTGGACCGATGCGGCGCAACAACGCAGGCCGCACTCAAGAACAGCATGCTCAAAATGAGTTTCTAGCTCTCCATTACTGACAGCGCGCGGGCGACACCAGCAGTCGGCGGTCACAACCTGCACATGGGGCTCGAACTGGCGGCTTGCGTCGAGACTCAGCTCGGCCACGCTTGTCCTCATAGGCACAAAGCATTCTCCGGTGCGCGTCAGCCTCTTCCCAAGCATCACTAATCTGCTTCTGAGCTGGACACGCGAGTTGGGCTTATTGCAAACCCGAAAACATCTCGTCTTCGCCGATGTCAACTGACCCGCGGGCTTAGGGTCCAAGTTGCTGAAACACGGCCATACTCATGGTTGAAGCTTCTCGCGAAACTACCTACATACCTTTGGTGACCGTCCTGTGAACGTCTTGCTCATTTTGCATGCGAAATCTGAAGACAGACAGGCCTACCAGTGGTCCAGCGTTCGTCAGACGGTGATGGGTCTCGGTTGATTGCAGTCTGTCTGTTTGAGTGCGAGGAGGGTTTCCCGCTTAGTATCGAATGTCTGCTATGTATTATTGGTGATATACCTGATTTCAAGTACTTCTTTTGGTTCAACTCTGGCGCAAGTACTCTCCGACTTCGCCGCTTTGAATCGGCGCCCGTCGTTTATCCCCCCGCGTCCAAGGCTTCTGGCTCTAGTTAGACGCAGCGGATGGCCCCTAAACTCGGTCACAAATGACAAAAGGTCACACTTATGTAGGGAAGCTGTTCTGTTCGGGTCAGAGGGCGCGAGCGTGCCAAGATTAATATAGCTCTTGTGGACGACAAGCACGGCTGGAGCTAACCCTGCATGTCTCGATTCAAACGCAGGACTATGTGTGTAAAGCTTCAGAGCATGCATAAGAGGTTCTTAGTACTGCACACCGTTTTAGTCTTCGTTCCATTTCAGTCGTAGTTAGCCAAGGCCTGTGCAGGCACGCCTGACAGCATCCAACGTCAACCTAACGCCGAAGAGGTTTCCTATGTCGACATTAAGTAGAGCATATGGTAACAGTTTTATAGGCTCAACAAGGACATAGTGACATCGATTCTGACGGGGCAATCAACACACTCCTCGAGAAGAGTAAACAGAACATGATTTAATAACAAACTGAGAAGTGGGGCACGAAGAGCATCATGGCGTCTCGACACTGATAGAGTATTAGCCACAGCGTAATAGCAGGCAAATCGTGCATCCGACTGCCGTATGAAACGACCGAGGATGCGCGAACCCAGTGGGGAAGTGGTACCTTGAGACGCGTGCGGATGTCCCCGCACGGAGGTAAGATGCTCTTCATAGTATCTAGGGACAGAGGCTATGGTAGGGATATCTGTGGTATAAAAGTCTCTGACACACCAGAAATCATCTCGGCTGTGTCGCTCCGCTCTCTCCTACTCCTGAGCCCAGATAAAGATCCATCCTAGACGGCTGAAGCATGCATATTTCGAAGGCCGTTGAGCTCGCCACCTGAACACTAGGCAGGCGGTGGGACAGGACTGAAGAAGCGCAAGACCGTGCGCAGAGCCCAGCAGCAGGATGAAGAGCCAGGAAACACTCGTGAGCGTGTTCTGACCGCGCTTGGCCGTCGAGGACAGCGAAGAGGCTGAGAGTAATCGTGCGCATCAAGAATACTAAAACCGGGGATGGAGGAGGGACAGCAGGGTTTACACCACGACAACAGAAAGTCGGAACCCTGAACAAGGTGAAAGATATGTGAAGGCAGGTGTTGAGAGAATTGAGGGAAAAATCGAGGGATAATGCACCCGACGGGCTTTTGTCTGGGGCGGTGGGCGGGCGTCGTAAGCGCCGACGTCACCTCTGACGCAGATAGTGAGCCTGGACCTAATGAGGCTCTCACCGATGCTCCATAGACTTTGCGTCAGCTTTGGGACATATAGTCCGTGGCAACGGGCCTGAAATCGCGGAGCATCGTTGCAGCTCTGAATAGTCTGCATTGCCGCCAGCCCGCTACTGCTCACGCTTGCTGTTGCCGACTCCTTCGCTCATAAGCCATGTTCAGTTCTACGACATCAATACAACTCAAGCTCATCCAGTTATTTGATTATTTGACGGTACTCACCACCTTGATGTCTCGGGCCGCGCAACGAAAAGGGCGAGTTTAACGTTTGGACAAGCCTCATTCCTCAGATTTCACCGGCCTCAACTCTTGCCTGCGTGTACGACGAGAATTGAGCTTGAAAGCTTGATCATTTGAACCTCCGCTTCGTGGCGCAAGAAAGTGGCGCTGGGTATTAGGTATGGCCGAGTAAACAAGATCTTGATCGCCCAGGATGGTCTATGACGGAGGTGCAGTAACTCGCTCCATCTTCACGTACAGGAACATTTGGGTTGTACTTACAGAACTAGTGCAGACCGCATCTACCCGTCACCGCGCAGCCACTTAGGTAATCCACATTTCAATTCACTGACATTTGTATGCTGGGTTTCTCCAGGGTATTCAGCAAGGCGCGAAAAAAAAACAACAACAAGAGCATTTAACCGAGATTCGAGCACACATCTGTATCAGCGTAGGATCAAGTCAAACTCGCTGCGAGAGAGCATCTGGACTAGTGGCGAAGTTGTACCTTTCCTTGCGGGGCACTTGTAAATCGCTTTGGGTACTTGCCAGATTAACTATGTCTCGAAAGTTTTTAGTTTTCCCATACAGTAGACGAGTGTATGATGGCAACTGGAAGCGGAGTGTAGCATTTGATGGCGAGCAACTGTATGGCTCGTGGTCCAGTGTCCGATAAGAAACCGCCCTCGTCAGGTGGCGGCGTGGGCGACAACTTGCGCAGGAACGAGGTGTAACGCGTCATCTTACTACCGTGCACCATCCTAACTTTCGTTGAGACGCCGATCCTTTGAAGCAAGTTATCCCTATAGCAAAGCCGAAGGTCGACCGGCCACAATTAGCGTCGACGACGTGCATTCTTGTTGCAACTCATCTATTTGGCGGGGAAGGGCATTCACCCATATGTAAACGAGCATTATATAGTGTCAGAAGTTCCAACCTAATTATACGGGGTAGGATTGTGCAGGAGATATTCATAACAACAGAGGGAAACAATGACTCGACTCGAACACGACGCACGGCGATACAACGGAACGAAGAGATACGTGAACGTACAAAGGAAGGCAAGGAAGATGCGAGAAGTACAGTGAGTTAATCACCTAGGCAGTCGTCTGCGAGTGTTCTTCCGCGATGCGCATGACTTCCATCAAGAACATCTGCTCCTCCTGGCTCAGCGAAGTCGTCGCCCGCTGATAATTGTGGCCGTCCTTCATCTGGAAGCTCGTCAGGGCCTGCTTGAAGGAAACGTACGGGTTGACTGTGTCTAGTGGGCTGATGTAACCGAGCTCCTCGGCAATATCCGACTCGTCGTCAGAGAACTCGGAGATGTCGTCTCCAGCATCGTGCTTCAGAGACTTTTCGCGGAGCCGTGCGCCCTCATTCGCCAGCATCTCAATGTAGGCAGAGTCGGAGTCCCACACGTCATCTGGAGCAACATTAGGTGAGACTAGAAGGCCCAGTCCCGAAGTCGATGCTTACGTACCCTCCTCGTCACCAAGATTCAGAAGACCATCGTCGTGGTCGCCATCAGAATCGGTGTCCGCCTGGAAAGACTGCTCGAGCTCCTTGCGGGCTACAAACCGAAGTCAACATCGATACCCAACAACATTCTGCCTGAGACTCACCCTCAATGGCGCGAGGGAGGTCCTTGAACACCCTCAGCGCGCCCCCAACGATCTGCGGCCAACCGTCCCGGACAGGTTCGGGCACAGTCGACGGGTCCATCTCGAGCAGCGCGCAGAGCGCGGTGAGTGTAAGCTTCTTGTCATGCACGCGCGGCAGACGGGTGTCGCTGTTGATCGCCTCGAACCACGTGTCGAAGAAGAGGCGCGATGTGCCAGGGCGGATGGCCTCCATGATGCGCAGTGCGGCCGTAGGGTTGTAAAGTACGGTATTGATAAGTACCTCGAGGTTCGCGAGTCGGAGCGAGTTTGTCTGAATGCTGTCTATTAGGTTGAGGGCGGTCTGAACGATAGTTTGCAGGCCCTTCAGGAGCAAAACTGTGAGTTATGTGTAGAAAATTGCATGGCAGGAGCAACGTACTTCATCGATGTGACCGCGGAGGTTCAGCAGTAAAGACTCTGCGAGCTTGCAGCCGTTGACGGCGTCGTTTTCGCCGAGGTGTTCGCTGGTGACCGAGGTCGTGTAAATGTCCAATGCCATCTGCCTATAGTCCGAGCGCGCCTTAAAGACGTCACTGCCAAACGAGACAAAGTTGTCCAGCGACGGCAGCATCTCTGCAAGAACGCATCAGCCAAATACGCTCAACACGAGTTGATCCCCACTGACCATCCAGGAAGTCCACGGCATCGGACTTGAATAGCTTATAGGTGAGCTCGAAGACGGGCCACATGCTCGGCACGACGGCACGAAGCTTGAAGGTAAGGCTGTCCACAAGTTCGTACATATTGTCCAGGAGATCTACGGCCGTGATCAACACCTAATCATTGAGCTTTCATTAGAAGAAAAAGAAACGCACCAAGAAGCTTATTCTTCAGAGTAAGAACAATGACGGGGATGATCACTTCCTGCACTTGCGCCAGGATCTCGGGCGACGAGTCTACGGACGCGACGATGGTTGTAATCGTCTTCGCAACACCCATCGCAGCAAAAACCTTGTCCTCGCCTGCATCGTCCATGATACGCTCCAGGTCGACAGCTTTGCTGTCGGTAGCCTCTTCCGCGGCGATGCTCTCCAGAACGAGGCGCGTGTAGGTTTCGCACTATCAAGCGCTCGTTATGTAAGCACCTGAGCCAAGGTCGTGGAGGAGTGAGACAGCTTACCAGGCGGGCGGTGAGTTCAGCAGCAACGGGAAGAAGTTCGGCCTGGTAGCGATCCACCATAGTCTCCATGCAAGTATTCAAGATATCAAGGTCTGTCTCCTCGGACAGCTTCAGCAATGCTAGTCAGATGCGTCAGCCTCGACGTTTCATCTTCGCGTCCAAACTCACTCTGGATGACCTTGCCGACCTGGGGGGCGACGGCATCTTTAACTACATTACAAAATTATGAGCGAGACACGGAGAGCTGAAGATCAGGCGGCCGGGACGTACCAGACTCGTGGTTGATGACCATCTCGGTAACAGCAAGAGCTGCATGAACGCGGACAGGCAACTCAGGATCATCCAGGCACGTGGCAAGTGCATTGAAATGCGACTGGAGGTGCTATACGTATTGTAATTAGCAGAAATTCGTCACAATCAGGCGTTGCACACGAGGCCTCACCTGTTCGCTCGACCACTTAAGACCAGATTTCTCGACCGTTCCAAGGACTTCACAGGCCTGCCAAGCACAATCAGAGTGGGGACCCCTGGGTTTTGAGAAGACGACTCACGATCGCGCGCATGTACGGTTCCGATGCTGCGAACTCGGGAAGGACATGTTGCACAGAGAACTGCTCCATGTTGTCCTTTACGTCTGGGTGTCTCATGATGAAGTGGCCGAGAGCCGCGGTCATGTTGAGGGCGCCGAATCGTTGAGGAGCAGCAGGCTTCCTGCGACAAGTCAGCTGCAGCGCTATTAGAAGCGGGAAATTTTACGTACGAGTTCAGGACGCGGTTTATGAACCCAAGCAAAGGCATGAATGCAATTTTTGTGCGGTTGCTGGCGAGCGACAGCAGGAATGACGTTGCTGCAGAAGTAGGCGTGTCATACGCTTCGAACTCGTCTGGAATGAAGCTACGTGGTCAGTGGTGGTGTTTTGTTCAAAGTGGACAAGCGTACCAACGGAGATGCGCAGATACTCGATGGGGTCCGATTCCCACTGCTCCTCCTTTGTCGCATTAAAGCAAAGCTGAGGGAACACATACGAAGAAACAAGGGTCTCGAAGTGGGGCTTGAGCATTGCCCAAGTCGACTTCGGCTTCACGCTGAAAAGAGCGCGTTTGAGTCACCTTACCGGTGCATTAGCGATGCGACTACTGACCACTCAGTGAAGAACGCGAAGATCTGATATTGACACTTCTTGGAGAGCCATGCTTGACCAGATACCACAAGCTCGACCTGGTGCAAGTAGATCTTGAAGATCTCGGGAGCGAATGTCGTGACAAAGTGATGGGCAAAGTCCGCGTATTCCTGCTTCATGGAGCTAGGGAGCTGTGAAGGGTTACCGAAGCGATTGAACAGGCGTCCTAAGATGCCGTACGACCACTTCTTGGCCTTCCACCACTCGCTGCGTTCCCGCTCTTCTTCATCCTCAGGAACGGCCTCCTTGGGGATTTGAAGGTTGACAACCTGAAAGAGAAGACGACCCCAGGGAACCAAGCTCTCGGGGCGCTGCTGATGTGGACTAAGGTGTAGGACGATGCTAGTCTTATAGGTCTTCAGGATAAGGTGGAGCATGAGAGGGATCTCCTGGCTTGCATTCGCTGGCGGAGTGTTGAGAATCTGAGTGGCAATGTTGACGAGGGTGGGGAAGAGTTGGGTGGCGAGCTCGGGAAGGATATCCTGAGTTTGGCGGAAGCTGCACATCTCGAGTGAGCGTTTCAAAGTCCTAATGCTTGAGAACGATTGGTTATTTACCGGAATGCCCTGACCATTTCCAGAGAAGCCACACATCCCGCAACAACTTCGCGGATATTGCTACTCGCGAGCAGCCGCTTTACGTCATCTAATAGCGTCGGCCACTGCTCGGGGAAGTCGCGTGCGACGATATTTTTTAGGGTGCTCGCGAGCTGGACAGTAATACCACGCGAAGGGGAGACGGAAAGAAGTTGAAGTATGGAGCCTTTGAGGGTGCTCCTGTCCGACTGCGCGATGGGCACTTGATCTGCGCGAGGGCTAGCGGCATCGACGAAATATGAAGTATACACACGATTTTTCAGATACACCGCGCCCGCTTGCCGCGTGGCCCTGCACAACGCTCAGCACACGAAGACACGTTGAAATCACGTTCCACACGTACATGTCGACGTTATCGTTGGCGATAATCTGCAACAGGGCAGTAATCATGCCTTCCTGCGCGCCGAGCTGCGAATTTTGGTGTCAACTCCAGAGGATCCGCACATAGACTGCCGCCTCTACCGACCTTGCGGATTTGGAGCTCTCCGCTCTTCTGTACATTGGGGTCAGAGCTGTAGGTCGTGGCGAAGAGGTTGGACAGTGTTTGCAAGTCCATCTTGCTCTACAGGGGGTCAGGCGACGTTGTGGTTCGAGAGTAAGTTTGTTAACGCACAATGTTTTGAGTATAACGTTGAAGAGACAAAGAGAAAGGGGTATCGGTGCAAGGTGGACAAAGGCGAGAGGAGAGCCAGAAAATTGTAGACGCGAGTTGAACAGGCCACAGACCACGCGCGGAAATTATTGGCTGCTTTGATGGGTGACATAAGCGCAATGACTATCGTATACTCAGCCCTGCACAAGCTTTACGAGTAGTGTACGTTCATTATATTCAAATACATCTACTGCTAGTATCCAATGTCCGGATATTCAAGGGTTACACAATATCATGACGGAATTATAGGCACCGAATATCCACACAGTCCGACCTATCTGCGAGCTGTCCTCATGCAGACGTCAATACGTACGTCCACATGCCGAAAACCACGTTCATGAGCATGCCAATTGTGATTCCCATCTGCATGCGTCGCCTAAAATAGTCACGAGTCAAACAATGTCAACGACAGAGCAGTCACTGCAGCCACTCACGAAAATATAGGTCGTTCGATAACTTCGTGCTCAGACCCGTCTTCCCAAAACACAGCAGGCTTCCTTTCATAGAAGAAAAAATACGGCAGTATGGGGAAGAAGAATCCGATGACAACCCCATTGAGTAATGTCGCACGCAGGGAGGATTGGGACAGCGACTCTGCACCGTGGTTGTCTATCGAGTCTATCCACTGTTCTTCAAGGGCCCGAACATGCTCGTCAACTGCGAACCGCAAAGTGAGATAGAGATTAACGGACAAATAAAATTTTATGCTTACATTCCTCTTCTGTGCTGAACTCATGGTCCAAGTAGTCTCCTGCCGAATTGGCGTGAAACTGTGAACGGATATTCGCAATGTCTTCCTGGGAGAAACCAGCAGCCGCTAGTCTGTCAAAGCCCCTCAAAGGTTTCAATTGGGCTTTCTGTATACCGAGATTTGAAGCATCAAGCATATTGTATGCTACAAGTGTAAACTACGACTCACCTGAACCTTCGTCTCTTCCTCTTCCCCGGGTTCAAGCTTGGGTCCTACCGAGCAGTGAAGCCAAGTGGTGGGTATACTCGGACTTGCCGTCTGATCTTGTCCTTCGCTACTTTCCAGTGCTTTGCGTTGCCTCTCTTCCAAGGACTCGAGCCACGAGTACAGGTTGGTCCCGTCCGTGAGCAACCGGCCCAAGTGGATAAGTCGCAGCCGGCGATCTGTCAGCGACGGCCGCGCGTCTCGTATCTACAGCAGCCATGAACGAGATATCACAAGGAAAGTATAGCAAACAGACCTTACGCTTCATGTCCCGGACAGCGTCATCCTGCTCGACGAGGAGGCTCAAGTCCTCAATGCCCTCCGTGAAGCGTATTACCAGTGGCTTCGTCTTTGCTGACCCTTCGCCTGCGTCGTCTTCTTGGATAGGCCCAGCTCGTTGTTTGCCCTTAGCCTTCTCGCTCAGCGCCATGATGCGAGTGCGTGGCCGCGTGGTGTGGTGTCGGCGAGACGGAGGTCGGGAATCGGTACCTAAGGCGCTGCCTCCAGTCGGCTTGATGGCGCATCGTTTGATAGGCGCCAAAGCCTCCCTTCGTGGCACTTGTCTTGGCCCACATCCACAACATGTCGGCATGTCTGTTAAGCAACATATGTTCCGGTCATAGGTATATCTACATATTTCTCCATAGTAATGAACGGCTGAAGCTATTGTAGGAACTTGCGCCGTCAATGACTGATCTATTTGCACGATGTGTGGGAGTACCCTGCGAAGCGGCGTGAACAGTCCGCGGCGCCTCCATTAATGCAATGCCAATCAGGCCGGCTGGCCAGACCGATTGGGGGGGGAGGGGGGGTCTCGTTCGGCCGCTATGTTGTTTTGGAGAAATCAAGCGGCAATCTTGTTCGGACGGCCTACTCCCTGCCGATACACGCGAGCCGCTAGCGACCCGGTCCTTCCACGCCATCCCATTTCGAGCGCCTGCATCTCTAACATCTGGAACCATGACGCCACACAGCTCAGGAACGTCACTAAAGATCCCTAGTGAATATCTTGTGGCAGAATATTGTGCCTGGAGAAAGCCAAATAAACGCTCGAACTTGAATTTGACGCGTTGGCCCGCTCAGGCTCGGACATGGCGGTGGAAGTTCGCGCTTGCGGAGCATTGCAATCAAATAGACACCCATTCCGTCTTGTGCACACAACGGTGGCAGGAAGTAACCATCATTCTTGAAGCATGCGATTGGTGCGCCTTGAGCAAAATGCACCGCGGCCGAGCTCCGTGCAGGCACATGTGTAGGTTTAGCTCCCATGACCATTGCCTGCTACGTCGACCGTCGCACCGCATTGTACTAATCCATCAGCATTTTCGTTACTTCTCGGAGACAAGAACCGGCAGACCGCGGTGTTAGTGCCCTCAGAAGCGCTGTGCTTCCGTAGCTTTGACCCTGACGCAGCTTGAGGAAGTGGCTTATACTTATACGGGGCGCTATTTATTTCAAACACAGCATAGCGTATAAAACGTGAGAGCTGGCCTTCTCAAATCTCAGCCTTGCCACTCAACATGCCTTTCGCACACATAGACGAGAAGGGTACCACTCTCTACTACGCTGATAGCGGCATCCCGTCCGGAGTGCTAGACTATACCACTGTCGTTCTCATCCACGGAGCGACTCTTAACGGTGGTAATTAAATCGTCTCGTCACTCATCGCTCGACGACTGATTGAGCCGGCTAACTCTAGGCATCTTCGAACGCATGCTTCCATACGCGTCAAAGTACGGCCTGCGCCTCATCACCATGAACATGCGCGACTACGCCGGCTCTACTCCATATACGCTTGATGAACTATCTGAGTTTACAAGCAGTGATATCGAGGTACAGGCGTCTGCCCTGCGCAACTTTGGCCGAGAATTTGCATGTTTCCTCGTGTATGTATGTCAGTCGCTCGGCATCCCAGCGACGACGGTGTGCAGCGGGAAAGTATATGGCGGGCTTGCATTTCTGGCATGGTCCCTGAGCACTTCAGGCTTGCTCTCCATTTTCGGCGACCACAAGACATTGAGCGACGAGCAGAAGGCAGTGTTGCAGCCGTATCTCCGCACGGCATTTGCTTATGGTGCGCAAATCCTGTCTGTGTGCCCGTCTAGACTTCTCTGAGAGTCCTACCTTGCAGACCCACCATCAATCTTATACGGGGCGGATCCCGACGTAGGTCTGCTCACCCCCTTCAACGATCCAGCCACTCCTGACGGCGAGAGGTCCACGGCATTCGGTACCTGGGTGTCGGGCTACTCGACTGCGGTTCCCGACGTCGCGCATATCACACTGGAGAATATGCGCAGCCGCAGAGAGGAACGGCTCCCAACACTACACACGATGCCAACGGACGACTTTGAGCGCATCTTCGAACCAGACAACCTCGCCCGCTCGTGCGTCGCCGTCATGCAGGCTTCGCCGTCTCTTCACGAGAGACATCTCCGCCGCACCTTCCTTGACGCCGATGCCGTGCTTCCGGATGTAAAGGTTGTTGCGCTGTGGTGCGATCGCTCCGTCTATGCGACTATTTGGTCAGCGAAGGTGCTGCACGAGCTCCTGCAGGAACAACCGGCGCCCGGACAGCGAATGCGAAATACGTCGCTCGTCAAGATTGAGAATGCAAATCATATTGTGAGCGACATGGCAGGATACTGCATGCCCCGTAGCTAACAATATGGACAGTATCAATGGGACGAGCCTGAGCGGCTGGTGCAGATTCTGCATGACAACATCTGATTTAGGATCCAGTATTTATCTGGCGCCGCCGTCCCGGATAATTACTTACTATACAGAAGCAGTGTTGGGACTGACCCCGGGTCTGACCGGTCTGAGGGTCAGTTGTTGACCGGTCAGTCGGCTATTGCCGAGGTCGGGTTTGATTTGTCATGCCGTTTATGTGAGGTCATCGTCAATGTTATAACTTAGCCCGCGAAGATGGCAGTGAGGACCATTATTTCTCGCGAGCCTGTAATAGCTCCCTTCTTACCACTGAATAATATCTGCCACGCACCCTTGCGAGACCGGCCAGGGTTGCTTTGTAGCACGCTAGATAGCGGTGTCGCCATCGAAGTTGCACAGACACGAGAGCAGCAATATGGAGAAAAATCAAAGTATATTTTATTGTCGGGAGTACGTAGTGTTGAGACTGTTTTTGCCATCATTACCTGCTCTCTTGAGTCTTCGCCGTCCCCGACGGCATCGAGCAGCCTGGTCGTTGATGGACGCTCAGCGGCTGTTTTGGGCGCCTGACCCCACTGACCCGTCAATTGATGGTCGGTTGACCTGACCGGTCAGTCACTTCTGACCCCCACTGGCCCTCCCATCATCATACAGAAGTGGCACAGTACGACGGAAGCGAGCTCGTGCTCGCAAAACAGTGTGATCAATTCGAACCTTTCATGTCCAATGGCTTTAACGACCGCACACAGCAACCATATGCATCATTCTCGCAGTAGGCGATCAGTACGCCTTGAGTAAGATGTACTGCCCGAGCTTCTATCATAGGTATATAATGCGTAGTTTTAGCTCCCACGGTTACTGCCCGCCGCCTCCATCAGCGTTTTCAATGTTGCGTGGGGAAAAGAACTCGCAAGGCACAGTATTAACGCTCTCGGCGCCGGTTTTGGCCCTGCGAAAATGACGACCCGTGTACAGGATGCCGGACCATGGAATCTGCGACAAAACGTATATAAGGTATAATAAAGCTTTATCGAACTATAGACCAACCGCTCGATATGCCTTTCGCACGTATAGATGAGAAAGGCACCACTCTTTATTACACCGATAGTGGCGTCCCGTCCGGAGTGCAAGACTACACTACTGTCGTCCTCATCCATGGGGCAACGATCAACGGCGGTACATAAAATTATCGTTTATCTAGTCTTTCATCGCTCACCAGCTGGCTGGACATTTTGACTCTAGGTATTTTCGAGCGTATGTTTCCACACGCCTCAAAGTACGGCTTGCGTCTGATCGCCATGAACATGCGCGACTACACCGGCTCGACTCCATATACACTCGACGAACTGTCCGAGTTCACGAGAAGCGACATCGAGGTGCAGGCGTCTGCTCTGCGCAACTTCGGACGGGAATTCGCCTGTTTCCTCGTGTATGTGTGCCAGTCGCTCGGCATCCCAGCGACGACGACGCACGAAGGAAAGATGCGCGGCGGACTCGCCTTCTTAACATGGTCGTTGGGCAATCTGGCTTTGCTCTCCTTTTTTGGCGACCCAAGGACTCTGGACAGCGAGCAGAAGACAGTGTTGCAGCCTTACCTCCGCACGGTATTTGCGTACGGTGCGCACATCTCGTCTGTGAGCATGTCGAGACATCTCATAGTCCGCATTTGCAGACCCGCCGTCAGGTCTGTATGGGGCAGACCTCGACGTGGGCCAACTTCCCCCCTACAGTGACCCGGCAATTCCTGTCGGAGACAAGCCCGCAGCGTTTGGCAACTGGGTGACAGGCTACTTTACTGCCGTCTCCGACCTCGCACACATTACACCGGAAAACCTGCTCAACCGCAAAGAGGAGCAGCTTCCCACCCTGCGCGCGATGTCCCCGGATGATTCTGAACGCATCTTCGAACCGGGTAACCTCGTCCGCTTGCCCGTCGCCATCTCGCACGTCCCGCAATCTGTCTACGAGCGCCATTTCCGTCGTACTTTCCTTGATGCCGATGTTGTGCTTCCGGGCGTGAATATCGTCGCGCTGTGGTGCGATCGCTCCGTCTATACGATGGTTTGGTCGGCGAAAGTTCTGCATGAACTCCTGCAGGAGCAACTGCCTCCCGGACAGCGAATGCGGAATACATCGCTTATTAAACTTGAGAATGCGAATCATGTTGTAAGTTGCATGTTTGACTACTATGTATCCTGCAGTTAACCGAGATGGACAGTACCAATGGGACGAGCCTGAGCGTCTAGTACAAATTTTGCATGACAATATCTGATCGAATCCAATATATTCCAAGCTGCGTACGGTACAGGAGTGGTCGTATATCCCAGCATGTATGTATGCGTGTATCAGCAGTATAATACCATAAGAATAGAAGACGTTGCTCGCTAGCACGGCACAAAGAGAAGAGGATGTGCGCTACGCTTTTCGCTGAAAGACATGGCAAAACGAGTATTACCGATGCGCATCATTCCATACGATGCGTCTTGAGCCAGTTCTTCACAATGGGGAAGTCAGCCATGGAGGCGTTGGTCATGGCGGAGTACTTCATGTCGGAGTACTTCGCGATCACGAGGTTGCCCCTCCATGCCCTGGCTTCCTCAAAGAAGTCGCGGCCCTGTACCCCGCTGACGTATTGGTTGAGGGGGAAAGGCATGTGGTCGCGAGACACGACCGGGTAGAACAAAATATAGGGTGTCGTAAAGCCTTGGGACATGCCGTCGAGGATGTCGATAACCTGTTAGATCTCGCGTGAGTGAGCCGCGACAGGGCCCATCCGCGTCGAAATACGAAGATGTGGGCGCACCTTGTAAGCCCATGGCAGCGCACCCATCCCGTCTCCGATATAATCCATGAAAATCTCGGGGCGCGGCATTCTCCCGCATCTAAACGGCTCCGCAACGGCTGGCATACCACCAACATGGAGCAGCGTTGTGTTAAGCGTAACGAGGTGGGGCAAGCGATCGTCTGAAGGGAAAAAAATGGCTTGGTACGATGCAACGTCAGCCATGTTTCGGTCGATAAAAAGCTAGCCTCGGGTTGCTGAGGAGAAAGCCTGACAGACGGAACGGTCGGGTGTAGAAAGTAGAGGTCTTGGGGAGCTTGGATAAAAGTGACTGCAGTTGTACGACTAGCTGTTGGCAGTTGGATGTAGGACGACCACCCCCACCTGTGGGCCATTCTTTTATCTTTCCTCTCATAATGCGAGTCAGGTAAGCCCCTTAAGAAGACAGAGGCCATTCAGACGCAAGAGCTTCATACGATGCCTCAAGTCCCCTCATACGTTGTCTAAGGCGGTGCGATCGTCGACTGTTCAGTTGCGAAGGACGTATAGCATCTGGGGTGACCGAGATTGCATGAACCTTGTAAGCGGGTCTTTTATATGAGTTACGTACACTAACCTGAAGGGTAGATAAGAATCTAGATGATGGAAATTGGGTATGACTCGTCCTTCGCAGCCAGGGAGGGCAGAGTTGTTAAGGCCGTAGAGACGGCTTTACTGTAAGCAGAAGAAACATGCAGACGGCCTGGAAAACGTCACAGAATGTAGTAAATCGGATACTATCGCAGTCAAGAACCTTGACGTGGAAGAACACGGACCTAAGGCCTTCCTCCTAGCTAATGGAACACCAGGTACTGAAAGGGTTTGAATTTCCTTACAGGACTCCGCGGTGAGGTCGACGTGCCTGAGTATAAGCTCAGCGTGGACGAAGAGCATGTCGCAAATGAGGCACGCAGCCCATACATTACGTGTTATCTCTAAGTTAGGTACTTCTCTGCTACTCTCGCAAGCTTAGTAGCGCTCGGGATAAGCCGAGCGGAGACTATGTCGGGCTTCCCGGAGGCTAAACCTCTATTTCCAAAGTCCGAAAGGGATTCCGTCCAGAGCCCTTCAGGCGTGTATGAATGGTTGGGAACGGGACAGGTAGTCATGCTATATTTGTGACGGGTGTGCGGCGCACGGATGTCGACAGACTATCCTTGGAGGGGGAATATTGCCATGCGGCAAGGCTGCTACATGCTCACGCAGTGGCAGACGGGCGAGTAGAGGGATGTTATGAAAGGCTACTTCCGGAGAAACCCTTTGAAGAGGAATTGAGCCAACTAGCTTGAGAGCGGCCTCTATTTCTCGCGGCAAGGGGCCCGCTAGCTGACGAACAGTCACACGGAGCATAAGATCGATTGCAAGCCGATGAAAGCGCAGTTACACTTCCATACAGCTCGAAATGACTTTCATTTTCCCAGACGAGAGTGTGAAGGGCTGGAACAGCCGAAAAGTATGTGTTCCTGCTCGATACTACCCAGACTTGGCAGCGTACATCTCGAACATATCCAACACAGCTTCCTTAACGATCCCATGAAAGTCAGTGGAGTGTGTGCGATATTTGCACATTTATCCGCGCTGGCCAATGTATCCTTACCCTTGCCTGTCAGCTACAGTCAAAGATGGTCTCTATCCCGAATTCCAGATGCAGCGGAAGGTTCGAGGGCCAGCGGTCCAGATGGGAGCTTTTACTGCTTTCTTCAGGCCTCCGATCGTCTGAGCCGAGCCGGCGAGGAGCATCTTCCTGAAGGCTGAACATGGAGCGCTTGGGGCGGCATATTTGGATGCGAGGCAGCCTCCAGAGCGAGTTACCGCACCGCTCGGCGCCGGGAAGCTGCCAGCTGAATGTCGACGATGTCGACGTTCCAGGAAGGGTGCCTTTCCTAAGCGATTTCGTACGACCCTTGAGTGCTGTGCCACCCGTCAGTAATGTAATGATCAGCATGGCTCACCAAACTTGGAATGGACAGAGTCTGAATGACAGAGTAGTCACCACAGGAACTAATGTTGAGGATACTTCCACTAACCCCGGCTGGATCGATGTCTCTCATGAAGGGGACGGCCCACAGGCAGGCAGGCAGGCTAAATCTCGAAGCGACGCACGCATGTCAGTCAAATGACATACCTGCTGGCAGGCATGGAACGGTCCCCAAAAGCAGGCTTCGAACCGTCGTCCAGCTTCTTTTATCGGGCGTGCCCTCTGCAACGAGTCCGTAGCCGGCGCTGTTCGCAATAATGCCGAGCCGGCCGAAGCAGTCTGACGTCAAGAGTGGGATGAGTAGCGGAGACGCCGGGTGTTCGTCCTCGCAGAGAGCGAGGACTTTAAACCGTCTGAGCTTGGCGACGGTGCATTCGTTGACCACAAGCACCCCGTCAGAGTTCGCCCAGGACCTTGCGAGGCGCCAGTAACTGCCGTGACCGCGACTCGGCACTCCACGCCCCAATGGGTTCACCGATTCGATGTCGGCAACTGAAATAGACTAAATTCAAAGGAACTCACTGGATAAACATGAGAATCATCCTGGGACATCGCCCAAAGTACAGCAGTAGGGGATATTAACTGCTGAGTGAATAGTCACAGTCCTGATCTAGAGCGAAACTTTCATACCTGCCATTCCTCGAGGCGCAAAAATCGTTTTATCTCCCAGGCGGTGCTGCTCGATAGACTGACGACAGCAGCCCTCGTTTCGGCAGCCGCTGCATGGTACAATGTCAGGCCGCTGCAAGATCACCGGTACAATGCCAGGCCGCTGAGTCGGGCTTTCGCAAGCCCGTCTCAGGCACGACTACAAGCCGCAAGGCCTGAGCCATCGAGCTGTGGCCCGCAAACGACAAGCAAGGACACGTCACTATGCTGTCCAAACGTGCGTTACCGTGTTAAAAAGCACGAAAAGACATACAATTTTTGATAAAATGTGTCGCGTAGGGTGCGCTGCAACACTCCGACGGTCACGATCGGTCGTTGATGCTTATTGAGGCCACGCTTCGTGCCCGTCTTCGTTTTGCCCTTGTATGATTGAAGTGGACATAACGGGGTCTGTTTTCGTGATGGCAAATATCGTCGGTATCGACAACAGCTTGTTTTCCCACTTACAGGTGCCGTGTCTACTTGCTCCTCCAGGCCATGACTTGGGCCGTGGCTGGGCAGCTCGGCTCGGCTCGACACGGCCCAGGGCCCAGCTCACGCTGGCAGACCATGAGGCCTCCAAGCCGGGCCCGTCGACACCACTCGGAGGAATTCACTGGAGGATCTGGGTAGGGGCACTTTCCCAACCTGTCTGTGGTATAGGGAAATCGGCAGGAGATTGTGACTGGTTTTGTGGCCCCTTACGCTTCAAGTGCTTGTCGGCTAGGCGAAGGGGAGCGGACGGCGGACAAATTGAGGCTGCTTGAATAAGAAGGCCTCGGCGCATCAAATTTGATGCGCTCTCTTTGATGCGCGCACCTTCCGATTTCGTCAGGTCTTGCCCGCGTCCAGCCCCGCACAAGACCCTGCACCCTCGCCTGTACATCACCTGCCTATCCTTTCATCTGTGCACGGAATCTTTTTTTATCTTGGCTCTCGATGTGCTCAGGAGCGCGCTTACGGTAAACCCCTTATAGCTCTTGCGTATCTTTGCAAAGCGTCGGGTGCCTAACTAACCGCCACCGTCCACCAACGCACCCGACTCGAGAGTTTGAGCCTAAAGTTAAGGTCTATACATAGCCACGTCACCTACACAGCTTGCGGGGCTATGTTACCCAACTAGAGCTCTCATCATGACACCCTATCCACTTTGTGAACCTCTTTCAATGTTGTGACTCACGAACATTTGGCTCTCCAGTCTCACACGCTAGTAGGGAACGCTCAGTACAAACAACGCGCCGCGGACTTTAGCCACCAGGCTAGACATACCAATATTAAGACAGGCTTGGGCTAGCCAAGCTCGTCATAGAGAAACATACGTTTTCTAGCGGCTCTGCGCTGATGACGTAAGCCATGCTCAGTGAACCCACTGTTCTCGAACATAGCCGCTGCACTCTCCGTCACACCACCAGTACGCGTATTTTATTGTACGTCCTTTGCTCTAACTCTCAACACAGTAACGCTATGGCCTCAAGACCACGGCATTTTCAAAGCTTTGTGGATCGCGAGGGGAAAATGCTGAGTGCGTGTCGCCCTTCGCTAATTCCCCGGCTATGGCTTGCTCGGAAGAGAAGTTGCCCTAGGATACCATTTCGACCGATTTTGACATCTATAAACGAAAGAAGTTTTCGGCGCAATCTTGATTCCACGGCAGGACGGCATGACGGATTAGTGGTCCAACGCCACGCTGTCGAGACCAGCGTATATTCTTGTTTGACAGAATTTACTCAGCCGCGCCTCCTTGGCGCCCTGACATTCGTCCCATCTTCTGAGGCTCCTTCCGGGCTTCTTGCTGTCGCGGTCGTCATAGGACTGCCGATAGTGCTTTGGACATATAAAGTGGGTGTTTTGCGCTTGTTTCATCTATAACCGTTGCGAAGAGCTCAGGTTGTGGCCACTGCTATCCTTTTCCTCAGTGCATCATGATGGTCCTATTCCAGCGCCGAATTATATACATGGGTAAGTCAGTGTTTTGCTGTCGTGCAGCTCGTTTAACAGTGTCCTGTAGGTTATCTTCCACCGGGCGCTCGCGAGGAGGAGCTGAAGGACGTGAAGATCGGCAAGGGCATAAGCTGCGAAGAAGTTACAATAGAGGGCGAAAGAGGAAACGCTCTCTACGGCTTGCTCGTCTGTAGGGAGGCATTGGCCCAAGCTGCTACAGACCCGAAGACCGTAATATTTTATATGCAAGGTAGGCGATCTGCTGGTGCCTCTGTGTTTACCTTTGCACTAAACCTCACGTGAGGAAATGCTGGGACACCACTGGGCCGGATACCCCTTTTCCGACGTCTCCTGCTCGGCATCCGCCTTACGCCGAAGGCGGCACCGCCCTCTGATGCCATGAGCGATACGGCGATCCTGGCAGTCGCCCCGCGCTCGTTTTGGAAATCGACGCCCCGGCGCCCGACCGAACGCGGGATCATGTCGGACTACGAGCAGGCCCTTGCATACGCCTGCAAGCGCTTCCCGTCGTCGAACATCGTCATCTACGGCCACTCGCTCGGCGGCGCGGCGGCGGTCTGTCTCGTGTCGCGGCTGCGAGACACAGACAAATACCGGAACGTCAAGGGCTTTGTGCTCGAGAACCCCTTCGCATCCATCCCGGCGATGGTGAAAGCGGTGTACCCGCAACGCTGGCTGCCGTACCACTATCTAGGTGGCTGCGCGCTCGACAAGTGGGACGCTGTCGGCGCTATGGCGCGCGCCCAGGTGGACAGCTCATCCCTGCTACACCGGTTATCGCGCTCGATGCTGCTTATCCTGAGCGAGAAAGACGAGATCGTGCCGACCGAGCATGGACAGGCGATATTCGAGGCTACGACGCGGGGCGCCGAGGAGGTGAAAGAAGGCGAGCAGCGCAGGCTCGTAATCATACCCGGTGCCTTACACGAAACCACGTGGAGGGAGCGGAGGTGGAGGGCGGAGGTGGAGGCGTACATACGTTCCGTTAACCAGGGACCTACCATGCAACGGACTGGCAACACTGTAGTAATTACGCCTGACTCGTGACTAGCATTCATACTATACTCGTACATACTCTTGCCCATGTCAATGTCACCTAGGATGCTTGATACATGGTCCTTCCTGCGCATTGACTGTCCACGTCGCTGGCGCAGCCGGCTCCGTCGTTCGCCCAGCTGAGATCAGAATGCGGTGTCGGCGTGCACCGCCACATCGCGGCGCGGTCCAGTCGCGGCTCGTGCCTGCCTTGTTTTCGTGACCGCGTCTGACACGTCACACAGGACTTTTCGCGACTCCGCGTCGAGGACAAGTCCGGCCAGGATGCTTTTGGTCGCGACAGACAGCCTCGAACAGCACCCGCTCATGAAACCTCTCATGCTAGGGTGCAATCTCATTGCTGCGTACGCCGCACTCCAACAACCGACAGCAGACCCGCGCACGTCAGAGCAGGACAGGTTCAGACGCGAGTCTCCCGCCAAGGAGACCCTGCCTGGGCTCCTCGTGTGGGGCGGCTCCATCTTGAAGGTGAGCTGAAATATTCCCTGCCTGTCCGCCTCTACTTTCTGACGACAAGCCAACTACGAAGTATGCGTTGTACGCGCTATTCTCAGCGGAAGCCACCCTTCTCATCTTTACATGCGGACCGTGCCCCGCATTCGTGTTCCTCCTTCCCGCGAACCTCGCGCAGCGACTAACGGCTGTCGGGATGCGTCTGCACCCGACATCCTATTTCACACTCGGGCACCTGCTTATGTGCGCAGGCGCAGCCGTACGCGCGCGGTGCTACCGCCGCCTCGGCGCCCGCTTCACATTTCGGCTCGCGCTGCTGGACGACCACAAACTCGAGACGCACGGACCGTACGCCGTCGTGCGCCATCCCGCTTACGGCGGCGCGCTCGCTTTCATCGTCGGCACGTACATGTGCGTGCGCGACCGCGCGTCGCTCCTCGGTGCGCTCGGCGTGTGGAGCACACCGTGGGGCTCAGCGCTGCGCTTTTCCGGGGTCGTGCTCGCCGTCCTGGCGGCGTTTGCATTTGTCGATCGCGCACGCGTGGAGGACGAGGTGCTGAGGCGCAAGTTCGGACAACAATGGGTAGATTGGGCGAGGAAGACTCCCTACAAGCTCATACCGTTCATTCTGTGATAGTACGGGCCGTCGCTTATGTAGTGGCAGGCACGCGGGTGTGGCACACAGACAAACAAATACACTGGGATACATAGTGGACAAACATGCCGAGAGCGACTGTGGTCAGCTCGCCTCGTTACCCTGCAGCACGCTGAGAGCCCACTCCTTGTCGCCGATCAGACGGTCCGCAAAGAAGTCGCCCAATGTGTCCCGCAGACGCTGGATGATAGCAGCATCTGACTCAGTCGCGGTGTCGAGGGGCTGGGGCTTCGCAGACCGGCCATTGAGCTTCCGGAACGATGCCTAAGGGACAACCAGCTAGTGAGACATTATTGCATTTGACAGCGCATATGCGCTTACCATAACAGCGCCAACCAAGCTTGATTGCGCCTGGTCCTCCATCGCAAGCGCGCATTCGGCACCGACGACCTTCGCACCTCCACCTTCGACCACACCCTTCCGGATTGCTTCTTTGCCTATGCCCATGAGTCCCCAGATGGCGCCTTCTCGCGTGCCCATGCTCTTGTCCTTGCCGATCAACGCGAGAAGCAGCGTCTTGACAATCCGTGGGGACAGCGACGGATACGTTGTGGAGTGTTGCGTGAGCAAGTGAGACAGGGTCTGTGATGCGAGCGTCCGCAGATGCGTCGCATGTTCGGGCGGCAGGGACGAATGCAAGAGCGTCGACAGGATTGGCGGCAAGAGTTGATGCAGCTGCAGCCGAGTGTCAGGCGCACGCACGCATACACTACGCAGGGACACTCACGTAAGGCTCGACAAAGAGCGTCGGGTTGTCCAGGAGCGCTCCAATCACCTCCAGCAGCACCGCCAGCGTCTTCCCGTCGTTGTCGCTCTGTGCACCCGTCCTGAGCGACGCCACCACACCCTCCGCGACCCAGCGCACGAGGTACGGCAGGAGTGCCTGCAGACCCGCGTCGTGCCGCAGACTCGCGAGTGCCGCTGTACGTTTCGTTTGGTCGACCGGGGGCACCAGCGCCGTAGTGAGGCGTGTGTAGTACAGTTGGAGCTCGCGCGAGAGCACTTGCTTGACGAGCTGCTGCTGCTGCGTCGTCTGCTGCAACGGTCGCTTGACGGCCTGGATCGGGGACGGTCGGTCAGAGGAGGGTGGTGTGGGCGGGAAGATGGAGCCGCCTGCGGATGCAGCCTTCACGACACCGTTGACACCATGCGCCTCCGGCTCGTGCTCTTTAGGTATTGCAGGCGGATTTTCGGGTATCAGGGGTTGAACGCCTTCGACAGCGAGCCAGTGTGCGGTCCAGCGAGTGCCCTTTGGGACCGAGATTTTCTCCTCCTTGATGATGCGGTCAAAGTCGATCTCTTCGTCTTCTACAAAGTAGACTGCGCCTGCGGCCTGGTTTGGTGGATAAGGACCGGCGCGGCGGAACGTAGGTGGATTGTGCGGGTAGTGGCCGTACAGTGGTTCGATGTTGAGCACGCGCAGCGCCTGGTCGATATCCGACGTAGTCATCGTTGTTCGTCTCGCATGTCGCATGAAGCGTGCTGCTTCCTGTCAAGAGTCCAGAAACAGTCTAATGAGTGCTCGTGGCCGCACAGAATATGGACGCACCTCCACCACCTGGTGTATACGATACTCGACATCGCTCGCTAGCGCAGATGCAATGGGATCCGGCAGGCTGGGTATATTGAGGGAATCTGCGACATCCTGGTCACCATATGCAATGCACCAAGTTGCAGAACACAGAGCGGTCTTACGCGAATGGACTCTGCCTTGAACAGGCCAGTCAACTGCGAGGATGGAATACGGGCTTTCTGCTTGTTCATGTATAATTGCAGAAAAAAAAGTTCGATTAGATGATTTGTGCAGCAGAAGCTGCGGGTATGGAACGGTGGAGGTGGAGGTTTCAGCACGCTGAGCCCAGGTTGAGCAACGGCCAAGGCTCGGGCCAGTGATGGCGGGGTTAGGGGTTACATGATGGCATCATTGGCGTTCATCCTGAAGGGAAAGCTCGGTCGTTTGGCAATTGAATATTGGAAAAACGAACAGCGATGACATTGAAAATTGTCCGAGATATAGATGGAAACTTCATACAGATAAAGTCCAGAAGCATATTGCAAAAAGATAACTATACAACAGACTGTAAAGCCAAAGGAGATATCAGTCCGTAGTCCACATAGCGCCGCACCCGCCCGGTCAGTTTCGCCTCTACCAATTGCTCAGCCACAAGAAGAAGCGTCTGCACGCCCTCAAACTGCTTGTCCATAATGCGCAAATAAAGACGGTGTCCGCATGCTTTACCTTGACGCCGCAGATGCCTGTCGACCGCAGACCAGTCGAGGGTATGCAAGGCCACAAGGACCTCTCGAGCATGCACACCCAGCGGGGAAGTTTTGTCATCGCTGATTGGATCCAGAACAACATAGAGCTCCCGAAGCGAAGGAGGTGCGTTCCACAGGACAGAGCATAGCGCATTCCACCCGCCATTAAAGTTGGGACTGTGCCATGTCGAGCCGACAGGCAAAGGCACTGTCAGTCGGAGCGAGGCGATTGAGGGGCATATATTGAGGAGGTGCAACGAGTGATCGACCTCGCGCGCAACGTCGGTGATATTCAGCGTAGATAGGGATGAACCATGCTCCTGCAGAAAGAGATCAAGAGCGTTGGAGTCGATGGCCTGAATGCCAAAGGCAGGACAGGACAGTGAGCTCAGCGTGGTTTTGTCCAGTACAAAACGCAGCTCGCGCAGAGACTGTGCTGCGGTGAGCGGAAAGCGGCTGTCCAATGTGAGCTTTGACACCCTAAGTCCTGGGTTCCTGCGGATACTGCCGCGCCTTCCGACGTCAGCTTGATTTGGGTGCGGATCCAGCAGGCTGAGCTGCAAGTCGTCAACATCGGAGAAGAGTTCGAGGACTTCGTTGAGCTCTGCATGATTTCTTGCTGCGCGAGGAGCGCGCACCACTAAGGTCCGCAGTGCCTTTGGCGTGTAGGGGCGCATGGGATAGGTGAAACCGGATACGAAGCTGTTCAGGGTGGGGCCGTCGAGCTCGCATATGAGAAGGTGTGGAAGATGGGAGAGTAATCTTCGCAGCATGCTCAGCTGGAGACGGTCGCGCCTCGTCCGCAAGCGCAGCTCCCGCACGAAGGTGCACACCCGGTCGTTCTCCCCGAGGTAGTCGAGCAGACGGACGATGTTTGTCGCGCTGGGCGGCAAAAACCCCGGAGATCCAGTGACATCACCGTACTGCAGCACGCAAAATCGACGGCTGTAGGACCTGGGCAGCCAAGCACGGCATACCCGGGCGCAGGTGTAGAGCGCCTCTAGGTCGTCGCTCAGCCAATCTATGCATGCCTCTGCCAATTCAATGGGAAGTCGCTCTTCGTGATACACCGAGACGTCATGGAGCAGATGCGCGAAATTGGATGAATTCGGCGCCATTGTTCTTTGGAGAAGTCCCGCAGCATCGTAAGTGACATGGTTTGAGATGTGAACATTGAGGACGTACCGAAATGCGGGTATGGGTGGAGAGGCAGTCAGGCTTCATCTATGAGATAGCAGTACACTCGGGTCTTCTGCAGGGCATACTTATATGAGGTTTCAAATGTTATGATGAAGCGGAGGAAGGTACCCGCATACGCGGGTAGAACACGCCGGCGGCGATTCTAAGAAGGGCACACATCCCCACAAACTAAACTATATCATCATGGGGTAATTGAATGGGAAATAGTACGTCCGCGTCATCGATCATCAGCGAGTCGCCGGAGTGAGAGCGTCCTGGTGATATTTGACCACTTGCTGCTGTCTATCGGCATTCGCATTAATGCGCCCTTATGCACCACGAAGGAGAAAGTAGCGCTCAACTCACCTTAAATCCCGCATCTGCGTCTTGCAATCTAACAGAACTCGAATAATGAATAATGTTATGTAAGTAGTGCGTACGCGTGAGCCGAAGTTCGTTGAAGATTTTCAGTTATCGGGCTGGGTCGGAAAGCGCAGGGCGCTCCGCAGACGTTAGGCTCGTTCTCACGCCGATTCTTGCCCGAGTGGGATGCGCCTGGCGAGTCCACGCAGAAGTCTATGAAGGCCCGTGGTGGACGAAATAAAAGATCGTTTCGCAGCGGTCGGCAACTTATTTCACTGTAATATTTATCCGTGAGTTAGTACTATGAACTTAAGTGCATCATACTCACTATTATTGTGCATGATACCGCAAGTAAGTGCACGTTTCTTCACGTTCGTATGCCTAAACAGACTCAACTTGGATTTGGGGGTCTCAACTTTGGCGTTTATGTGCGCGATCATGTATATCCATCGCAGATTTTCCGGATTCAGACATGATAATCGTTCACAAGAAAATTTGCGATAAGCGCCATACCAAGTTTCAGGCGATGCCCGATTGATCGCCCTCGCAGAGTTTACCGCAAGTTCAACTTGACAAGCTGGAAATGACAAGGGCCACCGAACTTTGTGTTTCTTTCAAATTTTCGGTACGACGATCGCATGATATGCTCGATGATGACCCAGAGTTGTGCATATCCCGCATCTCATGTATAACGAAAGATCGTATCGCGGTCACAGTACTTCTTTCTCATGGCCCATCTGAAAGCAGCACACATTATCAACCCAGCCTTTGCATTTCCCCTGCATGCGGGAGGCAGATAAAGAACGCATCAGTAGCTCGACTCTCAGATCTCAGTGCTCGGGCGCGTATGGCAGCACCTCTTCTCTCTAGACTCTCTGTTCAAGTTTTAGCAGCCTTGTGGCGCCGCGACCCGACTGGCATACGCTGAAAGAGCTCTGCGCTCGCGGCCGTTGGCGTTTCAGTCCTAGTAAAGCGTCGCTGCAGCATGGGCACATCGTCTAGCACGCCAGCTGTCTCAGATGAAGGCCGCTCTAGACGAGCTTCAGGTGAGCGGTTTCTCAAACGTAGAGGTTGAACCACTGACCTGACGTTACACAAAGCGTTGAATTTTTAGTCAGTCTGCCGCTTCATCGGTATATAGAGCGTAGTCTGACTACAGGTTGTCAGGTTGACGAGTACCGCAGATATTTGACGCTGACCGGGGCAACGCTCATGGCTAAAATCCGATATTCGCCATCTATATGGCCTGACCTAGAGATAATAGCTCATAGTTGGCGCAGGGTAATGTTGCATGACGAAAGCGTGTACCACAATGCACACGAATTGATACCCAAGCAATTCTTTAACGAAGGTACCCCAGACAGCTTCGGCGTCGTGTTATGCTATGGCCGCAGGTGCGCATTTTCCTTGTATGGTGTCCCTCATCGTGACTCGGCGGTTGCACTAGACGCTGCCTCGGCCTGCTCATCGCACAGCCGCACGTCTTGGCCACTTTTGCGAGCATTTTGGCGACGCTCGACATTTCGAGGGCACGCAAAGATGCAGGTAACATCATTGGTACCAGAGAAGAGTAGCATCTGGAACCATGAAGTATGCTTATTATCGCTTGCCACGGACGAATGTCACTGGGGTTGCCGACTATTTATATTAGTTTTCCAAAGCCCTTCAAGGCCTCCATCGTACCAGTTGTTCGCGCAAGACCATCGAGCTCATCCGGAGGTTCGTCGAGTACTTGAAGACGCTCCCAGACAGACCCGAGATATTTTCCATTTAGTCTCATGCATGCTCATCGCGCTTGGCGGTGAACTCCGGAGGGGTGTCAGGGGTACTTATTTGCGCAGAATGATCGGACCAAGCGCCACCAGGGCATCGGAACCGGAGAGTCGCTCTCCAGCAAGGCCGCCACTCAAGCGCGCGAGATTCAGGACTCGCGCAAACGGAGTGGCGTTTTCAGTAGCTGATGTTTAGAGTTATGGGGGTATTCGTATTTGCAATGTTAGTAATGAAAAGTACACCATCAATATTATCTTGCTTAATAGTTTCAAAGATGCGGCCTGGACCTCATAGGCGACTAACGTATTGAGTAAGTGGACGCCCTCAAGCATCACAGTTGCAGAGAGAATAATACTACGTACATAATCGAATATGTCGCAAGATATCGTGAGAAAAGACTTGTTGAGTGCGCAGGGGCTAGAAACATGGCATCACGTATGGCGTCCGGCGACTGGGATCTCGTGCCACGCGTCGGACGGCGCCGGCTAGAATCACGGCGTCTTCTGCATCGGTGTATTGCGCGGGCGAAGCCTGCTTGGGTATACAGAGGCACGTGGAACCACATGCAAAGCCGACGTCGGGGCCGAGGGAGTCATGGAGTGCTGGCGTGATTGAGGCGGAGGCGGCAATGAACGCGTAAGCCTGCCGAGACCGCAGATCTCCCCGTGCAGTCAGTCAATGGTATGTTGTAAGATTGTGCGTCTATAGGGGCATAGCGCGTGAATGACTCACGCTGGAAAGCGAAGGCATTGTATGCTCACCCCATCAAAAGTGCAGGTAATAGTGATGATATTGACGATCGTGCGGCGTCATTCATGCAACGACCCCTGCTAAAATCGATAAAAACGATGGTTTACCGTGTGCGTAAGCGTGTGCCGGTGGTTGCGATCATGCACCGAAAAACGGCTCCAAGATTGGCATAGAGCCGACCTACGCCCACGCAGCACCTGTCATGTACGGTGTGAGCAAATGAGCACTATTGGAGTCACTGAGATGTGACCACAAATGGAGATACTCAGAGGGGTCACTCATGCGTGTCAAACTGAGTCAACCAGCGGATTTGCTGTTCCAGAGGTACTGACCTCAAGGGAGCCACTATTTAGGTGCAAAATTTCAGCATAAAACGCGACCTTAACCACTTAACGACAAATGTCAACTAGGTCAAGATTACGACGCATCCTTGGGGCTCGAGGCAAAGGTCTAAGCCAGCCTACGCCCAGCGTTACCGGAGGTCCGGGTGAACCGAGATTTACCGCGACACAGAAGCCACATGGCGGCTCCGAGCCTCCGGCCGAGATTTAGAGCGCCGGAAGGCCTTGCGGATGCCGCGCATGATCACGGAACTATGACTCGAGAGGGTTCATATAAAAACAGCGTGTTTCCACGTTTTCGCTAGGTCCCCCTCCCGCTGCCTCTGCACCTGTTTGCTCCCATGTCGCTCCTGTTCCGCCTTTCTGTCGTCTTTATGGTGTCTGACCCTCTGCAAAGCCTATTTTGCTCTATTTGCGCTCGAACGAACCGTGCGAAACACTTGCCTTTCTCGCAGAATGACACCTCTGGACGGCACACCTGACGAGGTTGTCACGGCACAATTGTAGTGTCCATGCCAACCGTGTACTGCATTCCACATGCGTGGTATTCTCGCAAAGATGCGTTAGTGGCGATGCGGTAAGCAGGTGAGTGTGGTCATGCTGAATTCGGGCGTAGCTCTCCCAGCACGTGTTGCGTTCACAAAGACGCGTCGTGCCCATGCTGCGGCTGGGTACCTTCATCACGATCTTTTTTTGGCGTATTAATATCCGTTCTGTTCGCAGAATGACAATCTATGCGACGCCGCCGGCTCAACGTACATCTGGGAGGCTGTGGACCTGTAGTGCTCCCATCGGCCGGTCGTGCTCATCGGCGTTCCTCGTCGCCGCTTCTCGCACAGCATTGCTCGACCGCGAACCTTGCTTACAATCCGCCATTCGTCGGAGAACCTTAATGGTCCCCCGCCTTCTGCTTGCTCATGTACGGGATGAACGCGCATCCTCTCGGCTTTGTCATCGCTCTGGATCCCACCGTCGCTCCCACCCATGCTGACTCGCAATGACTCTTGACCCCAAAAGCTTGTGAACCTTCTCTTTTTCCGGCTTCAGCACAAGGTTCAAATCACTGATTCGCGCTTGTGATTCCGCCCCAGCACCAAGCCCACATTGAATCCGTACGCGCTGGTACCGGCTTTGCGACCCCGACCAACAATTCTCGCGATGTCTCCGGCGTGCGTGGCTGGGCAGAGGGCAATGCTGCCTGTGGACGCTGCCCACGAACGGCCCGCTTGCCAGAGTATACCGCCGCCGTACGGTCACAGGGACGCGTCTCCATCTCATCTCGCCGTCGCCCTGCACCGCCTTGGGAATGCGCTTCGCAGTGTGTCAGCATCTGCACACTGTCATGGAAGACGATTGCGGGAGTCTCGCGTTTCTGGCGCCTTGCGACCATATGGATCCTGGGACCTCGATCGACCGAAGACCCCCCCAGCGCTCCGACCGCAGTGCGATGGACCTTCCCGTTCCTTGCGGGCACCGCGAAACTGCGGCCACGTTCCGCTTCCTGGTAGCCACGTTCGCACAAATGGCCTTCTGGCAGCATCCACCGGCTTCGCGTCGGCGACGCATCAGCCTGCGGGTGCTGCGAGCTGGCCTGCATTGCGTGTACGCGCGGCGGGGATGACTGGCCGCAGCCCATTAAACTCAATCCGCCGGTTTCGTCGGTATCAGGAAACTGCGGCCTGGGATTGGCCGGAGAGGTCATTGCCGCCGGCTGCGTCCCGAGAAGGTCCCGCATGCGTATGCGTACCCCACATGCCTCGTCTCCCCGCATTGCGAATTCCTGGAGACGGGAGATAAGTGGCAAGAACTCGGACAATCGGGCGGTGCACGTCAAGCGTAAAATGCGAGGGCAAACTGCACCGTGAGCTGGACCGTCTGGGTGCAGTGTTCTACAGCTCATGGTTGGCGGATATGTCTTTTCTGGGAGAGGACAGCGCGACACAGACTCGGAGGAGGCGGCGTGCCTTGGCGGTCGTTATCTCTGCACCGCCACCACGAGGAACGACGCGTAATTAGACGCGAGACGCGCCTGATGAAATGTAGGCGCCCTTTAAGACGCTGAAAGCGGCCGATTTGTCATCGTGCACCTGCCATTCAAGGAAGGTGCAGCGTGACTCGAGCCGCAGCAGCGCCTCGGCCCCGAGTCGCACCCTGACTCGACCTGCCTAATACGAACGGTTAGCCGTCCTCCAATATTCGCAAATAATTCTGAACACTTTTGCGCATACAGCGGACGCTCCTAAACACCTCGAAATACACCTTATGCTCTGCAAAATTTCATGTTCGGGCGTCGTCGGCCGTTGGCACAATGAAATTTTGGAAGGTGTATGCCTTTTCGGACCGTTGTGGGAAAGCATTAAGCGCCTAATATCCGAGAGGCTGGGCTAGCGTCTCTGGGTCTCAAATGCTGTGGGTTTGGGCGATAAAACCCCTTCCGAGTCACCGCTCGGCTCTCCTCGTCTTTCCCTCTCTGCCTCCTCACAACTACACGGACAGTCACCAGCAACTGTTCGAGTGGAAGATCTGACTCAACCCCCAGGACTCACAGTGAGTACTTCTGCTCGCTACTTGTTTTGTGTCCGCCATTGGCTTTGCCGTGTCGCACAAAGATCCGTTCTGCGTGTGCAAATCGTCTCTGTAAACCTTCCTGTCCTGCGACACAATGTCGTCCGGACCAGCTGCGTGCTCCTTTGAATCGACCGCGGACCCTTCTTCGAGTAAGGCACGGTGCTTGTCGCCAAGTCCCCTCTCGATCGGGGCGCGAGTCAAGTCTGAAATGAGGACCCCTCGACTCGGCGCCTACCAGGCATTCCCGGGTCGTTCTCAGGGCGAGCTCCCACCGACGGCGGACGCACACAGTGTAATGGCTCCGAACAAGACACTGACACCGTCATCGCCTTTCAGACACCACCGGCCGCCTACGTTGCTGCCACCAACCCCACGTCCTAATACCGCCGCCGCCTTGTATCCCCATCAGTTTGTACAATCCACGCACCATCCGCATCACGATGTACTCGCTCTTCTAAACGCGTCGTTACTTCACGACCCATCGGAAACAGCTGGCCAACATGGTTCTCCGCATCTGCAACTACCGCCTCCGCGCGATCACCCCTCTTCTCAACATGTCTCAATAAACTCTTCTCCGTGGACTTCGTCCCATCCGGTTTTTACCAGCACCTCAGCTCTCGCTGCTCACCATGGAATCCCTCAATCCCTTCCCCCGGTTCCTCGCACTACTCGCTATCTATCGGAAAAGCAACAACCAATACCTTCCAGTTCGACTAATACGGACTTGAACTTTGATCATCTCGTCTCTAACTACTTGAATATGCTATCGCAAAAGCCACTGGAACAGTCCGCGGCGCCGTCTGCCCCCACAATGAGCGACGACAACGCTGCGGCATTGCAAGCGGTTCTTGAGGTCATCCAAGGTACAATAATCGCATCGCCCTTAAGTCTTCCCTCGCCTGACGTCTTCATCCTTGTAGCCTCCCCAGAATTCCAGCAGATGCAGGACTTTGGCGCGTTGACTGGCGATATGCCAGGCGACTACGATAGTTTCCTTACTTCGCCTATGGAAGAATCGCCTTACGAGGACATGCTCCCGACACCTGCTCTCGGCAACGGCGATTTCGATTACCTCACCTCGCCGGCAATAGTCGATGCTGACGACTTCGGTGCGTTTGCTCCGGATGTATCCCTTTTCGGCGACTCCGCGCGCTTCGCAATGTCTGCTGCTGAGCCGAAGGCTGCTCTGCCTGTTCCTGCCGTTCAACATTCGGTCGACTTCGATGTCGACGGCGGCCTGTACACGATGTCTCCGGAGACTCCTGCTCTCGACCCGACCTCGCTCCAGACTTCGCCGCTCGCTACGCCTATCACACCTTCTCTTGATACCCCGGTATCTGCACCCCGTCGTAAGAACGCACCGACCGGGACGCGCAAGAACATCACCCCCGAGGCACTCGTGCCTGTCGATGCGCCGATCCAAACGCGCAACTACGCGACGCCGTCTGCGACTTCGCGCAAGGCGGTGCCGGCTGGATTCGCGAAGAAGCGCGCTCTGTCCCAGGCGTTCGACGAGGAGGACGGCGAGTCTTTACTCGATCCGAATGACCTCGACGCCATCGAGGCCAAGCGGCGGCAAAACACGTTGGCCGCGCGTCGCAGTCGAAGGCGCAAGCTTGAGTATCAGCGTGAGCTCGAGACGAGTCTAGATCAGCTGACGGATGAGAAGGACCAGTGGAAGCGTAGAGCGGAGGCGTTGGAGGCAGTGTTGCGCAGCCATGGGCTCGAGGTACCGTCTGTCCTCAGCTTCTAAGGTCGTTGACTTCTCTTCCGTCGTTGGCTTGGGACGCTTTTCGTGATACTCATGTTCTCATTTTCCTTGTCTCTGTTGAAGCCGTCGCTCAGTATCTGACGGCCTTCGGTACTCTGCTCGTCTGTCTGAACCACCACTCCCCACCCACTTGCATTCGGAGTATCGTCGTATCCCCCATCCCCAGCAGCACATCAGGTGTCTTGCTCTTTCGTCTGTTCTTTGCATGTTGTTTCTCACATCGTCGACTAGTAATGCTCTGTTGCTGTAATGTCGCCCCTTCCCTTTATGACCTTTTCGCATGCATGTATATGTCTACGCCAACATTGCACAGGTTTTGTGTCGCGTAATGATAAAAGTGATTTTCCTGTGATATTTACCTATTGTGTGAAACAATCCGGCTATGAGATTTGTTCACGAAGCTTGAGTTGGGAAAACTGGTTCTTCGTGAAGATGGTCTCTTAATGCCGTCCTGCGAATGCGACCCTCACCCTCACCTTCACCCCCGTCTACGCCGTCAACTTCTTCAACAGCCTCTTCGACCTCAGCGTCGATTAAATTAGGCAGGACATCTTCTAGTCATACACGCCGTATCAGCGCAGGGCGTGCGAAGGCACTGCTGCAAGGCCAGAAGGCAGACATGTTTTCTCCACGTAGCAGCAACTACGAACGGCTCGAGAACGGTATGGGCCCATCTCGCATGAACGGCATACGCAGGTTTGGATGGAAGAAGTTCGCGATAGGAGCTGTCGTGGTCATCGGGCTCGTCTGGGTGTTTGGCCCGCGGAAGGAGGACATTATTCCCGAGAAGTATATACCCTGTGCGTGCCATCTTTATGTTGCTGTACGTCTGTCTAAACGCTACCTCAGCATTCCCCAAGTCACCGTTTGGAGGCTCGGACTTGGAAGAGTCCGCTGCCCGCCCACCCCCCATGCCAACCCATCCAACGATAGACCCGCCTCATGGGGACGACGACGAGATCGCCCCACCCGCGCAGCCGCGGCCGACATCCCCCGCAACCGATCCAGATATGTCCAAAACAGTGTACTGCACACGGCCATACAGACCCGACCAGCCTATCGTGCAGTATGCGCTCATGATCGACGCTGGCTCGACGGGCTCACGCATCCACATCTACAAGTTCAACAACTGCGGCGCATCGCCCGTGTATGAGTATGAAGTCTTCAAGCAGACAAATCCGGGCCTCTCGTCTTACGCCGGCCGCCCACTTGAGGCAGCGCAGAGCCTAGACGTCCTGCTCGATGAGGCCGTCACAGTTGTCCCCCAGGCGCTTCGGAGTTGCACACCCGTTGCAGTCAAGGCTACCGCAGGCCTGCGTTTGCTCGGCCAAGCGGAAAGCGAAGAGATCCTCGATGCGGTGCGGCACCGGCTGCACGAGAAATATCCATTCAGCCTCCAGAACCGAGACGATGTCGTGATCATGGACGGCAAGGACGAGGGCGTCTTTGCGTGGATCACGGCGAACTACCTCCTGGACACGATCCGTGCAAGCACCCCCGCGAACACGCCGACGTACGCCGTGCTCGATCTCGGCGGGGCGTCGACGCAAATTGTGTTTGAGCCCATCTTCGCATCGGACCGCCCCGACAGCACGCTCGCCGAAGGCGAACACAAATACGAGCTCGTGTTCGGTGGGCGGACGCACGTGCTCTACCAGCATTCGTACCTCGGCTACGGCCTCATGCGCGCGCGCAAGTCGGTACACCGGCTCATCGATTTCATGAGCTCCCTCCAGCCCCCTCTGTCTGACGGCACGGTCGCGAATCCGTGCCTCGCCAAGGGTACGAGCCGAACAGTCGAAGTCGAGGAAGAGCGGCTCAATGAGACGCGGAGCGTCACCATGACCGGCGCGGACGTCGGCTCCTTCGAAGCATGTAATCGCGTGGTGCAGCTCGTCATGGCCAAGGATGCGTAAGTGTACCATGCCGGTATGTGTGGATTATATGCTAACATGCGCACAGCGTATGCGAGGTCAAGCCGTGCTCGTTCAACGGCGTGTACCAGCCGTCGTTGCTCGACACGTTCCCGAACGGCAAAGTTCTGCTTTTGTCATACTTCTACGACCGCCTCCAGCCGCTGCTGCCTGATAGCAGAAGTCCGCCGCCGATCACGGTGTCGACACTCGCGGGCCTCGCAGAGGAACTTTGCCAGGGACCATCGGCGTGGGAGGCGCGCTGGGGTGGCGACGCGGCGCTCATGTTCGAGCTCGAGGACCGCCCGGAGTGGTGTCTCGACATGACGTTCATGCACGCACTGCTCAGACTCGGGTACGAGTTTGGCGACGACCGCGTCGTCGAGATTGGCAAGCAGATTGATGGCACCGAGCTCGGGTGGTGCCTCGGTGCGACCATTGCCATGGTTGGTGCGGAGCTCACATGTAAGATTTAGAGTTGTTCCTGTAATACCTTCGGATGCATGCTTTGTATACGTTTAGAGTAGAGGACTGCTCTCGATAATTGTTCATTACTGTCACGTTGCGGCGATGCATGGAAGTAGAATGGTTACATGACTCTACGCGGGTCTGAGCCTGCATGGAAGGCCATCCGTAAATATTCTTAGTCGGCAATTTGACAAGAACATTGTTCGCATGCTAAATTTGTTCACAGTCTGTCAGTAGCTGACTGTCCGAGTTCGATGACTATGCATCAATCAGTCAGGCTTGTCTTCAGCTCGATGTCTGCTTCCATCTAGGCGTGAAATACTTGGCCTGACCTGGCTATACTGAGATCCTGATATACATGGCGTATGAAGTGAGCAGAAATAGCATAAGATCGTTCAGCAGCTCTCCACAGTCGGAGTACCGGATCCCAACCCCTTCTGGCGTGGCCCATCGCAAACCTGGCCTAGCTGCTCCCCAAGTTTACCGGCAAGCGGATCTCGATACCGTTGCGGCGAGTCTTTGTTACAATCCTCCTCAATCTCCCTCTGCCACTACTCTTTCTATCGTCGTCTGAGTCTTCCTTCTCGCTTTCCGACTCCTCCTTGTCGTTACCTTGGTCGCGCTCCTTCTGCAGCTCCGGAGAGAACCGTCCTTTCACCTCGAGCTTCACGAGGCTGGGGAACTTCGGAACGTCTTCAGGAAGGATAAAGCATCCGAGGGCGACGACAAACTCGTCTTCAAAGTGCGGCGTGGATCTGTCTACTGCCAGATGACATTCGTCACCGGAGTCTGCCTCCTCGATGGACTCGGTAATGCGCAGGCACTCGGTTGCGAGTTCGCGGTCCTGGGCCAGCAATTCGTCTGCAGTGAGTATCGGCTGTGTGGTAGCATGCCAGTACTCCTGGTCCGAGGAGTAGGGCTTCTTCCACCTCTCAGCGCGCTTGTACTCCTTCAGTGCACGAACGAGCACATGCCACAGCCCAGCCCAGTCGATGGTGTCGGCCAACGGGCTCGGAGAGTTGGTCCTACGTGGATGAGGGGAGTAACACGGTTGCCAGTGGACCTCGCGCCCGAGATGTATGTCATAGAGTCGCAAGTGGAAGAGTGTGAACCTGACAACGTCTAACACGGTGAAACCGCTGCCGTTGAGATGACCAGCTGCGTACACCTTCATCAATCTGATCGAGTGCGTTATCATCGTTGCCTGGTCTGAGGAGATACTTGGGGATGAGCAATGATAATAAGCACCCAGGCTACTGGAAAACGTACCGTCAAGTCTACCTGATATGAAAGAATCGGTGATGATCTGTGCGGCGGAGATCGTGGAAGCGCGCGACCGCGGGTGAAGGGCCGCAAAGCCACGGCACAGAGTCATAAAAGACCTGTCCTGGAACCGCCAAAATGTTTGGAAGAGCCTTACTGCATCTTCCCTCCTGTCCATAAGCTCCGAGAAATCCAGCAGGATTATGAGTCCTTCCTGGCCTCCCGAAGGGATGAAACATTCTGGAGTGACGACAGAGCACGTGAAGTTCCACCACTCCTCGAGGATTGGTCGCGCGCTGGAAATCTGGAGCAGCTGCTGTTCCTGATTCAGCATGTGCAGCATGGATTCGTAGGTGCCGGGAAGGTTACATCGAGAACGGAGAACCTCTATATAGAGCCTGTTGATCGTTCCCAGGCCAGGGCGATGGGGTGCGTCTGCGACCTTGTAGATTAGAAGCAGGCGTCGCGATATAACTGACAGATCGACGTGTCCGGATAACAGTCGTTTCGCGACGGTTTTCCCTGCTTCGAGATTGCTACCGATGTCATCGAAGATTGCTCTGAGGCTCTCGATAGCGGAGTCGGGCGGTGGATAAAGGGAGTTGGAGAGTAAGAGAAGCACCGAGTTCTGGAGCCAGTCCGGGCTGCTCAAGCGCAGCGCACCTGGTGGACGGCGGCGAACGATCTCCGCAACCATGTCCATGATGGCGTGCCAGGCTTGCCTCGACAAGGAGCAGAGGTCGGGAATGGAAGTGAGTTCAGAAGATCTAAAGATGGATCCATCGTCGAGGCGGTCCCGCAGGAGGCGGATGACAAAGCGCAGAGACTGCTCGGGGTCGTGAGAACGATGCTTGAACGCCTCCCATATTGCAGGGAGGAAGTTGTCGTCGGACATGATGTCGTTCATAGAAATAAGGATGTCGCCGTCATCCTGATCTCCCTTAACCACATGGTCCTCTTCTTGGCTTTCGTCGTACACATATTTACCGCCGCAGAGTTGGACGACAAACTCGACCGTTTTGTACACATAGACCCGTCCCGACGCCATTACGGACTTCAACAAAGGCGTTTTGAACGGGCTTCGGGGCGAGACGAGGGGAGATAGCGTGGTGAAGACCAGGAAGAACGTCCATCCACAAACGAGTGGGATAGTGGCGTGGTTCATTCGGTAGTCCACTGATGCCGTGAAGATGCACAGGCCGATGAAGAATAATCCTAAGGAGAGTTGGAGAAGCATGGGTAGTACAGCAGCGATCTCGTAGACTTTCCATTTGTCCAATTCCGGCTTGCGGTACTGCCGCGTACGGAGGCGCTCTTGCGGAGATGTCCCTTCGACAGCAAGGTATTCCCGTAGCCACTGCTTAACAAGCATGCCAAAGGATGCAGTCGCAAGGCTGATGATGAGGGATGCGAACCAGAGTCCGTTGACATGAACGGCCCATTCTGGGGCAACGAAGGGTGGCGGTTCACGTGGCTTTTTTCCGGCAATTTCTTCAAGCAAGTATATGACCTGGGTGCTGGGATCTGGTAGCAGACTGACGTAGACTGCGACGAGGAAGGCGGACAGAACTGCGGAGTACAAACCAGCCTAGTGTCGGCTTAAATCAGTGCATCTGGAGTCGATGCGGCATTTGTAGACTCACAAAGACGAGAAGTGTGTCAATATCTTCCTTGGGCCCTCGAACCTTCGCTTCGTCGATCTCGCGGACCGTCTTGTCCATCGTTTGCCATCCGGTGGGGGCGGACACCTCGACATAGCGCACCCGGTTGGCAGGCCGCTTTCGTGAAGAATAGTCAGCTTAGCGAGCGTATTACGGGGGCGACATGATCACATACGTCTTTGTTCTGCGCGACCCTTTTCACAACGACTGGATTGTCGCTGTCAGAGTCTGACATCGCTGCAGGAGATGATGTTCAGAAACGAGTTTGCCAGAGACCACCTTGGTCAAAGCTACATATAGTGAGTGGTACAGCATTGTCTGCGCCTTAAATTTCCATGTTTCCGTGTATCGTTCATATTTGCTGGCATCGCCCTCTGCACTGGCTGTGCAAAGTTCTGGAAGCCAAGGCTTCGATAGACACGTTTTGTTATCATTCCGCAGACATCGAAACAAAAATGACTCACTACCAGGTGGCTAGCTGCGGGAACAGCAGGAATGCTGTACAGGCAGTCATGGCCATAGGCTACGCAGAACCTTGTCATGCAATTCCACGAATATCGCGGATTAATAGTCTCCCGACCAATTATTGAGGCTTCAGTGAGGGCGATACTAGATGACGGTGCCACAATAGGACGCGCGAGCCTTGAAGGACAGATTAGCAGCGCCTCCTTCGGATCCAGGGAACAGTATTCCACAGCCGCTAGACTGTCCAGGTGATGCCTACGTGAGAATATGCGGATAGGGTCCACTTCAAATTTTTAGAAGCTTATGTTAAACGGAACGGCAGTAGGTCTAGTTCGCCGCGCAGTGAACATCGTATCTCACAGGTCTCATTTGTGATGGCACTGGTATATTCGTGGTACCCGCATGCATGTCTAAATTGCTATGCAGCTGTCAAAATACATTAGCTGACACATAGTGCACACCACCACTTGAACCATCTATGGGATGTTGTGAGTTTCTCCAGCAATCCGCAGCTCGCTCGCTCACCAAATTGTTGAGATCCTTATCCCAAAGTAAGTCTTATTTAATTCTCGTAGAGCATCGCTGAGCGCGACAGCCGCTGGGAGCCATTGTGAATCGCCGTTACATGAGAGCCAGTCACGTATCATGAAGACCTAGTAGCTGGGTTGCGCCGCGTGTCTATCAACCCGTCCCGGCAAGTCCGCCTGCAGAGTTTAGTTTTTAAAACAAAATGCTGGCGGATACTCACAAGATATGGACTTCATATTGGATAGACTGACCTCCGGCAATTCGGGAAGCGGTCATAGCCCAGACCAGAATTAGCAGGTCAGTCAGCGAGCAGGCCCTTCGATGCGAATAGTGCGTTGCAGGTCTATTTTGAGCCCTTAAACCGGTACTTTTCAGGAATTTGCATCTTCACGAATGCTGCATCATCCAGAATATCCACTACCAGCCCAACTCGCGGCAAGATTGAGCTTGAAAGCTCCGCGAGGCAGGGTGGAGGAGGAGCGTCGGAGCCAAAGAAGCTGCGATGAGCGGGGAGCGCGGTATCACAGCGGGCGTTTATATCACGTGCTACCTCAGGCGGCTACGCTAATGGGCCCTCAGCCCGCCTCCTTCGTCCGCAACCCTTGTCCGCAAGCGTCGTCACGACGCATCGCGATCCATCTCGTCTTTCCTCTCTCTTCCCTTCCCACTCTCGACGACGCGGTCTCCTTCTCGCGTCTTCGCAATTCTTCAAGGCGGCGATATCAATGTACCAGCCCCCTTCGTGAGTAGAGCTGTATGCGTGAGATGCAGGCGATAGTCCGCTTCGTCGTCAGTATCTCTTGGTACGTCTTTCTCCTTCCCACTAGTGCCTCCTTGCGCTTATTTGGTATATGGTTCCCTTTCACCCTCAAGAACATGACGCATAGCCACTGGCGGGGCGGTCGCGATAAAAGGTCGGGTTTCCCAACCCCAGTCTTGCGCATTTTCTATGGCTGCTTGCCGAATTTTCGCCTTACGGGAAGGCTAAGCTGCGAAGGTTAGAGGTCTACTGGCGGCTAGGGCAGCAGTGGTGCGTGTACGCGATGTTCTGCGTTCGTTGCAGCTTCTACGGCAGCAAAGTTGATCTCCCCCCGCGTATTTTTTTTCCCAGATAGATGGCCGCATTACACGCTATCATGTACATAAGTGCCTCTCTTTGCTGTTGCTGGGTGACGACGATGACGAGGGCCGCGTGCTCGATATCGAGCTCGCCCTCGCGTCGGAGCGCCTACGACACGGAGGTAAACCCCAAATAAGGCAGACCGTTGCTTACATCAGCCTCCCGTTAATTGCTTGCATCTCGGGCCGAACCGGGAACCCTAACCAAAGCCCCGGCCTCCGACACAGCGCGCCAGCGCCGTCGCCGTCGCCCACGTTTCTTCCAAGGTCGCTCGACTATCGTAACTTATTGCCTCTGGACACATCTTCCTCCCTCGTCTTATGGCCCGAAGTCAACATGCAGGCCCCTCGACCCTCCGCAACCGCAACCGAGTCACCAACAAGACACGCCTCAAGATCATCAAGGAGAGCATCGATGCTGACTCGATTGTCCTCGATGAAGATGAGGAGAAGGCCAGGGTCGTCTCTACTGCTGGCGTCGATGCCGAGGATGCCAATGTACGTCTATTCCTCTGTTTTCCCGTCGCTGTGGGCGACGTTGTTGGGGCCGCTTGCGTGGCCCGCTCCCATTGGCTGAGAACGTGGGAAATCGATCCATGGATTGCTGACTAATCATGCTGCCTAATATAGGAACATCATCTGCAGGCGGTGCTGTCTGCAGCAGCGACGAGACATCAGGCCTCGGCGCGCTCGACACGAGGGTCGGACAAAGAGACTGGTGCCCCCGCCGCATTTATTCCCACACCCGACAGCACTGGCAAAGTCGAGAACTACGAGGAGCTGTATCCTCCTGAACGATGGAAGGACCCCGTCACGTATGTCAAGTCATCCGACACGGTCGAGGAGTCCGTGGAGTATGCACTCGCAAACGGATACGTCTACTACGTGGATGAGCGGGACCAAGAGTGGCTCGACAAGAACAATGAGGAGGCTCGTGGCGAGGGTACCAGCGCTCAAGGCGCCGTCTCGAATGCAGGCACTCGGTCCAGCCGTAACACGAAGAAAGGCAAAGAGCCAGAAGGCAATCATCCCATCGCTATTTCTGAAGATGAGTTTGAGTTTGTGATATCGATATTTGAGAAGGTCACACACGAAAAGACCGAGTTTTTGCATCACGTTAGTGCCTCTGCGTCCGTCTATTCATCTATCTATCTCACCGCTCATGTACATAGGGCCTCGAGTCCGGGTCGCCTTTTCCTCCTTTTTCTGACTATCAAGACACTTTCGCATCACCGCTTCCACCGTCTCTCTTCGCTGTGTTCGCCGTTCCACAGTGGATCCCGCAGCCGCCACAGCTCTTGAAGATGGCCATCTCAGTCTATCCACACTGGAAGGAGCGGCGAATTGAGAGAGGCGGGCATCCTATCATACCCATTGTGAACGTGAGTAGTTGGCATGCACTGGGTACCGTCGCCCTTTTGCTCACAGCCCGTATGAAGCTCGACGAGACCGATACCAAGAATGAATCCTACATATGCTTCAGACGACGAGAAAGCAAGGCTGTTCGTAAGACTCGCGCTCAGCAAGCAACCTATTCGGACAAAATGATTCGTTTGCAATCGGAGTTGGCCACGGCGATGGAACTCGCGACCAGCGTAATACAACGCGAGGGCTTCAAGCGAGAAGCTGCGACGCATGGGAGCGGCGTTTGGGAGTCAAGATTCATGTTGGTCGACCTGAAACGCAAGTTTCCTGCTCTTGGAGCGAAGGAAGACGAAGAGCTCTTCTACGACAGGGAAAGAGTCCCGAAGAAGATCAAGCCCGAGATGTCTGGGTGCGTCTTCGCCTACCTGCGCGTTCGCTATTGCATATTGACTTAGTTTCAGCCGACTGCCAATCAAGCTGCGTACTACGCGCGATCCAGCGGAGTATGGCTCACCTACCACCCAGGAGCCCATCATGCCGCCGAAAGAACGCCTCGCGCTCATTCGCGCACAGGTCGAGCAGGAGCTGGCAAAGCGGAAGGAGCGAGATCAAAGTTGGGACAACGTCGTCGACGTAGGTGTATCGTTGCCCGTCACCTGATCTTGTGCTAACCTCGTCCACTTAGAATCCATATCAAGCTCCACCAGTGCCCTACCCTTCGCGTCTATTCAAGTTCATCACTGCTACCCGCTCGTCGTCGAAGTCTACATCCTCGGACTCGGAGGACTCGTCGCCGCCGCGCGAGCATCGTGCATACCGCGTGCGACTCGGTCGCGGCGGACGCATGCTAGTTGACCGCCGCCTGTCTAGACCTCTAGCTTTTGGATGGGATTCTGAGGGCGACGACGTAGATGCCTCCAAGGAGGCTGCCGCTGACGTAGATGCTACCGATGAAGGTCCCGCCGATGAAGATGCTACCGATGAAGGTCCCACCGATGAAGTTCTCGTTGATGAAGATGCTGCCGATGAAGATGCTGACGGAGATGCTGACGAAGATGTTAACGAAGATGCCAAGAAGGAAGTTGCGGAGCATCATCGCCGTCTTCTGGAGCGATGGAGGTTTGACGCGGACGATGAGCCTTTGGTGGGTCCGGAAGGTCCGGAAGAGCATGGTCGCAAGTTGTTCGACGATTATGCTGAGTCGTGAGTCAGACTGTGTTCGTTGTTAAAGCGTAGCTGACCAGGAGTTACAGGCGTCTCCAACACACTATGACGCTGTTCAACGAGCACGATTTCGCCACGCTTGCTGTCGACCCTACGATCACAGTTACGGGCTCTGATGGACGTCCGCAGCCGTACATTCCGTTCCGCTTGGGCCTGCAATCCATGCAGATGCGTCGGGAACACCTGCGGCCCTCGCCACTAGGCACGCCAGGCATTGTCCCTCAGAGGCATATCAACGGATCCTCGACATCAATATCGTCGAATGGGTCTGCTATGAGTCATCGAAGTATGCCACCCCCGCCGGCTGTCCCTCAGACTCGCATACCGTCCAACGGTATCATGCGTCCTCCGGTAACACCGACTGTGCCTGCTATCCCTCAGCAGAGCTCTCCTCATCGTTCCCCATCTGTACCGAATGGAACGAGTCATGAGTCGAGCATGTTCAATGGTGACCAAGACATCAAGCTCTCCGTTCCCGTGGCAATTAATGCCGGCGCGGCGGACGATGCGATGCAGGTTGACAGCCAGCCGCAGAGCATTGCAATCACGTCACCCGTGCGGCCAAAGTCGCAGACGCCTTCAATGATCCCAATACCCAATGGATTCGCCATACCCTCCGTGAACAACTTTTCTTCGAACATCGCAAATGGTAATACCTATTCCCATTACGCCGGCATGCGCAATGGCGTCATGACGAAGTCGGCTCTTGCAGCGACGTTGGCCGGCCAGGATGGGGTAAATAGTGCTCACCTGCGTCAAGCATCGTCGTACATGCCGCACGGCGTCAACTACAGCTCGCAGCTGCAGGCCGCACGACAGATGCAATTTGCAGCTCTCCAGCAGCAGCAGCAGCAACGACAGCAGATCACCCTGACAGACAGCGCGCTCGACGCCAGCCTCGTCGCGCAGCTCTCACCGTCCCCCGGCAGCGTGCCTCAGCGCGCGCCCTCCGCCAACGGCAACCGTCCCGTGAACCTGAGCCGCGGACTGACGTCGCCGGCCCTCGCGCAGGCGATGGTCGCCGGCCAGGGCCGTGCGTCGCCTGGCGCAACGCACATTGGCCGCCCGACCTCTCATCCCCCGCACTCACCGCCGAATCTGCTCAGCCCCGGGCAGCAGCACGGGTCGCCGCCGCGCCCGCAGCCGCCGATGCCCTCTCCTTCGTTGCAGGCTCGCCAGATTGTTGGCAGCTCTGGTGTAGGATACTAGTGTTTTTTTTTGGCCTGTGGTTTCGCATCGTTCGTCCCCTGCACCTTGTTTTATTCGTGTATGGACTTCGTGTTGTTTCGATTGTAATGACCCTTCACTCAGTCGTCGTTATGTTCGTGCCCGCAGTAATAGCTATCTACGTGTAACAGTTGATGAAGTTTCTGTAAATATCAATAGCCAGCCGTAGCTCCTGGTCAAGATGGAAGAGTACGTTGCGTGGTGGCAGGTGTGCAGTTCAACTCGATCGAACGGATGGAATCGGAGACTTGGGTGAGCGCAATATCAGGCCTGATAATGATAAAGTGGAATTGTTGTTAGCGTCTCGGTATGACACAGAAGTGTCCTCAAGTCGTTTGACCGATAGCACTGGGGATCTAAATCTAACAGCTCATGCGCATTACCATGAACTAGGTCCGAGTAAGTCCTTGAACAACCCATTCGTACACTCCAAGGAAAACAGCACCGCCTGCTGAGATCCACATTGTCCGTGGGACAACTCCGGCAAACAGCGCTTTGACACCTTCTTGCATGTATATCTGTGAAAATCGCGCCAGTAAGGACGGCATCCGGTCTTTGACATCCTGAACATGGAGCATATTAGCACAGTACTTGTATAAGAGCAAACGAAGCGCACCCTCATATCGAGCATGACTCTCGTCTTCAGCACGTCCAAGGGAGTGGTAGCGGCCGCAGCGATAGCGCCTGCTATGCTTCCGCACACAGCAGCCTCATGCGCGTGCGGCTTTCGGCCCAGTTGTTTTGCTAGCCGGGCCTTGAACAGCTCGTACAAGGGGAATTGCACGGACGTGAAAGGTATCTGTCCGTTCCACGTCAGTTGGGAGAGACGTGTTCATATTTCTGCGCGATACGCACCTCTCTCATGACCGTAATCCCGAACCCACGATAGAACCCGCTTATTCCTTCACGCGACAGAACAAGCCTTGCAGCAGAGAGAGACCACTGCGCTTGTGCTCCGTAGCTGGCAGTTTGCATGCGTGTTTTGATCACCTCCGTAGGGACGCGAACCAGGCAGGCTGCCTTACAGATTTCCTTGAGCTGACTCGACTCTTGAGAGGATAGAATACGTACAATTTCGCCTGCTGAGGCAGATAGCATGTGTGTCACAGGAGCCATATGTTGAGGTAGTGGAATGTTCTTTTTGAGGGTGTCATACGTGCAGAAGAAGAGCGCCGCTGCCCAGTCGTGTGCTTAGTCGACCCGCGCATCTAGGACCAAAGGCTACCGACATACCACCAGGCGCACTGCCCACCACAACGCTTCCTATGCCCTTGTAAATTCCAGTAAACCCGCCAGCCTGGAAGAAGCCCCGGGAGGACTGCAGGCGCGTCTTCACAGTGTCGACGGGGAAGAACAGCAGGTCGACGGACGTGCCCGCCAAGCCGCCTGCCTGTCGAGGTATAGAAAAACGAATGCAGGCGTTGTTGTATAATGACTCACGGCAAGCGAGTGATAGAAAGTCGGCTCACGACGAGCAGGGCTCGCAGTATCTGCCATGACTCGAGGGGGTACGCGGAAGAGTTGGCTGGAGCTGTGAAGCGCCTGTGACCCCGGCACGCAAGCGTCAGTGGCAATTTCGGCCGAAATCTATAACAGAGAGCTGGTTAGGCCTCTGCGTTACGGGCTACAATTGGCTTATATTACTCCTGATAGCACTGATTTATAGATGCAGTGAGATAGTACGTCATATATTCCCAGACCAGTCGACACTTCCCGGTCCAAAAGCTTGTCGGTACTGTGCTTTTTCGACCTGTCCGGCGGTCACAGGTCACACCGATTTTCCTCTGACCCCTCCAATAAATTTTCTTGATTTATGGCGATTTTGGGAGTTGTCGGAGCAATCATTTTGGGCGCTTCCCGCAGGTCAGGTCGAAAAAAGTACAGTAATCTGCATGCTCCAATCTTACACTTCAAAATTGGGCCCAGTAATGGTACAGCTCGGGCGGACGCAAAGAGACAGCAGCAATGACATGCTACGATGTCTTCGCAGAAGTAACAAAGGTGAAATACTCTCTAAAAAGCTATGAAAGTCGGGCAGCAATTAGAATTTCGCCAGCAGAGCCTATAAAGTGCTTTACTTCGAGCATTAACAATATTAATGCTCTTCTTCCTAAGCATCATATGATCACAGATAGTGCCAGATACAGAAGTTCAAGGAGCCGATAAGCTGCTACTCAGCATGGAGGAAAATAAACTCGGAACGGAATATGCCGCGCCACAAAGCCTCAAAAAAGCGCCAGAAAGCAACACGTGACGTTTAGGCAAAACTGAGCAGCTCTGCTCCGACGAAATGCGAAAATATGGTGCGCATGAAATGGAGGGAACGCAGGCGAATCTATCCAGTCATTTTTCCTGACAGATGATCCTCTAAACGGGCAATGCTGTCTACATTAATATCATTGAGAGATATCTTCGTTATAGCCGAGGAGCGAATGCCACGCGTCAAACCGGAAGTCAGGCCTACGAGACCACCGTCCTTACAATACATTGTGCAGAACACAACCGGATAGCTGAGAGAAGCGCGCGTACTGAATGTCATGGTATACGCCGGCCGCCTATACGTTGTGAGGGGCCGAGGGCAGACGTACCAGCTGGCTGTAGCTAAGGAGAATAGGACGATGCACCCAGAATATCCGGCTCTAATTAACCCACAGATAAGCGGGAGTAACACAGAACCACCATGAGACGCAGCGGCAAGAAGAGTCTTCTCTTCATTGTCGAAGGCATCCGAGATCCGAGATAGTGCCTCTCATGAGGATGAGGGATTGGAAGCGAAGATTCCGCAGAGAGATCAACGAATTGACTCGGAGAGTGTTTCAGTGTTCTGGAAAATGCGCAAGAGATGTGAAGACTACGTAGAAATTGTGGGAATTATCTACAGGATTTGCCGGCAGGCAGTCTCGCCCTGAGGAAGCACGTTGGGCTTTCTGGTTTAGTAATTAAGTAAGAAAAGAGGACTTACGACCGGTAGAGGCTCTGATACGAGCCTCAAAGCCATTAGCTACGCGCTTAGTGCGATGAACACTGGTGTCGAACTGTGTTATGATCGTCGAAGCCCCCGAATAAGACCGCCGATGTAGAGCTCACCTCTCCGACAAATATCACGTGTGCTGAAGGGTTATATCTGTCAATCTACGGGCTACTTATGCCCGCGTTAGGATAATTATATGCACGATTTGAACATCGAAGAGTGGTTTCGGGGACCCCAGGCCTTAGAGCCACGCATTCGCCGGGGACTTCTCTCCTGTGTCTGCACGCACAAACTCGTCTTATTGGAAATATAATCGAATTCTAGAGTGCTACACACAGGTTCGATTGTTGTGTGCGGAGTTATTCGAGCGGCAAGAGCTATCTCGAGGCTGTTATAACCGCAGATCATCGGACCGTTGAGCGAAGCTGATGCTACCTAAAGTGAACAAGAGATAGCATGAGGTTCGCTGAGATACCTGCTATCTTGTTCTACGGGGCACTACATTTCAGATTCTCGGGCGAAGTGGTCTCAAGTGCCATAGAGCCATGCACTGGACGGATGTCATTCGCCGGAAGTCCTGTACCTGCACGCACAAACTCATTTTGTTGGCGGTATAATCGGGTTTTGGCGTACTAGGCGTGCACATTCGAGCATCGTGTGCGGAGTTACTCGAGCGCTGACAGCCTCGAGGACCCGCCGAGCTTTCGAAACCGCAGATCACCGGACCGTTGGGCGAAGCTGAGGGCAAAGGTAAGTAATGGATGCTATGAGTCTCACTGAGATATCGATAGTCTTGCTGTCTTCGAGGCACTACATCTCGGACGAAACCCCCGCGATGTGGATGGATGAGGGAGCAGATAGAGGTTGCGTCGTTGCGTCGACTGCGGAAGACCGCGGCTAGACCCCCAAGATTATATCGAGGTTAGGGTAATTGAGGGGGTTAGGGTTATGATGACATGACCATCTTAGGCCTCAGCGCCGCAGACCAATCAGCGACGAACTCATCCTGGGTAATTGGACGGCGAGCTGCGGGGAAACTAACTTAAGAACGATGAGCCTGAGACACACGTTCCACTCAAACCACCACCACCTTGCTCACCACCTCCAGCAATGACCAGCCTTGTCGAACGCTTCAAAAACTTGGTGGGTTGACAACGACTGACTTACCCGCCCGCTCTCTGACGAATATACCAAGGTTTACCATGCTGCGACGGAAGCAAAGCACGAGAGCGAGTCTGAGGCCCATCAGGTACATTGACTTACTGCTGCGCACGACATCCAGACTCACAAACAGCTCAGATCTTCCGTGATACCGCAGGGCACAAGTCCAGGGGTCTCCTACCACAGACTATCAACCCTGTACGTCTCCATCTGTCCCCGATGAAGCGCCCCGGCTAATCGATGAGCCCTCAAGGATGAGGAAACCGTTCCAGGCATTGAGCACCCGGGGAGCACGGGCGTAATCTACTGCTCGGACCGTGCCATAGCCAACGGCTTTTCTTACACCAACGCGCACGAGTGGGCCAATCTTGGACAAGGTGCCCCAGAGGTTGGTGATATCCCCGGCGCGGGACCTCGCCCGACAAACATCCAGTTTCCGGTCGACGCGAACGAGTACGCGCCCACGACTGGTGTCAGGGAGCTCCGCGAGGCCGTTGCCAAGCTCTACAACCACGAACATCGCCAGGGTAAGGCGAGCCAGTACACGTACGAAAACGTCTGCATCGTCCCAGGTGGACGTGCTGGCCTCTCTCGCGTGGCCGCCGTCATTGGCAGTGTCTATACCTCCTACCAGATACCCGACTATACCGCCTACGACCAGATGCTCGGCGCGTTCAAGAAGCTTGTACCAGTGCCGACCGCGTTAGAGGCTGAAAACAAGTACCGCCTAGACATAGGTCAGCTCGCCAAGGACATCCATAAGCAGGGCCTTCAAGTCGTTCTCGCGTCAAACCCACGCAACCCCACTGGGCAGGTTGTCCGAGGCAAGGAGCTGAAGGAGCTTGTAGATTTGTCCCGCGATACATCCACGACGCTCATCCTGGACGAGGTGCGTTTTAATCCCCCAGAGATTGGGCCGATATCGATGAACCTTGCAGTTCTATTCTTGGTACATCTTCCCTGAGCACGAGTCTGAATTTGGAAATACGGTTTCCTCCGCCGAATATATCGAAGACGTGAACACGGCAAGTTTTGTGGTTCTACTCGGCCTTGTTCGTCTGCTGATCGCCTACAGGACTCGGTCATCATCGTCAATGGACTGACAAAGGCAGGTAGCACTGTGATTAGCTCCACTCCTTATACTCAACCTCCCTTCGCAGAACTGGCGCCTTCCCGGCTGGCGTATTTGCTGGGTTGTCGGGCCGAAGAACCTCATCTCTGCGCTGTCGCAGTCGGGCTCCTTCCTCGACGGCGGCGCCAGCCACCCACTGCAGCTCGCTGCCATCCCGCTACTCGAGCCGAACTACGTCGCGACCGAGCGCATCGCGCTGCAGAGGCACTTCAAGGCGAAGCGCGACCACGTCCTGAGCCGTCTCGCGAAGCTCGGGCTACCGGTCGCCGTGCCGCCCGAGGCGACGTTCTACATCTGGCTGGACCTCGAGGGCCTGCCGGCGCCGCTCAACAACGGGCTCACGTTCTTCGAGGAGCTCCTCAAGGAGAAGTGCATCGCCGTCCCCGGCATCTTCTTCGACATCAACCCCGCGCATCGCCGGAACCTGTTCTCGTCGCCGTGCCACCACTTCATCCGCATCTCGTGCGGACCGCCACTCGATAACCTTGACATGGGTCTCGATGCGATCGCGCGCGTGCTCGAGCGTGTCGACAAGGAGGGCCTGAGCGGATTCGGGCATGGGTACGAGACGAGTGCGACTTAGTGTGATGAACATTACGTATGCAAGCGCGTAAGACTCGCAATTTCTTAGAAATGAAGCGCAACACCATCTGTACAATAGAATCGGATTGCTGAAACAATGTACGTAGATACAAGATGTAACAATACTGACCTGAATACACGGTGTCTACTCGTGGCTTGCAGGCATTGCCAAAAGCGGATGGGTGTGGCGCCGGTCGGCTGCAGTCTCCATAAAGCCTCTCCGCCGGGGAGCTTTGTTGCCGCTAGGGGTGGATGTAAGCAGTCACTGCGACGTCATGCATTCATGGCTGGGAGACTGCATATTATGGCATGCGCCGCTCTCAGATGCGTCCTCCAAACGAAACAAAGCTCTTCAAACTCACCGCATCTCCCCATCAAACCAGCGTTAGTTCAGTATGAAGGTGCGCCTGCCAATAAGCCTGATAGCCTTCTGCTAAGACTCTTGTCCAGATTCTCTCGAAAGAAGAGTCAGATGCACAGTACAATGCCACAGTGAGGGGCGGGCTTAAGGGCCTTGTGGGCGGCACAGCCGTCGCGGGCGCAGGGTCATACTACCTGCAGCGCACCGCGCCGTACTACAGGCAGCTCCCGCCGTCGCTCAAGGCGTTCGGCGTTATCGTCGTTGCCGTCCCCGCGTTCGTCATCTCGGCCGAGCACGCCGGGCTGCAGTACGAGCGCGAGCAATGGTGCGCAGCCTGCCCTGTTCTCCCACAGATTCTGATGCGGTGCGATTGAACCCACTTCAGGACCGGTGCAGGCAAAGAGGAACTCGACAAACAGGAGGCGCGGGCTCACAAGAGGTGGGAGAGGCTGAGCGTCACGCAGAAGGCGCAGGACCTCGCGGCGCGGTACCAGTACGGGCTCGTCATCGGCGGGTGGGCCGCCGCGCTCTTTGGCAGCTTCTATTTCATCAAGAAGAACCCGTACCAGACGCTGCCGCAGAAGGTAAGGGTCCGCAGTCGTAAGACGTATCGGGCGCCAGGCTGACGGATGTTGCAGATCGTGCAGGCACGGTTGGTCGCGCAGGGCACGACGCTCACGATGCTCCTCGGCGCCGGGTACCTTGCGCACGAGAGGCGCAAGCGTTTGGAGGGACCGCTTGCCAATCAAGTAAGTGTTTCTGGCTGTAAGTCACTGGAGGGACGCTCATCTATACTTTTTGCGCAGTCTGAGAGCGACCCGCATTCGGACCACTCGTGGAAAGACATCATTGAGGGATCGCGTGCTGCACACTAGGAGGTGGTACTCGCAGCTCGCAAGCAAGAAAAAAAGCTACCATGTATTATAGTGAGATGCAGTGGTTTTCGACCCACAAATATGATGGTGGCCCGTTTGTACTGCGCCGAAGTTTGGCCGCGCTCGCCCAATATGCATGGCCATATGTCTCATCTATGACTCACTTTCCTTGCAACACGTCTTGTGCAGCTTGAGAACCTAGGTCATCATGAGAAGAGGGAAATAGTTCGTGATATCGCCTGAGATTGGTCAGGGCTCAGGAGACGCTCAAAGTAAGTAACGCAAGCGACATAAGAAAATGGATTACACTATTTCCTTACTATCGTTAGCAGAGTAGCTTACCCAGTTACTTACCAATCAGTCTGCACGCACTCATGATCGCTCCTGAGATTGCCGAGCGGCTAGATGATCTCTCTTGAGAACTTCATCAGCAAAAAAATCGGCAGCTTACCTAGCCTGAACAGCCCTGGCAAAGCTAATCTCGCTTATAAAGGTAATCATTATGAGAATAGGCTTGCCAAGGTAGATATCTCACCTGTATGATAACTAAAGCTTACCAGTCTGGGGACCTTTACCATCCGGGTAAGGTTGGTAATGCATTACCAGGGAGCGCCAGGCTGGCAGCACTTGCCTGAGTGCTCGCAACAATTCGTTGGATATTCAAAAATATTCGGGACTGATTTGCACATCGAAATTAGGAGCAGTGAGAAATATATTCATAGAGGTTTATAGAATACAATGTATATGTATTGCATAAAATGGCAGTATCGAGACGAGAATGCCCTCCGAGTCGTGTCACATGCAAACATGATATCAGCCAACAAGCAGCTCCCGGCGCAACGGCTACACAGTTGGCACACAGTGTGCATAAAGTGAACCCTGAATGAGTCGTGTGCATAAGTTCTCATGTACGAAACTACCTGCAGACTGCTATGCTTACTGCGAGGGCTTTGTGTGGGTCCCAGAGCACAAAAGAGTGGGCCATATACAGCTACTAAGAATGGTGTTAGTATGCGAGTGAAACCATAGGGTAGAAGGGTTTAGCTTGCTGAGTGAGCAAGAATGTCTTACGAGGGCCTATGCATGTCAGTTATAAGCAATTGAGCGCATATATGCATGTCACGTACCATATGCGAATGTCTGCGAGTGACAAAAAGAGCCTGAGTCTGAGGCACGCTTTAGGTAGGACAGCATCAACGGACCTTGTGTATTTGCACTGTTCTCCTGCATTACAGGACCCTCGCATAGCCATGCAGGCAGGTGGAAGTTGGTGCTGCGGCTGTCGTGCATATGAGTAGTCAACTGCAGTGCTAATGCGAGAGAAATTACTGCTCACGCACCTTGGGACGTACTGCGCTGAGTGAGCACGCAGTGGAGTCACTGTTGAGCGAGGGGAAAGTAGAAGTGGGGATAAGAATCTCAGAGGACAATGGCGTCCGGGGGTGGCTGTCTATTGGGCAGGGGCATGGTGGTGGGCAGAAGGAAGGAGCATGGAAAGTGGATGGCCTTCGACGGCCTTATATGGATGAATACATAAAAGGAAACTCACCAGAGCAACTTTAGGGGAGGTCGAAGGAGACTTTGTTGTTCGTTTGGCCAGTCAACATATATGTGACAGTCAGCAACACCTCTCGGAAGGCGGCACACATGACGTCACGTCACAGTGGAGATCTGGGTGGGCTGGCCGCGTCATGTCTAGTTAAAACAGGATGGGAAATGACTTACAATGACATATCGGTCCGTGTTGAAACTGCAGTGTGATATCAGCCTGGTATCCCCTGTTCTTGCATTGCCAGCGCCCACCAGGCTGTTAGGCGCTTGCCTGGTAACCCATCTCTGACCTGCGACCAATTATTTTGCTGATGTTGGCCCCGCTTGGCGAGAGCAGTTGAGCGCTCTTATCATGAGCGTTCAGATTTTTTTTCTGACATTGAGTCATTATTACGGTGGTAAGTACTAGTAAATAACATTTGTTACGGCGGTTTCTAACTCGGCGCTATTTTTCCACAAACGGGCTGCCGTACGGAAAGAGTGCATTCTACCGACTCGGAGAAATGAAGATCTCTGCGGCATGTGCCATCCGTTCTGGCCTGGACCTGCGAATCGTAAGTAAAGTTCCTTCAGAAGCAGAAGCGATGAGTTTGACAGCTGGAACGTTGAATGTCCGTCCCCTCGTCATTGCTGGACAGGCCAAAGCTCTGCCGCGAGCGGTAGCACCATACTTCCCCTGCAAACACCAGGACAAAATCTTCAAGAACATACGGGCTTAGTAGTTATCAGAGCAAGATAGCGGAAGAGAGCCTTATCAAGCATCTCGGGCAGGGGTAAAACCATATCGGGATGTCGGACCTGGAAAGCGAGGGACGCCGCGAGCATAGCGGATTCAATGCTCCCAGGGCGATCAATTTCGCGTGTGGGAGAGGGAGAAATGCACGAAGGTTCCTTGACTGATCTGCTACTAATAACGCGGCTAGCTGACTGAGCTAGAAGAGTCACGCAGTCTAACCATGCGTATCCAGACTTGTTTCCCACCTGCTCGCAACCACGACCCGCGCGATGGCGACGACGAGGACACCCTTCGAGGCCCAGTGGACACCCGACGCCGCGACTTTTTTGTCGGACGAGCAGCACTTGCAGACATCGAGCGCGAGCCTCGAGGAAGCAGAGGCCCTGGAGAAACCGCAAGATGGACCCAAACGGGCCCAGCGTATCTGGGCCAGTTTTGTACAGCAGGCCAAGGAAATCGTGGACGAAAACGCGGGGATGCTGCTCGTAGCTGCCTCTGAGGTGCGTGCTGCCGGTATCGCTCCAAATCTTGCCTTGGGCTCACGAGGGGAAAAGGTTTTTTACACTGCAATGAGCCTGGCGGTCAAAGAGCTGGGCAGTATCGACCCTCCCATGAGCACCATGCAGCTCATCTGGATTTACATGGTATGTCAGTCTGGCTTTCATCTCGGCTCTCGATGAACCCGTGTTATTTTTGCAGATTGTCACTTGGCTGTGCTCAATTTTCTACATGTACATTGCCAAAATTCCGGATCCGTTGCTCGGGCCTCAAGGTGTGCGGCTGCTGCTGGCTTTTCGCGGCCTTTGCGGGTAAGACATCTGCACGGATGATCTGATAACGTCCAGGCTCACGTCGGGGCTTCGTATAGGTTCATCGCTTTCTTCGGCATCTATTACTCCGTTTTATATTTGACCCTCGCAGACGCGACAGTCCTGCAGTTCCTTGCGCCCATCCTGACGACTTTCACAGGATTTATCTTCTTAGGGGAGAGGTTCTCTTGGAGACAGCTTGCAGCAGGATGTATGTCCGATATTGGCATCTCTTGAGCCGTCGCTGACGCCCTTGTAGTCTGTAGTCTGATAGGCGTTATCCTGATCGCCCGCCCACATTTTTTGTTCGGTAGTGTGTCTCAGACACCCCCTGCAAACTCGAACCTCGTGGGCGCAAACGCAAATCCCGGGGATGTCTCTCCGCTCTCACGAGTGACGGCAGCTCAGCGATTGGGCGCTGTTGGGTTCGCATTCCCATCTGTTCGCGATATGTAGTACTCATGAATTAAACAGCATCGCGCTGCTTGGAGCACTTGGGTCGACAGGAGTCTGTATGTGTCGTTTACCCCGTCTCGCTATGTTTTGTGGCTCACTATCGTCTCAGATACCACCATCCGCGCTATCGGCACCCGCGCGCACTCCCTGCACAACATCAACTCTGTCTCACAGCAATGCGTCATCATGTCGACCATCGGGCAAGTTTTGTGCCATGCGCAGTGCGGTAGACGTTCTAACGGGCCCTGTGCAGGATGCTGGTTACGCAGACCAAGATTGTCATTCCCACATCGCCTATATGGATCGCTCTACTTCTCGTGCTAGGGTTTAGCAGCTTTTTTGCACAGGTGAGCTCTCGCTCAGCTCTCATCAAACCCATAGATTTTGACGCACAGCTAGGTTTTGATGACGATGGGCCTCCGAAGACATTCCGTCGGCCGGACTACCATGGCGGTGTACATCGAGGTATAGCTTCTCTCATGAGCCCGCTTACACAAGACTAATCGTCCGTGAGATCGTCTACGCCATCATCTTTGACGAGATATTCTTCCACGACGCCCCATCGCCGTTGTCGATCTGTGGTACTCTCATCATCGTGCTTTCGGCCGTCTACGTCGCGGTAAGCGCGCATCGCTCGTTGTATAAGCGCCACGCTGAGCGGCTGTCTCTAGCTTAACAAGGAGGACGCCGTAAAAGTCAAGGCAGAGTCGCCTGATGATCTGGCCTTACAGGAAGGCCTCCTCGCGCACAAAGATGTTGACACAGAGGAATCTCTCAAGACTCGCGAAGACGTTTAGATGGGAGGCGTGGTTCAAGCTAGTTCAAGCGTCAGATAGGCCCTCGTTTCAAAATTACACGGCTACCGCGGCAGGGATATGGTATTTACAGTGTTGTATTTATACTAGTCGAGAAAATGGCATGTACAGTAGGAAAGAGTCGGCCCAGGGCCGCCTAGCGCTACTGAGGGCTTTGTGGCGACAGCGCGCAGCCGCTCAGCCAGCGCTCGCATGTAGCGCGAGATGACGCGTCGCCTGTCTCGCGACCACATCTACTGTACCACGAGATGGCGAGTACGAGCGTTAGGACGACGTACGAGGCCGGGACGCCCGACATGTCGACGTTTCCACCGAGTGTGCAGGGCCCGCGCGCGTCCGGCGCGACCATCGTGAGAGCTGAAACAGACCGGGAGAAGTTCCCGTACATGTCTCGACGCATGTGGAACAACTTCATCAGGCGGGTGAGGGAGGTGGCGCAGGAGAACACGGGGATGCTGTTCGTAGCAGCCTCTATGGTGCGCATCGCCCGTATCGCTCCGGGTCTCACGCAGAACCATATGGGAGAAACTAGGCGTTCTATGCTTCGATGAATTTGGCAGTCAAGGAACTGAGCGGCATCGACCCTCCTGTGAGCACCATGCAGCTCATCTGGATCAGGATGGTGCGTCGAGTTCAATTCGGGCATATGTTCTAGCTCTTGACCAAAACACCCGGTTCCGCAGACTATAACGTGGCTGTGCTCAGTCTGCTACATGTACTTTGCCAAGATCCCCGACCCGTTTCTTGGCCCCAAAGGCGTACGACTGCTGCTGGCGTTCCGCGGCGTCTCCGGGTATGGCTCTCTACAAGGCTTGCGGCACGCGATCTTTTGTGAACTCTTTCTTGCAGATTTCTTGGTCTGTTTGGAGTATACTACTCTCTCCAGTATCTTTCGCTTGCAGACGCCACAGTATTGACCTTCCTAGCGCCGATCCTGACGACCTTCACGGGATCCATGTTCCTGGGAGAGCGGTTCTCATGGAAGCAGGTCGCCGCGGGATGTACGTGCGTCCCATCCGGTCTTGTTGTCCTAGTGTCTCTGAACACCGTGTAGTTTGCAGTCTGGTCGGCGTCATCCTGATTGCTCGGCCGCCTTTTCTCTTCGGTAGCACAGCTGAGGTCCCACCTACGTCCCCGGACTCTGGGAACGCTGGCTCTGGCCCCACGCCGAATGGTTCTTTGGCTACACAAGTGACGGCATCCCAGCGGCTTGGTGCTGTCGGGTAAGTGGCGCCCTCTTGAGCCGATTGCGAGACCATGCTCATACCCCGTCTACAGCATCGCCATACTCGGCGCACTCGGCGCGACAGGAGTCTGTGAGTATCGCTACAGGTCTGAATATCTACTGTTGTTCAAAAATCGGTCATAGACACAATTATTCGTGCCATCGGTACTCGAGCGCACCCCTTGCACAATATTGTCGCATTCTCCTCGCAATGCGTCATCGTGTCGACTATTGCGTAGGTGGCCTGCGTCTCATGTGTGACCTTCAGTACAGTGATCACCTTTACTTAGGATGCTGGCCATGCGCACCAAAATTGTCCTTCCCACAAAGCTCGAGTGGCTCGCTCTATTTCTGATGATTGGATTCAATGGATTTTTTGCGCAGGTTCGATGCCGCTCTGCCTGGTGATGCAAAGATCAATGATATTGATGCCCATATTTTTAGGTACTGATGACGATGGGCCTGCAGAGACAAGCAGTTGGTCGGAGTACTATGGCAGTGTATATTCAGGTGCGATTTTTTCCCCGCAAATT